GGTCTATTTTGTTAATGTGTCTAATTTGTCAGAATGAGTTTAATGGCTTGAATAGTTAGACGCAATGTTTGCGTACTTCCCCCAAAGGCACCTGCCCCCGTGGCACAAACAAGAAACAACAAATAGGGCTACGTGTCTTCGTTTTATTCTATTTATTCTAACTAATTAGAACCACTCCAATACTCACAATGATTTAAACACATCTGCCATTTCCCAAAGGGCCCCTTCCCCATTCGGGAAAAATAGACTAACACGAATGATTTTACACTTGCCTATGGCAAACATGAATCTTGAATTCCCTAAAAAGGCACCCCGCCCCTTTGGGACTAATTAGTGCAATTGGACAAATCAAAGAAGTAGAATGATTAGAACAGACACTGAATCTGGATTCCCCAAAGGGTGCCCGTCCTTTTGGAATACTTAGAATGATAATATTACAAAGAATCATTGGACGAGTTAAAACAGATGCATCTGGAATTCCCCAAAAGGCACCTACCTGTCTCTTGCAGAAAGACGAGTAATAGGGAACAATGTTCTAATTATACTACTTATCCAAATTCTTAGACTAAGTAGATCAACTAGCAACAATGAATTTGGATTTTCCCAAAAGGCACGCGTCCCTTTATGAGGAACACTCATTTAATAAATCGAAGATAAAACACGCATTGTAATTAGACAGTAAGTCAGGATTTCCCCAGAAGGCACCCGCCCCTTTAAACATAAACAAATGTTAGGATAATCATGAGAAGTAGAATAATTAGCACAAACTGAGTCTGGACTTCCCCACAAGGCTCCCGGCCCATTGAAAATAAGTAGAACAGTTAGAGTTGTGAATGCTTAGACTAGTTAGGACAAACATGAACATTGAATTCCCCAAGGGGTACCCCTCCATTTGGAAAGCAAATAAGACAATGACAATAGTTTAAATCGAAGAATTACGCTGGATTAAATTGAAGAATTATTGTAATTAGACAGTGAGCCTGGATGTTCAGAAGGCACCCGCCCCGTTGGAAATAAATGTTGGAAGAATCATGAGAAGTAGAATAATTAGCACAAACTGAATCTGGACTTCCCCACAAGGCTCCCGGCCCATTGAAAATAAGTAGAACAGTTAGACTTGTGAATGCTTAGACGAGTTAGAACAAACATTAATATTGAATTCCCCAAAGGTACCCCTCCATTTGGAAAGCAAATAAGATAATGACAATAGTTTAAATCGAAGAATTACGCTGGATTAAATTGAAGAATTATTGTAATTAGACAGTGAGCCTGGATGTTCAGAAGGCACCCGCCCCGTTGGAAACAAATGTTGGAAGAATCATGAGAAGTAGACTAATTAGCACAAACTCCCGGCCGATGAAAATAAGTAGAAGAGTTGGAGTTGTGAACGCTTAGACTAGTTGGAACAAACATGAATATTGAATTCTCCAAAAGGTACCCCTCCATTTGGGACGCACATAAGATAATGATAGTACTTATAAGAAGTAGAAGAATTAGAACAAGCTTAGATCTGGAATTGGCCAAACGGCTCCTGTTTGCTGGTGAAATTGAACCTGAAAATTCCCAAGCACGCCGGGAATAATGGGAATAATGGGAGGAATTAGAGACTTAGAAGACATGGATTTGGAATTCCCAACTGTCACCCTCTCTACTCACCAAAAGAAGGCTGCTCAGCTGGAAAAAAGTTCAAATGATTGGAACAGTGTGGGAAAACTATGGAATTCACCAAAAGGCCCCATCTCTTTTGATAAAAGTATCATACCTAGAGCAAACACGAGTCTGAAACTCTGTAAAAGGCACCCCCACCCCCTAGAGATTACAATTAGAAAAACTAGAAGAATTGTGTTAAATAAAGTAATTTGCAAGATGAATCTTGAATTCCTCAAAAGGCACCGGAATAATCAGAATAATTAGAGAGTTAGAATAATTGGCACAAACACTAATCTGGAATTCGCCCAAAAGGCACCCGTCCCTTGGGCAATGGATAGAATATGAAACTACTCAGGATAGCTGGAGCAAACATGAGTCTGGAATTCCCAAACAGGCACCTGTCCAGTTGGGAACAAGTAGAATATTTAGAACAGTTAGCAACACATATATTCTCTTATCGTCCTGGATATTCGGATCAATGGGAACAGTAGTTAAGTAGAAGTCAATGAATCGGGAATTCCGCCCAACAGGGCACCTGTCCCTTTCGGAATACATGAGTAGAACAATTTGAAACATGGATCTGAGGTTTCCCAAAGGGCATCCTTCCCGTGAGGAATAACTAGAACAGCTTGAACAATTACAGGAACTTGCAAATAAAGTGATGTTGATTTCCTGAGAAGGCACGCGCCCCTGTTTGAACAGTTAGAATAAGCCGAGTGGCTAGAAAAACAAAGAGCGTTATCTGGTCTGTGTTGTTTAATCTTCTAATTCGGTAGACTCATTTTAATAACTAGAACAGACACACACGATTTACGCGTACAAATACGGCTACGCGTCTTCGTCTTATTCTATTTATTTCACCGAGTTGGAACCACTCCAAGACTTGAAATGATCTAAACACATCTGCCATTTCCCCAAGGGCCCCTCGGGAAAAAATAGAGTAACGAGAATGGTTCTGACACTTGCGTATTGCAAACATGAATCTTGAATTCCACAATAATTGGTGTAATTGGACAAATCAACCGTAGAATGATTAGAACAGACACTGAATCTGGATTTCCCCAAAGGGTGCCCGTCCCTTTGGAATACTTAGAATGATAATATCAAGAATCATTAGACGAATTAAATCAATTGCATCTGGAATTCCCCAAAAGGCACCTGTCCCTTTCAGAAACATGAGTAATAGGGAACTGTGTTCTAATTATACTACTTATCCAAGTTCTTAGCATAAGTAGATCAACTAGCAACAATGAATTGGTTAGTTTCTCAAAAGGCACGCGTCCCTTTGGGAATAACTAGCATAACCCGACTAATCAGAAGAGTATAGCCAGGAAATCCACGAAAGCACCCAACCCATTTTGAATAAATCGAAGAATTAGGCTAGTTAGACCATCATTGTAATTAGACAGTGAGTCTGGATTTCCCCGGAAAGCACCCGTCCCTTTGGGAACACATGTTAGGATAAATAATGATTAGCTCAAAGTGAATCTGGACATTCCCAACAAGGCGCCCGGCCACTGAAAAACAGAATGTTAGAATTGTGAGAATGCTTAGAATGATTAGAACAAGCATGAGTGTTGCATTTCCCGAAAGGAAGCCCTCGCTTTGGAAATAAAATAAGATAAGATAGTAGGTTTAGAAGCAGAATAGTTAGAGCAAGCATGGATCTGAAATTCGCCAAAAGGGCTCCAGTCCCTTGCGGGAACAAAACAATTAGAATAGCTGCACAAAAATGGAAATTGCGTTGAAGATCCAAAGCACGCCCGTCCATTCGGGAATATTTGGAAGAATTAGACACTTAGAAGAATTGGATTTGGCATTCCTCAACAGTCACCTGCCCCTGTAAAAGTATATGGAGTGATTCGAATAATGAAAACAACAAGGGGCGTGCGGGTCATGTGAGCCACGCGCGCGCGCCACATTATACATGGTCTACCCTTCCACCCCCTCCCCCCCCTCCCCCCCCCCCCCCTCCCCCCCCCCTCCCCCCCTTCTTCCCGTAGTCTTCCGTAGTCTTCCGGCTTCTCCCAGTAATCTTCCGTAATCTTTCGGCTTCTTCCCGTAGTCTTCCGTAGTCTTCCGGCTTCTTCCCGTAGTCTTCCGTGGTCTTCCGCCTTCTTCCCGTAATCTTCCGTAATCTTTCGGCTTCTTCCAGTAGTCTTCCGTAGTCTTCCGGCTTCTTCCCGTAGTCTTCCGTAGTCTTCCGTAGTCTTCCGGCTTCTTCCCGTAGTCTTCCGAAATCTTTCAAGCTTCTTCCCGTAAATTTCCGCAATCTTTCGGCTTCTTCCCGTAGTCTTCCGTAATCTTCCGGCTTCTTCTCCTAGTCTTCCGATACTGTTTCGGGACCAAACAACGCGCGTGTCCTGTGCTTTCGGGCTTCTTCCCTAGGCTTCGGGTAGTCTTCCCCCACCCCTCCGCCCCCCCCTGTGTCTGTCTATGTCTGTCTACGTATCTGCATCTGTCTTCGTGTCCGCGAAGACCCCCCCTGCCCCTGCGTGTCTGTCTGCGTCTCTTTGTGTCTGTCTGGGTCTGTCTGCGTCTGTCTTCGTGTCCGCGAAGACCCCTTGCGTGTCTGTCTCTGTCTCTTTGTGTCTGTCTGTGTCTGTCTGTGTCTGTCTACGTATCTGCGTCTTTCTTCGTGTCCCCCCCCCGCGTGTCTGTCTGTGTATTTGTGTCTGTCTGGCTCTGTCTGCGTCTGCCTGCGCATCTGCGTCTGTCTTCGTGTCCGCGAAGACCCTCCCCCCCCGCTGCGTGTCTGTCTGCGTGTCTTTGTGTCTGTCTGCGTCTGTCTACATATCGCCTGCTTTCTCTCGTCCCGGGCCGAAATTCTAAGGTGTGTGGGGGCGGCGGAACCAGGCCGCAGGCCATTAAATAATATTTGTCAAACAAAACTTGGATTTTTGCAGGTGTTGTTCACTTGTGCTTGCAATGTGGGCCGAAAACAACTGATGACAGCGCGACGCCTCCGCGGGACCCTTCGTTTTGAAAGTTTATTGCTGAAGCCCTGTGTCCCCCCTCGCAAAAAATGTGTTCGGGACAGGCGCCGGCGCTCCGTGCGGCACGCCGACCGCGCTCGGGCACACGAGCGTTCACCAGACCGCCAGACCGCGACCACGTAGCACCAACATCCCCACGTTCCCGTTAAGCAATTTGGCAGTGAGCAGTGAGCCCATGTCCATTTCTCCCAAATGGACAGTAGACAAATCGGGCAATGTTTGCACATACCCTCATGCGGGAGTGTCTTAAAATAGGGCACCCAGACAATGGTGGGGTTTCTTGTGGTTTCCCTTTACAATCACTTCAAAAGGGGAACCTTAGAAAAGGCACACCCATGTCTTGCGTTTCTCGTCCTGCTCGTGGAGGGCCATGTCTTCGACGATCTCCAACATGGACTTGAACACTGTGCTCTGGGTTGCTTTCATGCCCATGTCCTGGCAACGAAGTTGCCGTTTCTCATCACCGCTGACAAAAGACGGAGGTGCTATGGGAAACCAGGCTCCTTGTCAAATATATATATATATATATATCCTGAGATACGAAACTAAACAAAGTGGATAGTTGGAGGGGTGATAGCGTGTTTCGGTGTGGGGAAGCTCCGCGTTTCTATCCAGGCCGGCGGACATGGTACGGGAAAAATGGCAGGGAGGAAAAGAAGCGGAAAGAAGAGCAGGGGGAGAGAAGTGAGGGGAATGGAAGGACATTACAGTAGTGCCTCCTGACCAAGAAGGTGATAGAAGGGACGTCTGCCGATTTGCGAGTAGATGTTATGGCACACTTGCGCAGACCTTCTGGGTGTTCAGGGAGATATCTGACTCTTGCAAGTCGTCGTTGGAACTCGGAATGAGGGGCCTGGAAAAAAGAAACAAACACAAAACAAAACACAGCTAGAAAGGATTCCTTCTCCAGCTGCCAATCATCCATATGGGTTTGTCTCAAAGTATGTTTTGGAACCCCCAGAACGGGTGTTTTCCTGTTGGTGCCCCTCCGAAAGTATCACTCGTCTAGCCACTGTGATTGAGCAGCTGGGCCCACCCTCCAAATCTATGCTTCACACAGGTCCTTTACATGTCCGCCTTCAACGTCACCCCACAAAAAGGAAACTTCTGTGTGGCAACGGCAACACAATGATATTCATGCAACCTGCAAATGGACGATTCTGTCATGCCACCACTAAGCAATTCAGCATTTAGGCCAGCGACTGAAAAATCAAGAAGGAGGGACGTGTTGGGCCGACCCGTCAAACAGATTCTGAAAACTCTAAGACCTCTTCCGAGAAGGTCAGACCCTTTCATAGGCGGTGGGGGGCCTTTCGTGTCCTCCGAGCTGCTCGACCTGACATGGCTGCGTCAACCTGTCCATGCCCAGAATCAAATCTAAATATGCCATGCTGTCCTGAACTCACTGCGGCCCTTTGTTTGAACATTGTAAACCCCCTATTGCTTGAAGACCATAATTTTGGATCCTCTTTACAGGAGGGTAATTAGGGTCTGGTTCTTTAAACACTGTTTGCCCAACCTTGTTCACTGGTCACATGAAATGTTGGCACCCATACATGAGGTATCAGAGAGGGCACAGGTGTTGAATAGCAGCACTGGAGACACCGAATGTTTCACACACACACACAAACACATCTAGGCAGCGAAATAGGAAGGCAACAACACTGGGCAGACTACATGGACAAAGGCAACAACATGCTGCCTGCTGCCACCCCTCCAGTCCACTTCGTCCGTCGCCGTGCAACGACGCAAGAAAAAAAGAAGGGAACAAAAAAAGGGAAAACAAAACGAGCAAACGGGTTTGTCTCAAAATAGGGAGTGGGCGCTAAACGAATGTGGTGCCCCTTACAGAACCCAAAAAGGTAGCTTCAAAGGAACCCCGAGGTAACCTAAACCATCTCAAAAGAGGATACCGGTAACCAAGAAACACACACCCAAACAGCCCAAATAGAATTCCTGCTCTCCTGGTTGCGTGCGATGCGGTGGAAGGCAGTCGCCAAGTTCACCGCGTTCATCTGACTCATGTGCTTGCTCACCACCTCGGGTTCAACGCAGTTAGGCATGTGACTTTTTTTAAGGCACCGTTTGGGGGGGGGGGGGGGGCGGATTTAAAGGAAAACCAACATGGAAATCTCATTCCCCCCCCCCTCCCCCGATTTGACACATCCCCATTTGAAACAAGAGGAGGTGGACCAAGCATGGGCTCTTCTAGGGAAGTGCCCCAAACTGAGCAAGGGTTGTTCGTTTGATAGGATCCCCGATACTGGTCCCCTTAAACATCACCCCGCAAAGACTCACATGAAGTCGACCAAAGAGAAGATCTTTGAACTGCATAGAATCGTAACAAACGAATAAACATCTTGCACCAGCTACTCTGGTCTCCAGTCTTCAAATGGCTTAGTTGGCAACCACTTTATCGCTTCCCCCGGCAATCCGTCTGTTCCAAAATCCCCAACGGCCCTCGCTACGGGGGAAACCGGGCTGCACCCCCCGGAGGAGATCAGGCCATGGCCTTTTAGTGTCAAACTCAGGGCGACTCCCCCGATTCAGAGAAACCAGCTACAGGGAAATCTACAAATTGGCCAAATACCCACCAAGAACAGGGGATTTTCCTCTAGAATCTCCGTTGGTTGCTTTCTACGAACCTTACACACATTATTCTCTCTGATCATGTCTATGGCTCTCCTTTTGGCTTCCACGCCTCGAAACACAGACACTGCCACGTCTCCCAGCAAGCCTCCAGGAGCTTGGAGGTGTGACGCTTCGCGGCAGTCATCAGCTCCTCGTCGTAACGAGTCGACGAGTCGAAGGCGGATCGGAGAGCGTGGGCTCAAGCGATCCCAATAGATGCATCCAAAATATGTTGGTAGTTAAACTGCTATGATGGTGATGACCATGACCATTATCATTATTCTGTCTAGTCTATTACAAGTCTTCGTTTTGTTGCTATCATTGTTTCTTGTTGCATGGCCAACATGTATCCTCTTGTCAGGTGGCTTTGGTCGGTGTGGTTCCTTTCTTGGAGTTGGCACCTGTTGGGTTGTGTGCTTTGGAGTTAGTGCCATGCATTCTTCTTTTTTGAAAGGGAAGGCGAAGAGTTGTGTTGTCGCATTGTTCTTTGGGGGGTTGGCAGTTGGCTCTTCGGAGTTGGCGCCATTTTATCGGAATTGGACGATCGGAAGGTGTGGAAACACCTGGCCATGGGTCAAAATCCCGTACCCCCAGTGAACATCCCAATCCCCTCTATAGACTAAAAATGGGTGGTGAATTCACCTACCCCAAAATGAGATCCCATTGGTTTTGACCCCCAGCCACCACTAAAACCTTTCGAGGGACCTCCCTTCACTAGGCACGGGCCAGCTTCCGTGCCACAAAGCCATCCTTCCCTGCGGTTCAACCCCCAATAAGAACAAAGGTTGACCCAATTTGGATGATGACAATCCTTAGGTAGATAGTGGTGGTTATATGAACCCCATTGCTTTAATGGTGGTTTGACCCCCAGGGCCTTTCCTACATGCAGGCCAACCCCTTGCTTCAGCCATGGGAAAAATCCAGCTTCCCGTTATACATGGCTCAGGGGTTCAAAGAAGCTTTGCAACCAACCCCGGTCCCGCACCTGCCGCAAGATTGAGAGGGCCTCAAGCCCACTCCTTTCAACCCCACCAAAAGTGACAGCTGAAAAAAAAGGAGAAAAACACGAGCTGAATCATGGCTGAAAGGAGCTTCCCACCAACGCCCAATAGTCAGTCTTTGAGAACGGGTCTCTCAAATCCACGTGACAAACGAACCCAGCCGTACCCAATTCCTTGTTGATCTTCTTCTGCGCACTGTCCTGCCACGGGCCCCAGGGAACTCCCAAAGCTCATGGACCCAACCTCTTCACTTGGTTACCTGCCTCCCCCATTGCATGGACAAAAGGAACGAGGATCAACCATGCGTTAAAAGCTAGTATCAAATGTAAGGCTCTACCAATCCCAGGGTGTGTTGAACCTGTGAAACCGCATGTGCGTGGTATGCGCATTTGCACAGGCAAGGTCTGCTCCCTAGCTTGAAGTTTGATGCCTCACGGGTGTTTGATCGAACATGCGACTTGGCTTGGTGAAAAACATCTCATCTTCAAGGTTAGTGGCTCTGCTTTGTTGGATATGTCTACTGCCCGGCAAATCGTCATGAAACCCAAAAACAGAGTGCCCCAAAAAAGATACCTCTAAACATGACAGCTTTTGCTGGGTTTCATAGTATCGTCGGGTGAATCAGGAAACAGAGTCAGGAAACGGGTCGGATAAAGTCAGGAAACCGGTTGGTCCAAGTCAGGAAACAGGTGGGGTGGTGTCAAGAAAACAAACGAGATCCGGGTTCCATGAGTCAGGAAAAGGCCCGGACACAACACAGAGACAACAACCTCGAATTTCAACCTCCCTTTGGTTTACAGACTGTGTCCAGCCTTTATTCAACAACCTACCCGCCCTTTCAGTGGGCGCCCGCCTGTTTCATGGTGTTTCAGCCCGCCTCACCGTCCCTGCGCAAAGGTGCACCGAGTTCCGAGAGGTCGCTGTTGGTGAGAGCGTCCTGAAACTGGGGGGGGCAACGGCTCGCCATGTGGAGATAATACGTGTGCATACACTGCGAAGAAATATATATATATATATATATGTATACATAAAGAGAGGGAGAGCAAGAGAGAGAATATACATAAAGAGAGAGAGAGAGAGAGAGAGAGAGAGAGAGACAGGGAGATTACATAGAGATTAACATGCATCGTCTAGAGCATATATGCGTACCGTCACCAAACAATCAACGATTATCTCAGAATATCCCTTGAAAGCTCGAACGGGTCCAAGTTGTGGGCTGACCATTCGATGCCCATTGCTTCCTGTGAGAGGTGTGTGTGTGTGTGTGCTTTTGTTGAGGCGACATCTTTGGGGGTGGTCTTAAAGGGATACCCTTTTGAAGGGAAACCAAAAGGAAACCCGCAAAACATGGGTGTGTTGTTTTCTATTTGACACCTACCCATATCACGCAAATATGGGTGAGCCAGCAAACAAGCTCCCTTTGGGGCGCTCCCCAACTTGGGCTTTGAGGGGCCATCAACAATCAGGCATTCCACCATCACTTCAAGGAAACCCTGACCCAAGAACATCCATAAAAGTACTTTACAATCAGAGGTACCCTGAAAAATCGAGGGGGGGGGGGGGAGAGAAACAGCCAATTCTTCTTAACTCCCTTTCGCTCGCTCTTTCTCTTTCGGCTTGTGAAACTCCTCTTCCCGGACGGAGGCCGCAGTGCTGACAGTGTCCTGGCAAGTCCCTTGGGGTGGACCACATCCAAGCATGCGTCTGTGCATCTTAAAATCAAAGGTTGAACCGCCTCACAAGTGGCGGACATGAAACCCCACCTAAATGAGACAACTACTGTATGCATGTCCATGACCGGCCAAAAATCAGGATCAACGCTCTTTTGTTTCTCTCTGTGCTGTTCGAGGCTACACTTTTGTGCTGTTCGAGGCTACCCTTTTCAGCTACTTTGGGACGTGAGCTATTTTGGCACAAAACCTTCCCGCAAAATGAGGGCCTGGAACAAAATTGTGGATTTCTCCCCTTCACCATCCTTTTCAGGAGCACTCTAAGAGACCAAGCCACTTAGATGTTGCCAGAGTCAGCCGGGCCTTGGGCATTGGGGTTGGGCCGAGAAGAATCCCACTGGACCTATCAAAGGCGTCTCGAACAAGCAACCGGAATGGTCATGAAGATCCGGTCATGCCAACACATGCCACCAGAAATATGTAGGTCTCTGTACCTCTATCGCATTCGCGCAAACGAGTATGTATGGACGGATAATGCATACGTTGACAGCCTCAATTGACCAGTGTCCACCAATCACCTGACCCAAAGTTGCCTGTTTGGATTGCTGGTTTCAGGAGTTCACCCTGGTTCAAATATGGTTTCAACTACAACAAGGGGAACCATTGCAAGGTTATGTCACCGAAGGATGCATGGCCCTAATACTCACTATCAGTCAGCTGCTCCGTTTCCTTTTGCCAAGAAATGGGCGTTCCGTTCACTCGGGGTTTGCTTGAAGGGAAGGAGAACCCTCCCCCTCCCCCCCAAAAAAAATAAGCTCTGGTGATATCCCCAACAGCATCCGCTTTTCAGTGCTCGCACCACCCCGCAGCCCTCGCAGAACCTCGTGGAACCCTGGTGGAACCCTCGTGGAACCTTACCTCAGGGCCGCCCCGGACCACCCCGGAGCCTATCTGGGCTGAGACCCCAAAGCTTTCAGCTGTTGGGGAAAAACAAAACAAAACAAAGAATTGAAGCAACACTAGGGGTGCCAAATAAGGAACCTAGGCAAATTTCGACAATATCCATCCGCGTTTGGCTGTCTGGGAACAAGTGAGATTGTGTGGTATCTTGCCGGGCCAGTTCCATTTGCCATCCGACTCCGCATTGGCTCCTCGTCATTCTTTCGGCAGTCCTCCCAGGATTGACTCGCCAAGCTTCGGGTGAGGGCGTGGTCCCCATTTTCGGGGCATTCCTCTGGTGCGCATCCCATCGAACTCACCTTTCAACCAGCAGTGTCCCCCAAAAAAACCATGGAACCTGAAAGAGGGTCCCCTGTTCGAGGAAACAGCGCCTTCCAGGGGCTTCCTTGCAGGTGTTTTTTGGGGGAAAACAACTTCCTGTTGGTTCCACATACTCTACCTCAGCTTTTACGACCAAAAACGAGATCCCAGCAGGATTGGACGCCTCCTGCTAGTTCCCTGAGAAGGGGCTGTTGTTAAACCTTAAAGTGCATGGCACAACCTCCACACTTAGGCTTTGTCATTCTCTGATATACTGGGAATAGTGCCATCTACTTTCGCCCGGGCCGGGTACGACAACCTTCCTGGATAAACGGGTAAACACCCATCTACCAATCACTACTTAAGCAACTGTCTCTACGTTTTCAAACAAAAATGCAAGGGCTGGCTCAAACCAAATTGGGCAACTCTAGGGTTCCAACTAATGGGTTCGTTTCGGATGCTACACACATTGTCGTTTAGAATCCGCTTAGCTTGCTGGCTCTCAGGGAATCAACCAGTTCTTCCAGGAAACCACCAGGATGGTCCATAGAAGTCATTCCCCGTACTGCTGGGAACCAGCAAGTTGGGGCGCCTTGGCAATTTGTCCGGCAGTCCTCCCTCAGTCTGTGCGTGAGGCAGTGGCGCGGTGGGCACGAAGCAGCCCTCCGCACTTGCTCCTCCTGGCGCGGGAGATGTGTGACGAGGCGCGATTTGTTCAGGAGGCACTCAGGGGACCCCTGGCCCTTGTTCAATTTCAGCACATGTCACGCAAAAAGTCCAGCTTAACGGTTGCAATTTGCTGTGACTGGGAGATCAAGCAGTCCGTCCAGCACCGGCCAGCTTAAAGCCAGCCAGTTATGCTGGCAAGTGTGTGGATGGTGTGTCTGTGTCTGTCTCTGCGTGTGTTTGTGTCTGTGTCAGTGTCAGTGTCTGTGTCTATGCGTCTCTGTGAGTGTCTGTGTGTGTGTGTGTGTCCCTGTGTGTGTGGGTGTGTGTGTGTGTGTGTCCGTGTCTGCGTCTGCGCGTCCGCAGGTGTGTGCGCGCACGCACATGTTTTGGGGTTTGTGTTTGTGTTTGTGTGTGTTGGTGTGGTGTGGTGTGGTGTGGTGTGGAGTGGTGCGGTGCAGTGCGGTGTGGTGTGGTGTGGTGTGGTGTTGTGAGGTGTGGCTGGCGTGGCGTGGCGTGGTGTGGTGTGGGGTGGGGCGCGGTGCGGCGCTTGCTTGCCTGCCTGGTTGCCTGCTTGCCTGCTTGATGGCTTGCTTGCTTGCTTGCTTGCTGGCTTGCTTGCTCTCTTGCTGGCTTGCTCTCTTGCTTGCTTGCTTGCTTGCTTGCTTGCTTGCTTGCTTGCTTGCTTGCTTGCTTGCTTGCTTGCTTGCTTGCTTGCTTGCTTGCTTTCTTGCTATCTTGCTTGCTTGCTTGCTTGCGTGCGTGCGTGCGTGCGTGCTTGCTTGCTTGCTTGCTTGGTTTCGTTTTTCCCTGCTTGCTTGCTTGCTTGCTTGCTTGCTTCCTTCCTTCCTTGCTTGCTTGCTTGCTTGCTTGCTTGTCTGTTTGTTTGTTTTGTTTGGTTCTTTGTTCGTTTGTGTGTGTGCGTGTCTGCGCATGTGTCGTCCGCGTGTCCCTGCGCGTGCGCGTGCCCGTGCGCCTGCACATGCACTTGCGTGGGCGGGTGCGTGCGCGGGTGGGCATGCGCGTGCGGGTGTGTGTCTGGTGTGCGTGTGTCTCTGCGTCTGTGTGTTTGTGTGTCCGCGTGGTCGTGTCAGTGCGTCCGTGCGTGCGGGTGGGTGTGTGCGTGTGTGTCTGCGTGTCCGTGTGGCCGCGTGTCTGTGTATCTGTGTGTCTCTGTGTCTCTGTGTCTGTGTGGCTGTGTATCTCTGTGGCTGTGTGTCTGTGTGGCTGTGTGGCTGTGTGGCTGTGTGTCTGTGTGTCTGTGTGTGTGTGCGTGTGTCTGTGTATCTGTGTGTTTGTCTCTGTGTCTGTGTGGCTGTGTATTTCTGTGGCTGTGTGTCTGTGTGTCTGTGTGCGTGTGTGGCTGTGCCTGTGTGTCTGTGTGTCTGTGTGTGTGCGTGTGTCTGTGTGGCTGTTTGTCTGTGTGTCTGTGGCGCTGTGTGTCTGTGCGTCTGTGTGTCTGTGTGTCTGTGTGTCTGTGTGGCTGTGTGTCTGTGTGTCTGTGTGTCTGTGTGTCTGTGTGTCTGTGTGTGTCCTTAACATGGAGCCCCTTGACATGAGTGCACACACGCAGACAGACACAGACGCAGACGCGCAGACGCACAGACACGAAGACGCGAAGACACACAGACACACGCACAGACGCAGACACAGACACAGACACAGACACAGACACAAACACGGACACAAAGACACAGAGACACAGACACACAGACACACAGACACACAGAGACACAGAGACAAAGAGACACAGAGACACAGAGACACAGAGACACAGAGACACAGACACCACAGACGACACAGACGACACAGACGACACAGACGACACCGACGACACCGACGACACCGACGACACCGACGACACCGACGACACAAACGACACAAACGACACAGACGACACAGACGACACAGACGACACAGACACACACACACACAGACACACACAGACACACACAGACACACACAGACACACACACAGGCACACACAGACACACACACACACACACAGACACACACACACACAGACACACACAGACACACACAGACACACACACACACACAGACACACACAGACACACACAGAGACGCGCAGAGACACACAGACACGCACAGAGACACAGAGAGACACAGAGAGACACAGAGAGACACACAGAGACACACAGAGACACACAGAGACACACAGAGACACACAGAGACACACAGAGACACACAGAGACACACAGAGACACACAGAGACACAGAGACACACAGAGACACACAGAGACACACAGAGACACACAGAGACACACAGAGACACACAGAGACACACAGAGACACACAGACACACGCACACACACACACAGACACACACAGACACACACAGACACACACAGACACACACAGACACACAGACACACACAGACACACACAGAGACGAGACACACAGAGACACACAGAGACACACAGAGACACACAGAGACACACAGAGACACACAGAGACACACAGAGACACACAGAGACACACAGAGACACACAGAGACACACAGAGACACACAGAGACACACAGAGACACACAGAGACACACAGAGACACACAGAGCACACACACAGAGACACACAGAGACACACAGACGCACACACACGCACGCACACACACGCACGCACACGCACACGCACGCACACGCACACGCACACACGCACACACGCACACGCACACGCACACGCACACGCACACGCACACGCACACGCACACGCACACGCACACGCACACGCACACGCACACGCACACACGCGCGCGCGCGGCGAGCGCGTGCGCGTGCGCATCTTCAGTGCAGCAATTCTCGGCCTTCGGTGTTGAGAACTGCAAGAAAGTGTTCTTGACGTCGATCCTTAGCTGAGACAACTTCGCAATTGACTCTTTGGCAACTTGGCAAACATGAAGCACGCACACAATGTCGATCCTGGATTTATCGACCTGGAAGCACCCCCCCAAAAGGGAATGTGCTTCTTCTGAAATAGGACATCCCCCTTGTTCACCAACCCAGGGGTCATTGACTGGGGTCCCATCAAGTTCAGTCCAATCTGAAGGACCGGACTAAGAGGTGACACACTCATTTGGTGGGGGATTGGGTGTAATGCATTTTCCTTCGGCTGAAGTCCTCCAAATTGATCCGAAGTTAGTTAGCGTTAGTCATCACAAGGTGTCAAGCCCTTCAAACCGAGAGTCTAAATCGACTTGCAGGAAGCAAGAAAACAAACAACCAACCGGGCACCTCCACGGCCAAATTGCAAAAAACTGAAACAAAAAAGGCCTCTGCCAAGCTTTTGCGAGCATCTTGTAGGGCTCGACCTTAGGATACGTCATCTCTCAGGTCGGGTCGCACTACAGCACCTGGTTGGTGCAACAAAACACAGGTTGTTCTAAACCTGGCAAAGCTATGAAGTGTTCGAGCAAAATGGATCGAGCGGCGTAGGCGTGATTTCCGCTGTGCGAGGAGAGGTCTTGAGCTCCCCCCTCAATGCCTCAGGGAACTGCTAAGTGACCCTGTGGGATTGTGTGAAATTGGGGGATCCAACAAATTGTGGCTTTCTGTTTCATGTACCCTCAAAAAAGCGCCCACCCTCATTGTGGGGGAGTACAGAATTGACCTTAGAGTTTGATGGCCCCCACTGACAACCTTTGCTTCAGGGCTGAATTCGTGAACCATATAGCAGTTGAATTGCATCAGGGAGTCTTAGAAAGCAGCTTGGATGCCCCCCCGAATGATGTGTATATATACATATAATGTGTATCTCTCTATATATATATAATATGTATAACATATATATATATATAATATACATATATATATATGTATATATAATATATATAATATACATATATATATATATATACAAAGTGACAAAACACACACACACACACAACCAGCCCTGTTTCGGCCATTTCAAGGGTACTCTGACCCAAGACTACAGCAATCCCCCAGCTCAACTGGGAACCCCGTGTTGTATGGTCGATCAGATGATCAAAACCCGGCATAGGGCTCCAACCAAAACCCATGAGCGGTCTGTGCGCCGCACCTATTCATTGGTGAGGACTGGCGTTGACCAATCGTCTAGGTTGCAAATTGGGAAGGGGTTGCCCACAACCGGCAGCAAAAACCGCATGTCTCATGTCAAAAAGGAAATCCAAAACCGCTTGATAATGTGCCGATAATCCAAGTGGCAATCGAAGTCCTGTTGAGATTGTTTCAAGAAGGGACACCAATTCGCCGGCCCTTAAATACTTGAATCCAGCGGGATGTTACACGCATGATTTGGGGAACCTTCAATCTTCGATCCAGCGGAAGAACATTCAAGTTTTTGGGTCTGGTGAAGATTCAAGATTACCCAAAAAGCTTTCTGGGAGATCTTCAATCTTAGATCCAGTGAAAAAAATGCTTTTATGTTAAATAACATGAGCCCAGGTGGTATTCCAACAGCCCCGGAACCCTCTGGAACCCTCCAGAACCTTCACTGAAAGCTGCCCCAACCACCCGAGAGCCTGTCAGAGACCGCAAAGCTTTCAGCTGCTGGGGCAAACAATGTTAAGTTTGCTTGTGTTGGCGTTTTTGATTAGGTTGGTTACGCTCTGTTCGACCCTTTGACCCTTTTGTCAATGAGGAAAACAAGCACGACACATGGTCACAAACACTTTATCAAAAAAAAAAACATATGCTCACTACCCCTTGTCCAAACAAAAGGTGGGCCCCGAGGAGCATATATATATATATAGGCTATATATGCATTTGTGGAGACACATGTGCATGCGTATATGAATATATATATATACATACACATGTGTGTGTGTGCAAGTGTGTAAATGCATGTATGTGTGGGGGGAGGTCCTGAGTTCCTCACGGCTCAACCCTCTTGCGATGGCTTGGCTCGCGCGCAAGGAGCGCACTGCGGTGCTGCGCGTGGACATGCCTGCAGGCGCGGTTGAGACGAGGGGAGGAGTTCTTCTTTGGGGAGTTCAACTAGGTCCTCGAGTAGAGAGGTTAGAATGAGGGAACCCTTTTTGCGTAGTATATTTTAGCAGGCCCAACAAAGGGTAAAAGGGCACTACTGGGGGACCTAGTCAAGGTTTGGCGAGGGGCAGGCGACTGATTCTCCTGCAGAAGATTGGAACCCGACAAACACGTGTTTACTTGCAACGTGTGCGAATGAAGCCACTTTGGCGCTGAGTCTGTGCTCGTGAACGAGTTTGCCTGCAACTTGTGGCAGGTGTGCCATGGATCTGCCGCTTGCGTGGTCAGAGCTGGTTGGAGCAGAGGAGCCTGTGCTCCTAGAGGCATCGCTGCAACTTAAGCATCACCCCGAAGAGAGATTGATCTTACCATGGTCCAACACGAGATCTTGACCCAACTGACTTTTACTTTCAGATTCTGCTCCATAGAGTCAACCTTACGATAAACCATTTTCTGAGACCCCAGAGATCTTTGACCTCGCTTTCCAACCCTTCGTATTTTAGCCAACAACTGAAAGTGGTTGTTTTTCCTCCCCCTTCCAAAAATCAACAGAACCCCCCCCAAAAAAAAGACATGATCCTAATCCTAAGAACCCAAACACATGATCCAACAAGTCAAGATCCCCCCCCCGACCACCCCCACACCCTCCCCACCCCAAACCCCCCCCCCACCAGCCCCGCCCAACCGCTCCGCCTGCATCCGTGGCGCCCTTCAGCGCCGCCAGGCAGCGCTCCGGCGGCATCTCGAAGGCCACCTCGCTCCGCCGGGCGGCGCTTGGCCGCCGAAACCACCGCGCCGGGCGCGGGAGAGAAAAGCGCACAAAAAACCAACAGACCATATGTTTTGCGAGGCTGGCTTTGTGTGGGGAACCTCACACACATGGGCCATGTGTGCTTTCTTTTGGGGGGGAGCTTCACATACATGGGTGTTGTTTGTTGGTTCATGCGTTTTTGGGGAACCTCGCATACATGGGTGTTGGTGTTTGGTCGATGTGCCTCAAAAACACCTCAGATACGTGGTGCATGGAGCCCTTGAAAAGAAAACAGTTGTGCGGCAGAGATTTGTGTGTTGTACCCGGGACTGGCCAAAAGGCACTTGGAGGGCACCCAAGATCAGCTTCCTCTGGGGCCCCTGTCAGGCGTCATGGTGGGAGGTCGACATTCGTTGTGGAAGAGCGGAGCAAGCTTTTATATTTTATGTCCGCCAACCATTTAGGGCGGTATTCCTTGATAGAAAGTCATTGCTGGAATATATACAACCCATTGCTCCAAGAGACTTTCCCCCTAAAACTCCGCTTGCCAGTAGGGTTTTGCCCGGGCTTCTAGATAGAAAAATTCGACGAAAAAGGCCAACATCGCATCGCCTTCTTCTATGATACCAAAGTCGATGGTTCAAATGGACGCTTTAGAGAAGGGGTTGCTTTCAGTGCGCCTGAACCCCACGTCCATGTGCCGTAGAAAATTGGGGGGCCCCGTCTAAGCTCCCGCACTCGTAGAAGCGCCTCAGCGCGGGGGATGCGACGTAGAGTCACTGACATTGAGTCGACATGCTTGCAGCTCGCACAGATGTTGTGATTTGGTGAGCCAAACTAGTTTAAGCAAGCAGAGCCTAGTCGCCTTCACATGAGAAACCAATAGGCGGTGGTTGCTGAAGCAATACTGTTTGAACACGCAACATGTTTAAACAAGAGTTTGGCCCAGGCCTGGTCAGGCAAGAAGGCAACAGATCCAAGCGTTTGCGGTCGCACTTTTAGGAAACAAGCCATTCGCGTGTTGCTCCGAACATCCCCGGAGCCGGTACAAAACAGGAAACCCAACAGAACCCCACCGATTTGGGGAAGGGGGTTCGCTAGTTGTGGAGATACAATTCCAGGAGTACATGAAGAGAACCCCTGTTGGGCATAGAGACAGGGGGTAGTTCGTCTGGACACATTTTGCCCCAAAGAGTCACCTTCGAAAACTACCCCCAAAGTCGGGGAGAGACCCCGGTAAGGAAGGTTCAAGAGCGGAAGAAACGAGAAACATCATCTGAGCCGCAGTCAATATTGCGGTTTGTCCTTTCCATGACACCAATGTTGGCCAATTTCCGTGACTACTTGATCACTTTCAAGGAGGTTCCCCTGGTATCACGGAAACTAATTGTCCACGACTATGATCAATTGTTATTCCTCACTATCATTGGGGGTGCGCATCCCATCTACTTTTTAGGTGGATAACTACGCTCGCTTGCTGACCTGCGTTTTTCTCTCCCTCACTCTCTCTCTCTCTCTCCCTCTCTCTCTCTCTCTCTCTGTCTGGCTCTGAGGAATCTGGAGATAAATCTCAGGGAGGGGCACACATCGGGGGCTGTGACAGGGGGTGGCTTTTACCTCTTTTCTGGTACTGCTGACATTTCTACTTGCAGTGCAAGGTGGCAAATGGGTCGACAAACGGAGCTGTTTCTTGCGTCTACTCTCGAACTTTCTTCAGCACAACAATTGCCGAGGGACACACCTGGCAATCATCCAGGCATTTCAGGTTGGGGCTTCGATTTGGCCTGAGTTGTATTTGGCTGTGTTTAAACACGCGTTCATTACGCCACGCTTCCATATGTGTCAGCCCGTCATTCCAAACATCTTCTTGTGTCATGGTCACATTGTGTTCTGGACAACCTGTGCTGGGACATCTCTAGCCGAGAACATCTTGCACCAGGGCTATGAGGAGGGCTAAGCCGTACCGGATGAATGCTACTTTTTTTCACCTTCGTTTTGAGGGTCCCTTCTCCGAAACTGGAAACCGGCCAAGGGCGCCCTAACCCCCTGGCCAAAGGGCGTGCTCCAGCGCCGCCCGCAGCAGCGGCCGAGTGAAGCCCAGCACGGAGTAGCTCCACAGCAAATCCGCCACCTGTCCAGCGACCCGGCGGGCGGCGGGCGGCGGGCGACCGCGAGGCGAGCGACCCGCGCAAAGGACGGCGCTTGACCCCTCGAGTTTCATGGTCGTTCATTTTGAATGGACGCCCCCTTCCCAAAAAAGGAAGCAGCCCACTGGAGGTCTGGGGGTTGGAAGAATCTGCTTGGAATTGGACCCCCTGTTTGGAGTTGAAGGGGAGTAACAACATACGGTTGGGCCACCAGTTGATCTGAAAGAACTTCTTGTAAAGGCAGGTGGTTCCAGGAACCCTGGTAAACCGTGAAATCAGTGCCACCCTGCTTATAAAGGCGCGGAACGATAAGGAAGTTCATTGGAACCAACATAGGCACACCGAAATCTCAGGCGGTGTTCAACTGCAAACAGCAACAAACAACTGGCATTTGATGGAGGGACTCAGTTTTGATGGCTGCCCCTGCTCTGGATCAGAGTATGTTTCGCGAAATGGTCGACTCCCCTTTGGTTTGCCTTTAAAGCCCCCTTTGGTTGCCCTTTAAAGGAAAACCAAAGGGAAACCAATCGTTGTCTCTAGGGTACCCTCCAAAAGAAGCACCCATTGACACCCATTGGGAAAATCATGAAGTTCGCACCTCCATACACGTGGGGGGTTTACCCCTTATGTTATACCCTCCCCAACCTGAAATCACGAGAATGCACCCAGGCAACCGATGAATACTCAACCACCGATTAGCGGCTGTGTCTAGAAAAGGCACAATGGAGAACCGACTTGTTGGCAGTCTTTCGAAGGCACAAGAGGCCGGGTTTCAAGATGGTCTACCCAAAACCATGTAAAGACTTAAAAAGACGGCCGCGCCTCTTTATGGTTGGGACTATCCTTACTAACCTTCATCTTCTCGGGCTGTGTGGCTCGAGTTGACTTTCGATCTCATGATGCAGACTTTCATCACAGCATAATTCACGGATGTTTAACACCCCCTGTTGCTACCTGTCAAACTTGAGCTCCTCTCGAGGTGGCAAAAGTTGCATCTACTTTCATGTAGACCCAACCATGGTCAACAACAAACAAACAAACAAAAACAAATAAACACAAACAAACACACACACACACACAAACAAACAAACAAACAAACAAACCAACCAACCAACCAACCAACCAACCAACCAACCAACCAACCAACCAACCAACCAACCAAGCAAGCAAGCAAGCAAGCAAGCAAGCAAGCAAGCAAGCAAGCAAGCAAGCAAGCAAGCAAGCAAGCAAGCAAGCAAGCAAGCAAGCCAACACACAGCCACAGAAACAAGCAAACATGCACACAAAGACAACAAAGACTGCAAAACAACCAAAAGAATGAATAGAACAAACTGGACAAACCAAAACAACCCAATTAACAAGCAAAACACCGACGATCCTATCCGCGACCTTTTGCTCGATAGCCCCAACGGCTGAACGGGCCCCCTTGCCTCGCTGGGATCAAGCTCAGCGTGGCCTCGAAAGGTTCAGGTACCCTCCCTACCCATGTGTATACATATACATATTTATGTATGTTCCAGTCCCCAGGCCACCAACCCCCCAAAAAAATGACAAAATAGTCCCCCCCCCCCAAGGGCAGAGTCCCCCCCCCCCAAGGGTGGGGTCCCCCCCCCTGAGCCCCGAGCCCACACCCTGCTACAGTCGCCAGACCCCCTCCTCGAGCCCCTGAACTCGCACCGTTGCATCCCGACAAGTAGGGCAACTCAACCCACAACCAACCCCAAACCCCAACCCTAAACTCACCCCAAACCACCCCAAGCCAACCCTAAACCAAATCTATACCCACCCCCAAACCACCCACCCAACCACCCAACCCCCCCCCCCCGCAACCCCACAGGGGGAGCAGGGGGGGGGGGTCCCGGTTTGGAAAATATATATATATATATATATATATATATATATATATACACATATATATATATATTTATATATATGTGCTAAAATACAGAGAAAGAGAAAGATAGAGAGATTTATCTACCTCATATGCATCTTGGCCTGATTTACTCGTCATTCTTGGGGGGCTCTTTCAAGTCAAACCGTCCTCTGGGTTATGGAAGCCTGCAATACTTGGCCACAAACGAGAGAATTTGAAACCTTAAGCAACAAAGAAGTGGGGAAATGGTCCCACGGTCCAAACCAGGACCCCCACGTCGGGCGCCTTGTGTGGGTGTGAGGGTACCCTTGGCGAATCTTGCCCACCCTCTCTCTTATGGAGCCTGACACGAGCCTGTCGGAAGAGCAGCTCCCCCCACTTCAACAAAAGAGGGCAATAGTAGACTCAATCTGGTAACAGCTCAGCGTTAGGAAAGTGACAATCATCGTTGGAGCTCCCTGATTGATCGTGAATTCTACTTCAACCTGAAACAAGAACTGCACTCCACTGGGACCAACTCATGGGAGAAATCAGGCACGCACCGAAACCTCGTGAGGCTAACATAGCGTTTGCCCAGATTCAGCTCCACGCCTCGCAAGTTGAAAGTATTCGAAACATGACCGGCGTTTTCTGAAAATCCTTGAAAGAGAGAGAGAGAGAGAGAGAGAGAGAGAGAGAGAGAGAGAGAGAGAGACAGAGATATCAGGCAAGATTGCTTGCCGATGTTTTCCTGCGGGTACCCTCTTTACAAGGGAGAATAAAAGGAACGGCCACTTTTGCCAAGTTCCCCTATTTCGAGACAAACCCACGAGGCAATGACAACATGCAACTCAATAATTCAACCTGCAACATGCTGTTAGAGCCATGTTGTGCCGTCCGTTTAATATGTAACGTCAAAATTAAAGGGCGTGGTGTCCACCCATGTGGCCGAGGGCAACCTCCTTGTGGGCTTGATGGCACCTGCAAACACTAATCAGGATGGTCGGCAGAGTGTCCCTGCCCAAAGAACCTGGAAGATACTCACCAAAAAGAGGAAATCAACCGGATAAAAGGTCGGCTTTGGACAACTGAATAGAAGGGTCCGTTCTGCAAGGCCCCAGCAAGGCCCAAAAAAGCTTCAAGTATTTCCAGACATGAACCTTCCCCGTTCGATGATCTTTTTCATTCTAAGGGGCCTGGCTCCTATCCTAAGGCCTTGGTATCCGCTTTTTCCGGAGTTAAACAACCACTTGAATGGGGCAGATCATCCTCGTGAAAGACACGGACAAACGACCATGGAGAGGCTTCAAGGTCGCAAGTCTCCAAACTCAGTCGCTTGGCCAGCAGTTTACTTCCATCAGGGTGCCTGCTACGCCCTCTTGTACATATGACGAGATAGCCGTCAACGACGACGTTCTCGGGAGCCATGGCCTTCACAAAGGCATGAAGTCTTCGCAAACAAGTCAGCGCGTAGTGCCAAATCGAGAGCAGTGTGGGCGTTCAAAGTGGAGCTCGCAGAGAGTGCGGCGCTCTGCGCCACCTTTCGGTAACCATGAGCCCCTCATACTTCGGATAAAAGGTGAGTTTGCGTTTTCTTCAGAGCATTGGTCATAAGCTTGCGGGGCCATACCGCAGTGAGGCAGGAACGAAACCTGGCGAAGGGGGTGTGTGTTAGGGGCTTCCCCTTCAAATGTCCCTGCATGAATCCCGTTTACACTTTTGCACATGGACTCCCTACTATCAGCACATGAATAACTAGAATGAGGTTGTGGGATAATGTCAAAACCATTTAAGCCATGATCATAGGAGCAAGTGCTTAGTCATTGCTTAGCCACACGTGTTACATTGATAACACACAAGCCTGAAACAAGACATCTCCAAGTAAGGAACCTTCACCAGGGGGGGAACTACAAAATGTCCCTGCGTGGACCTCCCAGAAACCTATGGCTGGGTCTTTTTATCCGCTTTTGATTTACGGGCTTGTCCTTGGCAGCAGCCTGGCTTATCCCAGGGACAGCCGACCCCCGATCCGCCCCCCTAACTCCAAAAGGTGACGGTCGAAGCTTCGATGGGAGCCCCCGCGCCGGCCCTGGCACAGCCAGGCCGCACAGCCCTCCAGCAGCGGCTCGTGGCGCCAGTCCTCAGAGAAGTCGGGGACGGCAGGGGTCGGGAGGCAAATGGGCATCATAGGAATGCCCGGAACGGGGGAGGGGGGGGATGAATATCATGGGAACCCTCAAAGTGGTTGGTTTCACCCAAATGGGTGGGGTGCGTGTCAAAGGACCCTCTGGGTTTAAGTCCAAGGGTACCCTGAGTAAATGTGCCTTTTTTAGGTCAATGACCAAGTCAGTTTGAGGGTCCCTCCAGTGTCAAATGGCCAGTCGCTTGTTTGGGGTCCAACGATCTGTTGAATGGTTCAGCTCTTTGTAGATTGAGTTGAAGGGAAGGCCAAAAGGAAGCCAAGAAGACACACCCCGTCATTTTGGGGGGGTCAAATCGATGCAGGAAGCCCGCACAACTGGAATTGGGGACCTCAACCCCACCCCAAGGTGTGGGATACATCATGGGGGATTTGCTGTTTGATTCCTCTTGCCAAAGGGGTGATGGTTTGAGAGTAGCCCTTTCTTTGAATGGGTTCTTCAGGGAAACCGGAATGAAGCCAGTCGTCGTTGGCCCATGTCCATGGTGGAAGAACCAAATGCACCCGTGTTTGAAGCAATGCGAGTTGACAATAATAATGGCCATGGCTTAATTTTTGGCTGAAACCAGCCACTCAAGGGGCCCTGAATTCTGGAATGGTGATGGGTGAAGATCGTGGGGCTTATAGGAATCTGGATTGTGAAAGCTCTACGAAGCGGTGATGACCTTGTTTCACAGACCACTGCAACATTCAGCTAGGTGCTGCGAATGGGCAAAATGCACGCCAAGCACCAGTTGGGATGGATGAAAACGCATTACTGCGGCAAAGTGCAGGGTTCTGGCCATTCACATTATCCGAGGCAATCAGCTGGAAACGTGACAACTATTGACACTCCCGATGAAATCTGTATTGGACAGATCCAATATCAGTATCAACTTATTGATTTTGCAAGATTCTGATGTGTTGCTTGTTTATTTTGCAATATCGGACCTCAGGCATAGAGCGTCTTCTTCCGCAGTTCTAGTGGAATGCAATTCCACGCACGTGGTACTTGACACATGCTGCGAGATTAGCAATCGAGCTGGCGAGCGTGTCCGCCGCTGGTTGAAGTTGCCGCTGGCTAGACTTATGTCAGGGTGCGTACAGCATCTTAGAACCCATTTGTCAGAACCCATTCAGGGTTCCCCCAAGTATTTGAAGCTGCGCCAGGGACCCTGGTAAAATAAAGGGAATTGTGTTTGGTGTCGTTTCTGGGGAACCCACGAAACAACCTGAAAAAGAGTGTCACAAACCAGATTTTGTTGGCATCCCTGACGGTAAGCGGCCTCATGGAGCACAAACGTGTTTCATTTCCCAGAGAGCTTCCCAGAGTCAATGCAAATTCATTGAGAAAAAACTGTGAGCAGACCTCGTGCGGCTTCTCCAGCGGCATCCTTCCGTAAAATCAGCAAACTTCAACAACTATTTCTCAGCTCTCCAATGAGGAGAATGGCACCCAGCACCCAGCACCCAGCACGGGACCCGGGCCAGCTTCGCACAGCCGGTGAGCAGCTGGAGGCACTCCTGCGGAAATGCGGCTCGCATGAGCGAGCACCGCGTGTCTTGGAATGAATGATGGTTGTTTCCAAGCTCTTGGTATGGTAGCCTTAAGCCCGGTGTCTTGCAGCCTACCAAAAAATGAACAGAACCCAAAAAACTAAAAACCTAAAAACTTGCCAACAGTGAAGGGTTGGTCCTGTAGTTGCCCTTCAAACCAAGCCCAAAAAGGGCACCGTGAAGGAACACATACACCCACATTGTCTCGTGCTCTCTTTGGATGGACAAAATCCATGCCAGCACCACTTGACACGCTGCCAGGACACAAGTTGTGCCTCCTAGGCCTAGGCCCTAGGCCCTCTTAGAGAACACAACCCGTCATCGGGAGCTGCTGATTTTTGTTGTTTGTTTCGTTGCTTGGCTTGGCTTGGCTTGCCTTGGCTTGGCTTGGATTGCTTGCTTGCTTCGTTGTTTTTGTTTTTTTGTGTGTGTTTGTTCTTGTTTTTGTGTTGTTTTCTTTGCCTTGTTTGGTCTATTTGCTTGCCTGCTTGCTTGCCTGTCTCCTTGTTTAATTGGCTGCTTTCGTGGCTCCATGCGGCCTGGGCTCAAGGATCGCCACCGACTGCACGTCCCACTCCTGGCGGGTCACATGCGCCACCGCCGGCTGCACAGCCTCCTGGCATGGAAGCTGACCTATCAAACACCCTCTGAGTTCATGAGGGCGTGTATCTTTTTTTGTGGCTTCCAAACCACAATCGTGGGATGGATTAACCCTAGGAACAGGGGATATACACCACCTACAACAGCGGCTGCAGGATTTTGACCATCCACAGTATGGAAGGAACCCATTTTCTTGCAATGCCGATTGGCCATGCCTTTTCTTTGAGTTGTCAGCGCTTTTGACTCAACTCACAATACAAAACCCATTCATCCCAAACTCACAAGGGTACGTGTCAAAGTGGGGGGGAACCTTGAAACGGCCGGCTTCCCCGTGGTTGCCCTGACTTCCAATCCAAAAAAAGGTACCTCCCCCCGCCCAAAAAAGCAAAAAAACGGCCACAAAGGCCAACAGTGCATGGCTCCCAGCTCCGAGCCTCGTCCTCTTCTTCGGGCGCTGGTGCCTCGGATGGCTCGGACTGCATCAGACCAAACTCCGATAGGCGCGTTTTCGGCTGAACATCGAGTTCCACTGGAAAACGAGCAGAACCAAACTGAAGCAAGTGGAATCCATTGGTTTCAGCCAAAGGACCTATCCTGATGTTGGCCAGTGCCCTTCAAAAGCGACATCCCTTTTTGCAACAAACTGCAAAGCACTTTAAGGGATCTGAAGATGGTTCCCCGCCCCAACCCCCCAACATCCCCCAACATCCCCCCGGCAATGTCAGCACCTTTCTGGTGCTTCAGTCCCATCTCTCAAATCCTCACTTGTCGCATCCACGCACACTCTTCTGAACCAAAACTCCCGTGAGCAAAGTAGAGCACCATGGCTCTACCTCCTGAAACAACTCCAGGCACGCATTCGTGGAGCTGATCGGATCTTCGCTCATCACTGTCATTGAGCCCCAGCTCCTTGGGATCAGCCCAAAGAAGCGCCGCGCTAAGCGCCACTTCTCCAGGCCACAACAAGCGACGGGATGTGTCCAGAGCCACTTGCACCATCACGGGCGCGCGCTACGCTGTGTGTGTGTGTGTGGGGTTGATGTAAAGGAAGAAACAGTCTGAAACAGGGCATGAAACAACCCTTTAACACCCAGCCTTACCGCAATTTCGACAAATTATTATTTTCATTCTATTATGAGTATGATGATAATAACTATAACATTATTATTATTATTATTATCCTTCCCGGACTGGAATTAACCCTACTGATGGGCCCTTCTCAAAACCAGCCACGCATTTTCCGGCGCATCGCCTCTCCCGCGCCCACGTGGATCCCTTGGCGCCCCGGCCACGCTGTGGCCCCGGTCCTTGGCCTTGCGCCGGAGCCGGAAGTGCCGCTGCCTCAAACCGCCCGCACGCTCCCGGGGGGGGGGGGGGGGTAGGAGGCCAAGCGGTTTGGGTCAAGTCAAAAGATGATTGGTGACCCGAAAAAATATAGATTGGTGGGTTTGGTGTTTTGGAAGTTGCCACAAATGCACTTGGACCAAAATAGACGGCACAGTTCCCTCATTTGGGTTTAGTCATCCCCTTAACCTCAAAAGGAAACTGGGACCATCAAAGTGATCACATACCGACCTCTGGTCGCCCAGTTGGGATCTCAAGCCCCCCCGCACGATACCCTATCCCCCGCACGATACCCTATAACATCCCCTTGATTTCCCCCAACAAATAGGGTGTGTTTGGGGGGGGGGGGAGAGGCAACGACCCCTAAGTCCCACACAACCCATATCAGGCAGGTGGGTTTACCTACACACGCTTGCCCCTGTTCCCACTTTCGCGGAGGTTCCCCAAACTGCCTTCAGCCATCTGCCTACTGCTTGACTTGTCAAGCGCTTTGCTCGGAAGCGAGTCGTCATTTTTCCTTCGCAAACGCGTTGTTCGTGATAGGCCCAAAGATCAAGAGGACCCCCAAAACGGTCGCAGCGTTTGCGCCGTCGGAGGGAATGACGCAGTTAACATCCACGAACTCAGAGCCGTGCAGAAACTGGACGGACTGTTTGAACGTATTCCTAAAAGACGCGGCTGAAGTCGTCACCTTTCCGGCGCTCGAAGCAAACATTAGCCATAAGGTTTTCCTGCACATGCTTGCCCTTGGAGTTCCACACAAGCCATTTGGTACTCACAATTCTTGAAAAGAGGTACCCCACATCTTTGTCTTTCTGCAAACAAATGCAATTCTTCAGCAAATCTACAATACTTCCCAAACCTGACATAAGGGGATCAAAGAGCTTGCATCATGGCAAGCTCTTTTTACTCTCAGACTCTCAAGCGAACTCGCCATAAGCAAGTGGATGGGACATCCCTTCCATGATTTCACTGACCATCCAGGGCCTTGTCTGTGGAAAAACTGGTGCAATCCACAGTTTGGGCATTTGAAGTGCTGCCTAGATTGTCCACCCTCGGTTGGTCAAGAAAAAGGTCAGCCAACATGTGCCGAAGCCTCTTCAGGATCCGTTGTTAAGCCTTTAACACGTTCTGCCCCACCAGGGTCAACACCCAGTTCACGAACACGAGATGAATGCGCACCTCATCTGCTCCCACCAGAAATCGTCCTGCAGCGAGGACATCCAGCGGCTTCCCCCTTTTGTCGGTTCCCCTTGCAAGCAGCCGCTGCCTCAAAAACAAATTGCCACCAGACATCAGCTTCCCTCTGATTGGTGGTTTGGATTGGTGGTTTGGTGGTTGAGAGGTGGTTTCCCATTTACCCTCTACCAGAACCAGGGTTCAAATCCCTAAACCACCCATCCAAACCACCAACTAAGCATTACCGGACAGGTTCGTCGGGGAGTTCAGAAGGTTGCTCTCAAGACCCTTTCACACCCGCTTTCGGAGCCGATGCCCAATAGTTTTTTTCGCTCAAACGTGGCGTTGTTTCGAGGTTCGGAGCAACCCTGACATGCCAGAAGACGTTGGTTTGCGGTTAATCAAAGGGTCTCCCTTGTTCCCTACTTGCAAGATTCAGGGCATCCGCCGCACCTTTGCAACTCAAGTGACTCACCTGCCCGCCACTCATTTGTCCCACTGTCCTTGGACCGAAAGGCACGTCCGTCGGAGGGCAGTCGATACCTGAAAGGCGGGCAAGGCAGAGGGTATGCCTGTACAGGGTTTGTGGGGAGTTAAGAATAGCTTTGGACCCTGCAAGAAAGGAACCTTTGCTCAAGCTCGCCGCGAAATGCAGACAACGCCTAGAACAGTTCACCAATTCCCGACAAAGGAACCGTCATGCGTGGGCCCTGGGGTCACAATATTTCAGTAGGTTGCTCTAATCCGCGCAGGCTCGCCCACACTCCTCAGGATTGATGTACTCTCTTGCTCAATGGAAGGTGTCAGATTCCTACAAGGTCCTACAAGAACCTTCCCACAAGCGAAGATGGTCAACCCTTTGGGGTGGCTCGGGGTGTGTTGCCTGCGGAGACATGAACAGTTTACGGTGGAAGGGGATAAGGCGGAAAGTCATCCCCGTGCTTTCCGCGGAATTGGCCATCAGGGCGACGAGGCTTGCGGTTCAACGGCGACCGCCAGCTTCAGAGGGCGGCTCCGAGCCCAACTTTGGGGCCCGCTTTCTAGCAATGGAAGTGGACTCTGGACGTGTTGGGTCTTCCCCCCAAAAAAAAGCAAAACCCTCCGATCGTCAGCGTCCGGGCAGATTGCTCGTTACGTCACAAGGGTAGAAAGTTGCTGTGAAAGGAGAGCAAATCTTACCAAACCTTGTTTTTTTTGGTAACCCCCCCTCTCACTAACAATCATCAGAACCCAACAAATTACACAACCCAAACACGGATACAACATGAAAGACATGGGCCAATTTTCTACTTGTGCGGGAAAGGGAAGTTCCGGCACACCCAGCTTCATCCTATGCAGGTAATGGTCCTTGAATTATGCAAAAGATGTGGCAGGGCGATGTATTCATCTGGACATCGACACCCCTACAAAACGTCCTCCAGCCTCCTTTGAGATCCGGACGCTGTTTCAAAGGTTCCGCAAGCACAAAACGGGATTTCCCGAGCCTCCAAAAAGTACATACCCATTTGGGGTTGTCTTTAAAGGAAACCACAAGGCAACCAACATCAAACCAAAGTGAAACCACAAGGCAACCAAAATCAAACCAAAGTGAAACCAACAGCAACCAAATTGAAACCACAAGGCAACCAAAATCAAACCAAAGTGAAACCAACAGCAACCAAATTGAAACCAGAAGAAAACCAAAAGGAAACCAAAAGGCAACCAAAATGAAACCAAAGTGCAACCAGAAGAAAACCAAGAGGCAATCAAAAGGAAACCAAACAAAACCAAAGTGCAACCAAAAGGCAACCAGCATGAAACCAAAGTGAAACCAAAAGGCAACCCTAAGGCAACCAACATGAAGCTAAAGCGAAACTAGAAGCAACCAAAAGCCAAAGTGCAACCAGAAGAAAACCAAGAGACAATTAGAAAGAAACCAAGCAAAACCAAAGTGAAACCAAAAGGCAACCAACATGAAACCAAAAGGCAACCAAAAGGCAACCCAAAGGCAACCAAATGAAACCAAAGTGACACCAGAAAGGCAACCAAATTGAAACCAGAAGAAAACCAAAAGGCGACCAAAAGGCAACCAAATGCAACCAAATGAAACCAAAGTGAAACTAAACGGCAACCAACATGAAACCAAAAGGCACCCGAAAGGCAACTAAATGAAACCAAAGTGACACCAGAAGCAACCAAATTGAAACCAGAAGAAAACCAAAAGGCAACCAAAAGGCAACCAAATGAAGCCAAAGTGAATACCACAAGCAACCAGATTGAAACCAGAAGAAAACCAAAATGAAACCAAAACGCCACTCCAAGTGAAACCAAACAGAAGCCACCCGTTTTTGAGGTTTCCCAGTCAGACCCGTTTGAATGAATCGCCCCGATTTCGGCCAAGCCACGCCCCAGGCTTGCACAAGAGCTCGGCTGCCTTTTCCAGCCTGAGGGGCCGATTTCGTGCCGACATGTCACTCCAAAAAAAAGAAGTATGGATACCCTCACTCCCACTAACATGGCACCTGACAGAGGGTCCCTTGAAAAGAAAATTGATCTTCCAGGTACCCTCCCACAAATGCTATGTTTGTGGGAGGAAGGATATGTCTTTTGCCCAACCGCTGAAAGCTTTGGGGTCTTTGCCCAATTTGGGGTAGTTCAGGGCAACTTTCAGGGAGGGTTCCGGCAGGGTTCCGGGGCTGTTGGGGATGGGCTTATGTTTCGAGGGTACCCTTGTTTGGTTGGTTTTCAACGGAAACCCAAAAGAAGCCCACTATTTTGGAGGGGTCCCCTAAAAGAAACCACCCATATGAGGGGGCGGGGGCGCAATAAAGCTAAATGTTGCCACATTTGAGGCAGTAATGTACGAGTAAGTATCTAGCCCCTGAACATTGCCAAAGTCACCCCCAGACTACTCGTCGGAAAAGGGGACATTCATAACATCCGACAATCATGCACTTGGTTGTATACCATTGCGAAGGGTTTCGTCCAGCCCGGCTGGTGCAGGAGTTTGTCCATCCACACTTTGCTTCACAGACCCTACGGAAGACCCAGCCTGTCTTGGCCTTATGTCTTCTTACGCACCTTATTCACCCCATCTGACTGGAGGTCTCAGGAGGACCACTTTCCTCTTCTGGCGGGTTCCATGAGAGAGAGGCCGACGCCCCCCAAAGCTTTTCGCATAGCTGCGCTCCGCAAAGTTCCACTGGGCCAGCGGCAACTGCTCCTTGGCCTCGCAACGTTTCAATGTCGCAACGCGCAAGCGGCAAGGCAACAAGCCTGCAGAAAAGGGTTTCCTGGATTCCCCACATAGTTTCCCACAAATCAAAACATGATTTGTCTTCTTGTTTGCTTTAGGGATGCGGGGGAAGTCCCCAGTAAAGCATGGCGATCAATTCTTGGAAAAGCCACCCACATTGCTCATTGGTTCTCGTCAGTTGTTCTGCCAACTAAAACGGAAAAAAAAAAGAAAGATGGCACACCAGGCGAAACAATCACATGCAAGTCAACCACGCTAATCCATTCACTTCAGCGATCCTCTCTTCAAAAATTTGGCCGGCCAACCCCACTGGAATCCCATCCCAACATTCCCCCTGTCAAGAATGTCCAGTACAGTGCCTGCTTTCTAGGTAAACGGGGAACTATGTATTTCATCGGGGGTGCCTGGGGCCGTGCCCTTTGCTTTTCGGTCGAGATTCAAAAAGAAAAACCCTTCCGAAAAAGCCAGCAACCCCAATCCTTCAAAGCCAAAAGGAAAACCAACAAATCACACATACCTCTTTGGTTTCCCGTGCAAACAACCAAAAAGGGCATGGCAAATGCCCCAAACATTGCAAGCAGGGAAACGGGATTTGCCAGGGTGTGGTTGGTTCACTTGCAATATTTACCTCCCGCCAACATGCAAGCGCAAAGATGTGTTTGGAACAGCAAGGACAAATGATTGTTGATAGAAGGTGGGGACTCAACCGCTCGAGAAACGATGCACCGCAACGGCCGAACTACCTAGAATGGGTTTGTGCAGGGGACTGCAATTTTGAGAAACACCTATATGACAATTAATTTCAACATGGAGCACCCCAAATAGGTCGGACATGCATCCCCGTAATTTAATGATGTCCACCCGATAGCCCCATATTCAAATCTGGGCTGTCCTTAGATCCCCTGCTAAAAGTTTGACTTTCAGTGTGTGCAAACCCCCACTAAATACACCCTAAAAACCTGAAAACCTAAACACCTAAAAACCTATAAACCTCAAAACCGAAAAACCTAAACAACTACAAACCTAAGGAACCGAAGGTCTAGCCAAGAAATCTACGCCCACCTTCCCCGAGGCCCCCCGCATCTTCTCCTTCCGCGCCAGGCAGCGCCGGATGCCCAGCCAGCGCTTCGGGCAGGGCACACCTCGGGAGCCATGGGCCCCCGCGGGCCCAGGGGGGGCTGGGGGGGGACCCTGGTGACGCCAAACCCGGCGTTCAAAAGGGGCGGGACACGCCAGGAGAAAATGGCTCTCAAGATGGTGGCTTCTTGTTGGGCGCTGTTCAAAACGGAGTGTTGGCCAATCTGATCTTCCATAATCCAACTGTTGGAAAGCCAACAGGTCAAGATGGTGGTTTCTTGTGGGTCTGGTGGGCAAGGTAATGTCTTAGATGACCGGGGTTCAATATGATGCAAATGGGGGAGGGTTGACGAGTCTGGTGGAGACGTATAATACCACCACTCGCCAACCCCAAATTCAGGAATTGTCTATGCAGAGAACCTTCATCATGGGTAGGTCGCGAACCTTTGTGAGGTCGCAGTCGGGCAAAAGGGTTTCCCATGGCTTCTCAATCGCATTCTAGAGAAGCTAGAATTGATCACGCCATTCCACATTCTGCTTACACTTCATTCGATGAACCCTTGCAGCGAGACTCAGTTGAGAGCAGATGAATCTTTCCAGGGCGATGCCATGTGACAAACGGCAAGATGTCAAGAGTGAACCTCAAGAGCGCCACCTTACTGGCTCGCAAACAAGCAAGACATGGATGACCGTGTATTTACCCATGTACGACCAACAAGCAAAATGGAGGCGTCCAATCACCAGCCAGCTAAAACAACAAGGTTTGCATGTGCGGTCCCAATCATTTGGCATGTGCAGTTAGGATCACTCCAAACTAACAAAATGAAACCGCAATGTTGGCTGGATGCTCTGCCAAAAAGTCCCCTCCCGGAGAACACACTTATGTACAAAGCAACCTAGGGGAATTTGACTGCCCCACTGGCACTAACACTCTATCAACCGCCCAACAAACCTAGCGGGCCAGTGGGTCCAAAAAAGCGAGCCAAAGGGCCGTCGCACCTCCCAAAGGTTCCAGAGTTAGGCCGTTTGGCGGAGTTAGGCTCACAGAAGAGGCAAATAGGCATATGGCACAAATTTAAAGACATGCTCCAATCCATTCTAGCATCCTGCTCCTGCTTCTGCCAGCAAAGCATTGGCAGCAGTCGTGAGGCTTTGTGACTGGCCTTCCTGCTGCTTCCGCGGAGATCGCTCCGAATGTAGAATGTCTGCCTGCTCACGTAACCCCATTTGCAGTATCAGCTCCATGAGCTTCTTCCCGACATATTCACGGAGATCATGGTGCATGTCCCATGCTGCAGAGAGCACGAAGACGCCTCTTAAGGTCGCCAAGGGAAACAACTCAAGCAGCAACTTAGGGGTACAACCTGCAGGGTACGACTCAGGAACTCTTGAACCTATCCCCTACTAATCAACCTTCAACAATCCTGTTTCGGCTGGGGTTTGTCATCTTATGATTTTGACTAAATTGGTGTGAAACAAAGCAACCCCATTCCAATTATTTAGGCCTTTCTATGCGTCTCAGATTCAGGGACCCAATGTGACGTTTCAGCCCAAAGGGGGTCAAATTCGAGAAAAACCCGCGTAGAAATCTAAAAGTCCGGCGCAACCTGTGGTTCCCCCCCAGAAACCTAAAGCTGAACTTTTCAGCAAAAGCTGATCTCAAAATCACCCTTTGGTTCGAACTCGCAACCCTAGCGAAACTTTAGGGTCCACAGGTAATTCCAGTTTTGTTAGGACATCCCCACTGAACTGGGAAAGAAGCGTGGGCTCCCCCTACATGTTTGCTTTTATTTCCCCTGTTTCCCATTGGGGTTCGCCAAATGTCCAGGTCGAACATCACCCCAATGGAAAATCGCTTGAACCTGGACTCTCCGAACGGCGAGGCCGTTCAAAGAACCGCCAGGGCCCATGAAAAAAAACATATGGGTGTTCCTCAAAATAGTGGCAAAAATGTGTGGGTTCCCTCTTGTCTCCTTTTTCCTGCCCAAAAAGGATACCGAGCCTCGGGGAAAACAGACACGCCCATTTTTTTGTCGGAGCCCCACGCCGCTTAGGCCTCCCTGCAAACCGCTCGGGGTGCACTCAGAGAGCTCGTGGCCCCGCGTGAGAAGCTGCCGCCGCCTTAGGCCGGTGGCAGCTCTAAATGTGGGGAACCCTTAGATGAATTTCCCTTGGGCGATGCTTTAGGGAATAAATTGGTGCTTCTCGGATTCGGATTTGGAACTTTAAGATCGCTGGTTGGTTTCCTTTGGCATCCTGTTACCAAAAGAAAGCAATCTCAAAAAGAAGACACACCTAAGAGACCTAGCTTCCTTTTGGTGTCCATTGATTAAAAATCAGCCCAGAAAAAAAACTGGGCTCTCAAAACTCAAAATCCGACCCCTCAAGGTTCAATTCACATGTCCACCCTTTACATTGGCCAAAACATGAGAAACTACGCGGACCCCCTTTGTTCCAAGTGGCTTCCCTTTAGTTTCCGTACACAGGGTCAAGTTTGAGAAACCCCAAATGTGACTGGATGGCAAGCGGCATCGCGGACTTTGAATTTCTTTCAGGTTGAAGCCGTCAAGAAGAAGAAGAAGAAGAATCGTCATCGTTTGTTGACCCCAAATGATCAACACCGAGGAATAATTTGCGGTCGGTTCCTGTGTTCTGTGCGGGCTTCCCTGAACAAGGTCCCTTGAATGCAGCTCAGGCGATCTTAAAACCTCGGGAAAAGGGTTCCTCCAATTTGGAGACTTTGCTTTCGCTGAAAGGGGGGGAAACCAAAAGAACGCGCTTCTTTGAATTTGGGGTGGTCAATTCGGTGGGTTGCCAGGGGCTTCACCACGTACGCATATTGCCTTTTTGTCGAGGGTTTCAGGAAGCCAAAGGGGCACCCCCAATTGGAGGGTCCCCTACTTTGAGACAAACCCAATCATTAGAACAAACAAGTTGTTGCTTAAGGTAACCCCCATCAGTTCTGGAAACAGGCGCAAGTTTTGGGGGTCCAAAATCCAAATATCGGCGAGCCAGTTAAACCAACCACCAACCATCAGAATTTATGGGGTGTCCGTGTTCCCTACCTGGGCATCCACCGTACCCACGGTGTTCTCCTCCCTTTTGCGCTCGGCTCATTCCAGGTGTCGGGCAGAAGAGGGCAGGGCTGCTTCAGGATTGCAAAGTCCCGCAGCAGCGAGACCTAGGGCTCCCCACGTGATCGTCCTTTCTTGAGGATACCCATTTTGGACGTATTGCGAGACAAATCAGAATTAGGCTTCTCAAAGGGGAACCGAAAATTGCTTTTTGAGTTTCCTTTTGGTGTCCCTTGAAATGCCAACCAAAAAGGGGATTCTGAGAATACTGGACCTTCTTTGTTGGTTCATCGTCCCCATGAACAACCAAACGCGTGGAAGGTTTTGGAGGGTTACCCGAGAAACCATATTGGTTGAAAGGGCCTAACTTTAGGCCAAAAAGGCGATGCTTAAAACCGCTCCCATGGGTTTGTCCCGTTTCGGGGGTTGTCAAGGGAGACCAACACGAAACCCATGTTTGGGGCTCCCCTATTTTGAGACACCCAAAAAAAGGCCCCTGGCAGATGCCTTCAATCTGGGTGCTACATTGACCTCAGCCAAGCACCTATCTGAATGACGAAGGCCCCCTCAGCCGTAGAGGAAACAAAAAAAGAACACACACACACACACACACCACAGAACAGCCCTGCAAGACGACCCTGCTCTGTAGCGAAACCAACGAGCAAGGGGCTCGGGGCTTCCCATGTCAAGACCTAGTTGGACATGGTTTGGTTGATTAGGGATCCCTTGGACAACCCTTGGGTTGGATGGATGTCCACCACCCACTGTTGAGGTGGTTTCATATTGGGAACCATGGCCACTTGAACCCATGACGCGACCAATTTCACTACCAGTAGCACGTTTGGTTGGGGTTTGGTTGGAGATGCGCTCTTCAGACTCTGTTAAATACTTGGGTGTGTTTTTGTCGAAGGTACCCGTGTTTCCTCATTTTAAGGAACACTAGAGGGAAACCACCAATGCGGGGGGGATCCCCCTCAAAAAGGACACCCTCAATTGGTCAATATCGAAAGGGGGAACCCCCCCTCCCCCAAGAAACCAAAACACACATAAAAAGAAACAAACAAATCATGAACAAGCGGCATGCCGTCCGGTTTTTGCTCTCCTCCAAAAATAAAGGTTGAGGAACAGGCAAACCTCTTCTCCCCCTCCATCCACGTCCAAAAAGAAGAAGCTGATCAAAAAAGGGCGTGGTGGCCGTCTGGGTTTTGGAAGCCGAGGCCCGCGCCAGGTGCTCCGCATGGAACTTGAAGGGTCGCTGCTCCACCGCCGCCTTTGAGGAGGGTAGAGCGACCGAGGAAAGGGCACGAACTCCCCCGAAAGGCATCCACACACACCCACCCACTCACCCACCCTCCCACCCTACCCTCCCACCCCAAAAGAAACAGGAAAACAAACAGAAAGGGTTGCGCTTCAGCCTTCTCAGGGCCAATAAGAGGGCCCCCTCAATTGCTCTTGGCTGCCTCGAGCGGAATCCTGCACATCGGGTTCTGCCCGCACCAGTCCTTCCCTCAAACATGAGCCGTGATACATAAAGCAACATGGTTCCTTTCCGTGGGATATGCCTGGAAACGCTCGCACATATCTCGTGTATAGGCTTGCTGCCATAGACCGAATCGATCGAGCAGAAATTCGGTAGTCAGGGGAAACCAAGGCAAACCAATCAATGTTTGAGCGTCTCTCTTCTTGAGAGTATCCTTTTTGGGGTGGGGGTCCACATCCCGATTTTGACGCGTCGTAGCCAGTTCAACCCTTGGGTTTGACATTCGCGGAACTCGGACCACTCGGCTCAGCAAAGCGGCGGCCCGCCTCCACGTGGTGGACGAACTGGTACTCTCGCTGGCCTGCCTCCGAAAGGCAAGCGGCCGCAGGCCCACTTTCCTTTAAGAAAAGCCAGGCAAGAAGAGCCTGGCATGGTTGATTCTTCTTCAAAGTGGTCTCCCTAAATACTAGCAAACTGCCAAGCTGGCGGGATCACGGGTGGCCATGTGTCCCGATACTCCGTCTTCGACCTTTCATGGAAACCAAGCAAGGAGAGGGAGGGTGAGCTGAAACCCAAGGGTCGGTGTTGGCTGCCTGGGTTGCCTGCTACAAGGTCCCTGGCGCATGTCCAAGAAGCAGCTTGGGAAGGTTTGCCGCATTTTTCCTTGACACCCAAGGAAGGCATAGAGGGTTGTCACAGTTTAAGCCTCGTCTAGCCAGATGCAAGCAGCGTCAGCTTACCCCACGCCAACTTCTCCCGTCCAGAAATCGGTTTGTGGAAATTGCAATGGCTTCGCTACTTGTAGGCCTTGCCAATGACTTACATACTTCAAGGGGAAAGTTTCCGGAAAATTGTGATACCAAAGTCGGAATCCCATCACCAAGACTTTATCCCTGACTAAGTCCCTAAGGACTTGCAAAACCGGGATGGGATGGATGAAACTCTGTGAACCAGGGGACATAACTTTGATATAAACCACCGAGCCACCAATCCCACCTGCTTCCTGGCGTGGGTTTCTCCCTCCGTTCAGCTTCCCTCTTGATCGCTTGGGTCGGTTTTTGAGTTGAACTAGGGGGTGGCCCATCACAAGAACTTTGGGGTTCACACCCCCACCGATCCAAACCACCACCTCAGGGCGCCGGGCAACCGTCGGACGCAGACCCTCCGGGCCCCAGTCCCCCGGCGCGCTTCAAGCCGAGCCTTGGCGATGGCCGCCACCACGTCGCAGGTCATCTTCGGCGTCAGCGAGCCGATGTCCGGCAGCAGCCTCGGGTCCGCCCGAGGGGGGCCCCGCGAGGTGGGTGGCTTGGTAGCTTGGCACCGCTTTTCAAAGAGAAACGGCCCTTCCAACATGGGTGGCGTCCGAAAAAGGGCGATCTCCCCGAAAGTGCCGTGTCTCCGGTGAAACCCCAAAGGGTCACTGGGGATCGGCCATGGGACACTGCAGACGAGGGGTGCTTTAGTCGAAGGGCGCCCCTCACCAATACAAGGGCCTAAGTGCACACAGCATCCCGCCATCCTGACTTAGTCTGGTTTCAAACTACTAACTTTCAAGCCGTTCTTGCGGTAAGCCAAAGGCCTGGCGCAGTTGGGCGTAGGGATTTACCTCAAGGGAACCTACCAAACGTGTCTGGCGGTAGCTCGGACGCGAAACGCATGAGTTGCAAGCTGAGAGTTGGGGAGGAGCTTAGGCCAGGTGGATGGTCCAATGGCTGTTCGGAGTTGGATTCCCCCCCAAAAAAAAACAAACAAACTAACTAACTAACAAACTCACAAACGGTTCGAGTCTCTTTGAGCAATCGGCAGAAGCATGCCTGCCACATTCATTCAGATACACTCTTTCCAACATGGGAGTGGACAGCAGATTAGAAGAAAGCCATCCTCTTGAAAAGGTCCCTGGCAACTGCCCTGGCCAACACTAGTGCAATGTCCGGCACAGCCAACCTGTTGCTTGCCCCCCGTTGCCTGTTTTTCGGGCCCATGAATTGGGGCGAACTGCGTGAAGTGATGAAGTCGCCCCAACAGCGACGGCTTTGGGGTCGCACGGAAACCCTGCGATCCTAGGGATTCGCGGAACTTCCGGGGAAGGTCGCCCCAGCGGACAAAGTGGGCCCTTTTCCACCTAAGGAGCGCTATTCCTGAAAGGACCCGGATGGAGGACGGCAAAGGTAAACCCAACATTTGGAGGAGTGCCAGGCTTTGGGATACAAAGCACGGGAGCGAAGCAAGCAAGCAATCCACCACGCAAGCAAGCGAGCCAGCCAGCCAGCCAGCCAGCCAGCCAGCCAACCAACCAATCAACCAACTCTTGGAGAAGACTTCGGCGTGTTTGGGTGGGGAGGAGCTTGTGTGATTTCTGGGCGTCCCCGACTTCTTCATCAGCACCAGGTATATCCTCCAGCCCTGCACCCGGTGGAACACGTCCTCCGGCTGGATGTCCAGCTTCGCGCCTTGGAACTGTTTAGCCCTTCGAATCGAGCAAGCCAGGCCGGCCTGTAAAGGGCCAGCAGAACGCTTGTCTCATCTCGAATGGGAACCCAGGATTCGTAGACCCCTGCTTGATTCGTAGAGGAGTGTCCCACTTAAGAGGGAGTTCTGGTCAACAATACACAGCTTCCAACATGCATGTCATGAAGCCAATGCAGTTAGTAGAATCACCTACTACATTGTCCAAAGGGTGTTTTGGGCGCTGCTCACACGCGTCGCTTCTTTCCTAACCTTCTGGCAGTATACGATTTGAAGCACACGTCCAACACCTGTAGCAGGCGAATCTTGATTCGCTGCACTAACAGCCCAGGCCGCCATAAACGGCTGATCTCCATCGCTTGCAGCCAAGGCCAACAGGGTCTATATACTAGGATTGGCTTGCATGGTCCCCCCCCAGTACCAAAAACAAAGCTTCCTTGTATTCTGCCTTGTTGAGTGGAGGCACACGGAGAATAGGAAAGGAGAGCTCCCACCAAAGTCAGAACCCCTCTGTGATGTGAATCAACTTGCGGTCCTATCGAAGAAAATCTAAGAAATGCGCGGGACCAATGCAGAAGCCTTGCTGAACACGGGGTCTTGGGTGCTCAGGCGAACAGCTCCATCCTGAGGATGGGCTTTCACCACGCGAGTCCTTTCCCGGGCCTAGACAAAAGCTCCCTACGGGAACGGGCTTGAGCCACAATCAATATCTTACTCGTTCCCCCAAAAGGACAGGTCTTGTTTTCAATTTCGCGCGTGTGGTAACATCAATGAGTTCCCGGTCCATTTCTCCCACGCTCCTTCCTTCCCGCAAGCGCGGGGCAGGCCATGATGGTCTCCGCAGCAGCCTGGCAAAGCTGTCAAAACCAATCGTCTTTAGGAATCGGACCCCAGAAATAGATTTTGGTTTTGGGGTTCCATTTAAATCTCAAAAAAAGACACACTCAGATGTTGGTTTCCCCGGTGGGTTATATAAAACAACCCACTCAAGCAGGGTGCCCGCAGGCAAAAAAATACACGCACACACACACACACACAAATCACGGGGAAGCCTATGTTCGGTTACTTTTTTGGTGTCATTTGCCCAAAAACAACCAACAAAATCAACTTTGTTGAAAAACTATGCCTGGAAAACTTGCTTGTGCTTTAAACTTTATCCGGGTTCTGACTCTTTGCGCCGAGTGAGTCCAAACACTCTGGTCTTGTAGAAATGTGGTAACTGGAGCAAGGAAAAGGAAATCGTATAACGCCATATAGCCATTGTCTACTGTGGTTTGGACATCCTTTCAACGTGCGGAGCAAAGAGTGCTTCTCATTGCAAATACGGCGAGCCCTTTGTGCGTCGGTTGGTTGGCTTCCTTTTGTGTTTCACCCGGAGGGCTTCAGCAGTCTCCGCGAAAGTTTGTGCCGCACCAACAGCTGAACTCCGGGACACCACACGAGCCGTTCTCATTGTAAATACGTGCAGGTTGCCGGCATACATCTGGAGCCCAGGCACTGAGTGGATTTGCATGGGGAAAAAGGGCAGCCCGTTTTTGGGGCAGTTGATTTTCAACACACACACACACACCAAACAAACCGGAAAAGTGGGTACCACTGGAAACTGTTGCTTAAGCTTCGTCATCATTTCGCGGCACAAAGCAATACATGCGTCTCTATGGGTTTGGACAAACAACCCAAAGAGTACCGACCCAAAGACGACAGCCATATGAACTCCTGGCACGAACCCCTGGTTTATAGGCTTCATTAACAATCGATTGTGGCGCAATTGTGCCACAGGAGAACCAATTGTGTTCACGCTGGACCGGTGTTCGGTTGCCTCTCTGACTCATGTTTGGTTGCTGCTTGCTGAAACCTGGCCTTATGGTTTTGGGGCCTCGGTGATGTCGGTCCTAAGGTTGCCCGGTCCTGGTGGGTGTCAGGCACAAGCTCTTGGAAAGGCAAATCTCACTTTTCGGCGTTGGTGAGGGGAATTATGGGAACCCAACAAAAAATCGTCAAGACACGGGTAGCAGGTTGATACTGGGTGTGTCTTTTTGGGGGAGGTGTGCGAGGGCACAAGGGATCAAGCTCGCTTTTGGAACATCAACCCCGCATTTCCACCAATCGAACGCATGGCACCTTTTGCATCCCTTTCCGGCCTGTGGGTTCAGATAGGAGATCGCCCGCGGCACGCTTCGCACCTCGGTGGACGAGATTTGGATGCGGTACTCTTCGGTGTTGGACTCAAGTTCGATTTCGGTTGGCGTCCTTTTGGCCTCTCCCTTTAAAAGCCCATCGAAACACGGTACCCTTCCTGGCATATCTGGGAGGGTGCCTGGAAAACCAATCTTGAAAGGACCCCCTGTCAGGGTAGCCATTTTAAGACCCAAGCTGCCCTCCCAGCGAACGGTCCGCGGCAGCCTGAATCGCGAAGTGTTTCGCTTCCTTCGATTTCTTTCGTGCACCAACTGCCCCCTTTGTGTGGAAGCCCATCTTTGCACATCTTAGGTGGAGGCGGGGGCAGAGTGCAACAAATACTGCTCTTCAATCCTGTGGCTCACATTTTGTTCTGTGCACCAAAGTGGGCCATCCCCATGACATTGGCCATCACGGACATCCTCTTTGGTATCACTTGAAGGCAACCCTCAAACGCCCAGCTTCCACAACCCTGCTCCGAACTCTTCTTCAAACGGGGAGCGCCCTTACCAAACAGGCCGTCTCATAGCTCAGCGTTCACAGGGCTTTGGACTCGTCAAAGCGCACCTTCAAGATCTCACACCCCCATCAAAACCATACTCACTTGAAGTCGGCTCAAAAGGTGACGTTTAGCAACTTAGAACCATCAGAAAGGGAAACAAACGGGGAGACTGAAAGACTGGTCACCCTCCCTCCTAACCGGCACTGGATCTGAGGAAATGATCTTCCAGGTATATCCGGTACCCCATACCCCCACATTTGTAAGGGTTTTTTCCAGGTGGATCTTGTGTTGACAAGGCACGCATGGTGGGGGACAAACAACTTGCTCTGTGATACAGAAGTGGGAGGGACTATTTGATCATTAAGGGGAGTTCCTTGGCACTCACAGAAAGTAACGCCCCACCTCACCCCCGCCCCCCATAAAAGCAAAGATCATCCAATTTTCCACCACCGTTTCATCCAATTGTTCCTCAACCGTGTTCATCCAATTTCCCTTACCCATCCCTCTTCGAACTCTGGGCGCACGACCAGCAGCCGCAGCGTCCTGAAGCCGCGCGACCGCGCAACCACCAAAACGCCTAAGGGAGGGCCCTGGAAATCGCCGCTGTAGAGGTGGTACAGCACCCTCCAACATGGCTTACTGCAAAAGCTTCCCTTCCAAAAGTTGCTTGGGGATCTGTGCAGTCCCATGTTTTTGGCGGGAGGCTGTCCTGCTTTGGTGTTGTTTTCAAAGGGAAGAGTCACTCTCATGTTGGGGGAACGATTTGAGACACCCACCGAAATCAGGGGCTTCTTTTATGTAACCGTCACAAAAGCGAACCAAAGGGGGACCAACCATTTTTTCCATTTCTCTAAGGATCAGCTAAAGCATGCAAAGCATGCGGCTTGTGTCGCGTCCTGATCCACATGTCTACATTTATCCACCCATCTGTCGGGGGCACTCCGTCGCGATTTCTGTTCACTTTGATAGGAGACCCAAAAACTGGGTCCTTGTGGTTTCGCTTGAAACCACCCGAAAAGGGAAACCCGTCAAAACACACACACACACACACACACACACACACACACAACCACACCCACATCATCTTTCAGATAATTGCCGCAGCTTGGCAACGTCTCTCAACAAGCTCCCTTTGTGAGGGTCTTTGATCTCTGCGCAAGATCTCTCCAGAAAGCAATGTGTGGCTCAAGACCTTGGATGACTCTCTGCAACATCTCTGAACTAGGCCTCCTTTGAGCATATGTCCAAGAGCTACAAGTCCACACACGCACACACACACACACACACACACTTCCAGGAATTGGAAAGCGACTGTTGTCAGCCGCGCAGTCACAATAGCGCATTCGTCGGACACAATCCCATCCTGAAGATGGAGCACACTGTTTGCGAAAAAGGAAGCATACTGACACATGCTGACCATATCACACAAACATCCGTGATGCTCCAAAAGTAACTGAAAACATTGTGCTGGGCACACGGAAGCAAGCGGTGTTTTGGGCTTTCACACACGCACACGGCGTGGTGCTGCAGGCACTTGGGTGTGTCCTCGAGGGAAACTCCCTCCTTATTTTCTGCTTAAAAGTGAGACAAAGGCAACATACAATTGCCACTTCTCATAGGATTGCAAGACATACATTGGCTGCTACAGACAGCTTCAATTGCTTTTCCCTCCAAAAGCAAGCTCGCCATTTGGAAGGACCCACAGGGTGACCCAGGATCCCGAAGCCCTGGCTCGAAACCTCGCCTCTTGTCGCCCACTTCCAGAAAGGCCAGGATCTTCAGCGCTTTGGCCGGATACCGGTACCTTCCAAGCACATGTCGGCCACAGGGATTAAAATCCGATGCCCTGGAAATGGACGGGGTCCCTTTGATTTCCCTTTAAAACCACCCCAGAATGGGAGCCAACTTGTGGCCGTGTCCAAGGGCCATAAGTAGCCTCCCGAGTTCGGCCCTTCGTCTGCTGGCGGATGGCCTGCTTTCTTTCCGACATAGTGGGCAATCGGGGGGGGTGGCTCAAAATCTAGTAATTTAGGGACCATGTTCAATATCCCATCTACAAAGCGGCACAAGGAACCCAAATAAAAATACATACCCAATGGATTCCTGGGCCGTCATTCAAGGCGGGATTGATGCACCCACTGGCGTTGCCACCCTGACTCGGAGGCAGGATGTTCCTCATCGGAGTGCACTCGGGCTCAAACCCTGCCCTCGCATATTCGCCTGGGAACCCGACTAGTAAATCATGTTGCTTTGGCAGCCCTGGAAACCTAAACACTTGCCAACAACAGAAAAGTAAAAATGATGGTGCTGTGCATTCCCCGTTCATCTTCAGCGGAGTAGTCAACCTCAGGGGGAAGAGGGACGTGCAACCACTATGGTTGCGGGCATTGAAAGAGAGTGGAGTCTTCTAGCGAGGCTGCCTGCAACAAGGCACATCAGCGCATATGTTGTCACGCCTATTTCTTGACTGGAGTTTGGCGGTCAGTGTTGGCTTGCGCTTCAACCATCAGTAAGACGTGTCATCGGAGTGTCCTACACCCACCCAAAAAATGGTGGTTGCCCTTTAAACAAAGGTGCAAAGGGTACCAACAGAAACCCTTTGCCCCATAGTACCCCATCGCTTCGGGCACTTCATGGCCAAGATAAGCTTGAACACTTCGTTGGCAATCCTCTCCGCAATCTCTTTGTCGTCCACCTCGCGCAAGGCAGCACAGCGCGCAGCCGAAAGAGTCTCTGCACAACTGCATTCTTTTGCACGTCCAAATGACATGCAACAATTGGATGTGAATCTCAGCATGAGAGCGCTACCGCGCTAGTCATGGCAGTGGGTATTGCGGTGAAAGCTCAGACAAACTGAGCATGTATCCAAGGATCGAAGCAACTGCTCTACAATTTGTCGCTCAAAACAACGCGCCAAGCGACATGTTCAACATCAAAACCTTCCAAACCCTTGCAAACCCTTGCAAACCCTTGATAACCTTCCAAAACCAACCAACTCCTTCCCAACCCCCGCCCTCCCCTCAACCAAACCGGAGGCGTCTTCCTTCCCAATCCCATCACCTCCCATCCGACCGCCTGCAGCGTGACGTACATCTCCCCGAGGTCGATCAAGTTCCACCAGGCGTACTCGTGGAGCCGGAAGGGCAGCTCCTGAGACCCGGACATGGCTTCACCTTCGAGGGTGGCTTCCCCCCCCCAACCCCCCCCCCCAACCCCCGAGCTTTTGTAAACAATGGAAGAGGCATTTGTAAAACCCGAAGGTCGCACCAAAGCCCAGCCATGATGGAGACTTGGGTCGGCAGGTAGCTCAATTCAATTTGGCCAAACATATGATGCTTAGCCCAAAAGGGACACGTGAGACCTTTGCAAAACATAGTAAAAGAAAAAATCCAGCTGGAGTCTCGGTGACCTTTAAAAGCATGTACCCATAATTTTGCTTGAGCGTCACGGAGAAAAACGCCATCTAACAAAGTCTTTGTCCAGAAAGTGATATTCCAGCCACAAAAATGGACATAGGAGCTCCCTCTGAAACCTGACAAAAACGAATCCAGAAACCTTGGCTCTTCGACCCCCTTGCACAAAGCTAACTTGTTTGCTCCTGGCATATCTATGGCTCGTAAGGCGGTCGGTACACGTGTGCAGGGTGCCTCAAGTGCGCTTCACTTGGATGGCGCAAATGGTTGAAAAGGAATACGAAGGAAGCCCCTGCCGGGCATCCTTCGGAGCAGGTGACTTCTGAGCCGCCTGAAACCTCAAGCTGCGGGGCCTGGGGGCCTGGGGGCCCCGGCCCGGTGCAGCGTCGCCAGTAGCACGGGGCACCGGTGCCGCAGGTCCGTGAAGGCCCTCACGATGTCCCCCACCTAAGGCACCGGCCCAAGCCCTTTGAACACTACACTTGCACTGTTTAAACCTATGGGTGCGTTTCAACATCGGGAGCCCCTAGAAAGGTGGTTTCTTGTTTTTTCCCTTGAGCGACCCTTCAAAATCCACCCGAACATGTTGGCTTCTCTTTAGAGGCAGCCCCGGTCCAAAGCACCCTAAGTGAGGTCACCCAGCGGGCATTCTGCGCCTCCCTGCGGGCCGCTTCCCGGAATCTATCCCAAGTACTGCGGCTGATCAGTCACTACTCAAATCCGGTTTCATGCTTCCAATAAAGTTGCCAGCCTAAAAGAACCACCCTGGGCACAGGAACCCTGGAAAGCAAGCACGGAACCTAAGCAAAGGCACCTTTGAAAGGAAAGTTGTCTTCCAGGGACCCCTATGGTTCTACGTTTGCTTCTGAGAGGGTATCCCATTCCTTGCCGCGCCTGGTCTTCCGAGAAGTAGGGGAACCTTAGGTCCAAGATCTCGGACACGAAGCCAAAGAGCCTGGCTTCGAAGAAGCGGACGGCACGGAAAGCCCCAACGCTCGCCTGCATGCTTTTTGGGCTCGTGGCGGGATGGGGGCAAGAGTTTTAACTAGGGACCCTTTGGTGGACGTCATTTAGGTGCGGATTCATGTCCACCAACCACTTTTGAGGTGGTTCCCTATTAAAAATTCATAGCCATGTGCATCAAAACGAGTTGGACCCTTTGTTAGATGTGCTGTGGAGAACATGAGTGATTCAAGAGTAAACCCCCAAAGCGGGCGGGGGTCCTTTTGGTTGCCGTCTAAACAGCCATCCACAATGCAGGTCGCCTATTTTTTGGACACGTCTTTCTTTGGGAGTTCAGCTGGGCCGGCTCAGCTTGTGAGCTCAGCATGAAGGGACTTGAGAGTAAGCATCATTTTGCGCACCAAGTCTCGCTGAGTTTCCTCTTGGGGCGATATTTGAGGAGAAATATCGGGGACCCTCAGAATCTCTGGGCCATAGGGTATAAAATCACCCTAAAGAGGAACCCCCCAGAAAGAAAAAAAAAGAAGAAAAACAAAAAAGAAAAAAAGCGCGCCGATCTGAGCCCGCCTTTTCCATCCAAACTCTTTGCGGCCCTTTGGGCGCCCCAAGTCTAAAGCCGGTGGGCGTCTGCGCCCGTTCCGTGCGGGCGGTCGGCGGCGGCCAGCGGCGGCCATATGGCTTCCATGAAAGCCCACTGCGTACAGTTCCTTGGCCCTCGGGTAAACTCCAACAAGATTATGTTCATAGTCTCCTTCACACTTACTCGAACCTCAAACATGTTGTCACTTTGGAGGAGACGGGTAACTACTCTATATATATATAGATTGACTTATTTATGCATATATGCATATACATCTATTAATATGTATATGGTCATTCCTTGTCACTTGCAACCAGTGATCCTGGGAACAAAAGATAGGGAATCTTCCAAACACAATTGGTACCCTTTGCCTGGGTTCTAGCAAGCTGGTTCGATCCGCTGCACACGCATGATTGTCCTGTGCCAACCCAGTTAGGGTCCCGGTGAGCAACAGTAATTTCAGGCAAGCTGTTTGGACCTGGACGAAACTGCCTGAGCCATTCGCCCCCGAAGCGCCGATGATCCGCTGTAAGCGCGGGCATGCCGGGCAAACTTGCCGCAGTGCCCGGCAGATTCGACGTCTCAAAATGAGCTTGTGCTTTTGGGCTGATCGGTACCTTTGCGATATTTCCCCAAACACCCCTGCCAACGTCTGCCTAGGCTATCTGCGGAAGACTGAATATCACGCACACCCCACGCTTGCCGTGTGCTTTACAGCACGGCTCACTTTGCGACAGGGTCGGGCCAGGGGTTGTTTGATTTCTGCTTTCGAAAGAAACCACAAGAAACAACAGTCTGCGCCTGGAGGGGTCCCTTCATTTACCTCAAAAGTGGTTCTACGCATGAAGGCGCACGGGGCTTCAGTCGTTTGATTGCCCAACCCGGGTGAATCAGAGCCACAGTTCGCTTGGCTCGCTGTGCACTATCTGGAGCGCGCCACTTTCACCGAAGGCCATACTTGCACCAGGGTGAAAGTAGATGGCACGATTTCCAGTAGACGTGGGCAAGTAGAGGGGGTAAGGGGGCCAAGATGGGGAATTCTACCACCTACTTCCTACACTCCTCAAGGAATGACTGTCATCTCTGTCAACCCCATGTGTTGTGGTAAAACTCTTTGTCTGAACCCTTACTATGCCCGTTCTGACACCATAACAGTGGGTTCGGGTATGCGTTCAGCTCGAGCCAAATTAACCGTCGCAGGTCGTCCTTGACCCCAAGACACTATGTAGTGGACCATGTAGTGACTATCTACCTATCTATCTATCTATCTATTTATTTACTATCTATCTACCTATCGATCTATCTGTCTGTCTATCTATCTATCTATCTGTCTGTCTGCCTGCCTGTCTGTCTGTCTGTCTGTCTGTCTGTCTGTCTGGCTGGTTGGCTGGCTGGCTGTCTATCTGTCTGTCTGTCTGTCTGTCTATTGTGTGTTCATGTTCATGTGTAGGTGTATGTGCATGTCTATGTGTATGTACGTGTATGTGTGTGTGTGTGTGTGTGCACGTGCGTATGTGTATGTGTATGTGAATCTACATGGTGTGTGTATCTAATGTGTAGGAAATTGCGAATGATGGGATCCTCTAGTGCAAACAACCTATTCATCTCTTGCAAACAGTGTTTTTTTGTTTTTGTTTTTCCGAAGTAGCAACTCCACAGGCACAAACGACCTCCACTCTGACACATGTCGTGGGGGCGTGTTGAAGGAGCCCTGCAGAAGGCGGGGGCAGGGGTCAACGAAGTTTTTGTACCGGCCCAGTCGAAGTGCAGCCCAACTTTGGTAATTTTAGTGGGTAACATGCAACGTGTAACAACCCCACCCCACCCCAACCCCGCCAGAAAACAAGTTGAGTTGCTGAAATGGACCCAAATCCTTGATGCCTGGACCACCCAAGTCTAAATTAATATTGATTCGCGTGGCACACAGTCCGCGCCACATACACATGTCCAGGAACACAACAAACAATCATACCTGACTACGACGTCGTGTTGCTCTTACTTCCCAGCAAATGAGCTTGCAACCCAAAATGGGTGTCCTTTCCCAATCAAAAGGAGTTCCCTCCAATCAGGAGGTGTTTTTGGGGCTCCATGTTGATCTGCGGGAGAGAATTCGTTCAGGACCTTTTACTTCTTGCAAAATAGGGGGCTAGACAAATGAAACCATCCGTCCCTTTTGATCTCCTTGAGGATAAACATATTATGTCTAAACTTGCATTATCTATATATATATATATTAAAAACAAAAGCTGGGCAGATTAATATATTTACAAAACACAACACATACGGAATCCGTAGCTCTTTGCTCATTTTACCCCTGAAGCGGTGACCTCGGAAAACAAATTGCCCGGCTGACTTCGCCAACCAAGCGCCTCCAGTTGCAGTGGCTACGCTCAGCACTTCCACTAGCGGGCGAGATGGGTGAAGCTAATGACGCCCGGCGATCGGATGTGGACATGGTGAAGGCGGTAGGCACAGGCCCAACACAACAGGGCTCCAGCGTGCCTAAAAACGGGGGGGGGGGTTGGATTTAGTGGTTTGGAGGTTGGGTTCACATTTTCGGGGGGGGGGGGGTCATATTCATATCCAAACCACGATTCCAAACCTGGGGCTTCTCAAACCGCAGCCTGTTTCGAAAGTTTGAGTCCGACAGATTCATCGGGGTTCCACACAAACGAAACTCAGCTTAAACTGATCCAGAAGGTGATGTTCAAACCAACCCAAAGGGGAAACATTTCAACCTTATTCATGGTTGTTCAAAACCCTGTCTGATACCAAAGTGGCTGTTTCCCACATTCTACAAGAAGAACATCCCCTTGGCCCCTCACAGAAACTGGAACCGAAGACCCAACTTTCCACGACCCACGAACACCACGTCCGGACGCCCGGGCGTCCGGTCCAGTTTCAGCGCTCACTTGCCCACGAACCTCGGAGCGGCAGCGGAGGGAGTGACCCCGCTTTCGGGGCATTCACGGCCACTGCCCCTCCAAGGGAAATGGATTTACTCCCCAGCAACCGTTCCATCCATTCGTATCCGTTCATTGAAGGGGGCCCTTCCAGGTTCCCTATGCAGAAATGGAGGCAGAATGAACCGCGGCCCTTCAAAATATGGGGTCGAAACCTATGAACTTCTTCCGAGATGGTACCGCTTTCCCATGGCTCCGTGCCATGTGCCTGCCTAGCGGCTTCGGACAGTCGTGGCTCCCTTACCCGTCTAAAATCCGTGAAAATCCATAACCAGCCCTCAGCCGAAATCACGCGGTGGTTTTGCCATGGTTGCAAAATCGGGTGGGCCACCCGTCTCGCAAACTCGGGTGGACCCTCCGTGTGCTGACAAAGAGGAAAGATTGCCCGCGGGAACCATGGCCTGGAGCCGTCAGAAAACGACGGAGATTCTCAAGTCCACAGCGGAGTGCTGAAATCGGTCACAATCGGAAAGCAAGAGTCGACCCAAAACCATGTCAATAAGATCATAGTGCGGCCGCATGCTTGGAACTGTCAGACTGTCCCCAACTAAACTTCCTTTACCCAGGTTCTGACCATGGTACTGGAACAAATGCATCCCCACCTTCTTGCAGGCAAAGTGCCTCCCCAATTCCATTAATGTTCCTTCAGAGCGAGGAAATAGAACTAAAAAATGCACTTAGGCTCACCCCCCGCACCCACTCCATTTTTCAGGCTTGGGGATGGAGAAACACGCATGAAGCCAGTCGGAGCGGGGCTCCGGAAACCGGGTGCTGCTCGAACCGGTTTGGCGCGCTTCGATGGCGTGTCTTGCTTGAGGGTATGTTGACTTGAGCAGAAACCCCGAGGAAACCATTCCACAGGGATTCGCCCATTTGGCAGGGTACAGTGTGGAATCCCCTTCACCCGCGCGGTCAAAAAAGACCCTCTCTGTGCCGCGTGCAACTGAATTTCATGTAATGTGTCAAAACCCGGTGCTAAATCAGCCGAAAACCGTAGTAAAGAATCAAAAGGGCGGATATCCGCACCCGAAATCCATGGAATCTGAGTGCGACTCCCCTTTTGCCTGCAAACACTGTCCTGGCTGCCTGCATGCAAACATCCAGTTTGCTCCTTCCTCGCGGTGCACAGGCTCACCTCCCATTTTTTACCGGAGGAAGAACCCTCGACCGCGATGCATTGCCTCGAGGTGGGACGGTGCGTGTATAGAACCCATATTCAACTGACGTAACCCGCCCCCACAAGTACATGGCTCGTTGCTTTTGTTGATGGTACCCTACTTAGGGCTGTTTGAGGGTTCCATGTTGGCTTGTTTCACAAATGGGAGGGACGCCCCAAGATGGGTCTCGTGGATTCCCTTTAAAACAGCCCAAACGAAGAGTATCTGCCAAAACTGAGAAACTCTGTGGGGTATGAATTTCAATTACGAACCCCTTCTCGGGCATGGTGTATTCTGTCCCACCATTGGGGCATTATGTGCAGTCCTGGGTGCCAAATGGGGCTTCCAGAAAAACTAAAAGCAAAGCTCCGCCTTCCCGCATTTGGCGGGGCCAAAATATGGCTGTCTTTCCTTTTGGTTTCTAAGGCCAACTGCCGTCAAAAGGCTTGAAGCCCATGTCCCCTAGCCCTAAACCCATGCACCAGCGATTCACAAGCCGCCCTCCCTACGAAGAAAAAACAAAACGCCTCCCTTGCCCCAAAAAAAAATCGCCGCCCCGGCGGCCGAGGCCGCGCCGATCCGATGGCCCCCGGCGACCGAGGCCCGAGGCGACTTTTCCGAAGCGAGGGGCGAGCTCATGAGCTTCGGCACCTCGTCGCCACGGAAGGCGCGGACCATGATCTGGCGGGTCGGGGGTTAGCCGTTGAGGCTCCAGAAAACGCAGGGGTACTAGGGGTGCCAGGGGTTGCTGGTGTTTGGGGGGTTCGAGCGAAATCCAGAAACCACTCAGGGGGTTCCCAGCATCCCCCGGATCCCTTTCAAGGAGAAAGTCATTCCAGGGCTTAACCAGAAGGGACAGTTATTGGCTGCTTTTACCGATAGAGGTCTGCGGTACTGAATGACTCGCTGGTTCGATAAGGAATCATTTGAGTGGTTTTGGGAAACCGGAAGGTCCCGATCCTTGGCACGAAAACCACTAGGAGGGTTCAGTTCTTCGGGGGCGCCTCATTCACGACTGAGAACAAGCAAGTTGGGGAACGTCATTCTGCAATCAGCGTTAACATGTGATACTTCAATATGGGAAACCCACAACAGCTTCTGTATCATTAAATTATATTCTCTGCTGCTATGTGTTGTATGTTTATCTGACTTTATGAGAGACTCAGCAATCAAGACACGTCTACCGGAAAATGCTCAATCATAGGCTGTGTCTATAGGTCAGTCTCTATGCACGCCGGTCATCATACCTTGTCTATCGCCAGAAATATCTCGGGGAAAGAAAAAACAACTCCCCCGCCCCCGAACCCCACCCAACCCCACCCCTTCCCCACCCCACCCCACCCCCGCCAACCCGCCTCATCCCGCTCCGCCTTGGGAAGAACCGAGCCTCGGCGAGAGGACGCGTTCAAAAGGGACATGCATGTTTGGGACCCACATGGAAGATGAATACGGGACGATTTGGTGGACATCAGAATTTGGGGATCACCAATCACTGTCGAGGTGCTTCCTGTTGGTGTAAACATGTTTGTGGTACTTTCGAAACATGATTTAACCATTAACATGAAACCAACGGTTTCTATGGCCTTTGTACCCTGAGATTCACGACGCGTTTTATTGAAACCCGAAGAAATCGCAATTGTCTTGTGAAAGGTTTGGTTTTTTGGTGTACCTTCCGCGTTTCCCGACTATCAGACTGAACCCGCCTCGCCAACCCTGCGGTTCCCTCTGCGTTTGCTACCAACTGTTTGCTCCAACCAAGCAGAGGGCGGAAGTTTAAGCTGAAGAATTGAACGCAGAATTGCCCCATAATCTGGCTTGTTGAATCGTACCCCGCAACATCACTCATCTCCAAGCTTTCCTTTAGCACTTCCTCAAATTCCCACCCCCCCCCCCCCCATGCAGTAGCAGCGGAAACCTGGCCGCCGGCCCCCGAATGTGAAGCACCCCCTTGCGCATGAAGACAAGTATTGCAAAAGCTGGCAGTGACCCGCCCTCCCACCACCCACCTCCCACCTGCCTTCCCCTCCCTTCTCCTCCCAACCGGCCGAGGCCAAGGGGCCCTCGGAGAGCCTCAGCAGCAGCTTCTCCGCCTCATCCTTCCCACTGCCCGCGAGGCACAGGGAGAAGAGCACCGCCGAGGTGTCCTCGGCGAAAAACCGCTGGAGGTATCCCCAGCGAATGAGCTAGCGCTCGGTATGGAGTGAAGCCCCCAAACCAAAGAACCATAAAAACTCCAACCTGACGAAAGGAAACAGGTTTCAACCCGAAAAGTGAGTCGTTCAAAAGAAGAAATGACCCTCCGCATGGCAAACGGGCTACCCTCCGCCCCATGGCTTTCTACCCAGACAACATGGCTATAGCGGCCTCTGCATTTTCCCTTACGAGGGGTTCTTCTATTGTTGAGTTACAGTCCTCCTACGTGTACAAAAGTAACCTGCCTGTCCCCTTTTGAAGTTGGACTACCAAAACCTAACATGGACCTGAAAGGGACCTTCTGGGACCCTCTTTTCACTTCTTTGTTTGAATTGCGACAACGGTCGCGTGTCTTGACACCAATGGATGATTGTTGCGAAAATGGATCGCACAAAGTATGGTTGGATCACCCGATTGTATCGAGCCCGTGTGCACCACTAACTCTGATTCAGACAAGGATCTTCAAATTTGGTGTGTTTGCTTGCACGCATGCTCTCTTGTTTCTGTGTTTCGCTGGCTGTTTGTTCGCTGGTCGGTCGGTCGGATGGATGGATGCTTACTTGCTTTCTTGCGTCCCCCCCCCCCGCCCCCCATTTCGCCCGTGCCGCGGAGATCTCTGGCCGGGCCGCGTACATGGGGTTGCCCACCACCTCCTTCTTCAGCACCGACACGTCCCCCAGGAGCCGGGGGAATTGATAGAAGTCCAGCGGCGGATTCATGGCCGAGCCCGTTGCATAGCCTGCCGCGACTCGAAGCCGCGTGACAAGGCTGCCATTGCCCCTCTAAAATGGCATCCCCCAAATAGTTTCCTGTTGGTTTCCCCTTAATCAACCCAAAGAATGGCACCCTCAACGAACACACACCCCTATGGTCATGGTGAAAACCATGGTGTCCACTTAGGGTGAAGTGCACGGCTGGGGTGAAGGTGGTGACTAACCAAGCTCGGGCGTCGGTTGGGTTGACGTCAGGCTCGAAACACGGCGGGTTTGGTCCTCCCCGGGAATGGGTTGCGGGCTGCTTAGAGCGAATTTAGGGTTTAGCTTGGGGCTGGCGATGAGTTTGTACGCAAACGAAGAGCACAGTCCGCCTGCAAAGGCCGCCTGTCCACTTCCATAATTGTAGAGGGTATCAGGCTCTGCACATGGTGTTGTTTTGCTTCAGGGAGAACTTCCACTCAGAAGCTTTCTTCAAATCATGTTGGATACCAATTGATCACCCGTCACCTTCCTGCGCGGAAAAGCCAAGCTGAACTAGTGACTCGCCCTTAGGGACCTTCATTGGGCCCGAGCTGGTTTTACCGGCGAGCTCGCAACAGACTCTGCGCGCGGCTCGGCAGAACCGCCGCCTTTGCACTGCGCAGGGTTCGGCGTCACCTCAGCGTCAAAGGCACCTGGCGCGATCACGGGACGCGGTGGGCATGCCGAGAGGAAACCTTTGGGCGTCGGGGCCCATAGATTTCAAAATCACGTCCCACAACAAACACCCGGCTCCGCGCCAAGGGGGGAAGGACTGTCAACCCCAACCAGCAGGTCTTCCGAACTGGGTAGACTGAAAGTGCCGGGGCGGTTGACTTCTGCTCTAATCGAGTGCATCAAACAAGCGGAGAGAGGTTCTTTGGTGCCCGAGCCACGCGATGCACCCGTGAACATGTAGGGTCCGAAATGAGGCGGCCGGTCGAGCATGGCAAACGGAAGCTGCAGGGTTCCCCATAGATTCCCCCTTCAAAGAGAAGATCCTTCCTGATGAAATCGATTGCGATACTGCGATACTCCTCAGAACTCCTGGTCCGCTGCCGCGCAGAGCGCCATCAAGCGAGGACAAAAGACACATGGAAGAAGAGTCACTCTGCCACTGCCACAGAAGATCAGCGAGAAATGAAACTTCTTGGGTGAGATCAGGCACTTGATGGAGCATCTCGACAGCGCGATTCTCGAGTTGTGAGCAGAGCTTTGCGGTCTGGATTCCCGTGCTCCAGAGCTAAGAGCTCAGTCGAGGTAGACGTTTGTGTCGGTGAAGGCTCTCTGACGGTGACCCTGGCAACCGGGCACGCGAGATTCATCCTTGATCTCTTCAAGAGTGAGAAGGAAGGAGTCATCGTGTTCCCGGAGAGAGCGCTGAGGTCAATTCTTGGCTCCCTCTGAAAAGGATACCCTCAGCTACCACCAGCTGGCTGAAAAAGCATTGACCCCGCCGCCCCTTTTTCGGTGAATTTCGTGGGACACCCTGTTCCCAACAATCCTGGAAGCCCCCCCCCCACCCCCCACCCCAGCCCCCCCCACCCCCACCCCACCCCCCACCCCCCACCCCACCCCACCCCCCACCCCACCCCCACCCCACCCCCCCACCCCACCCCCCACCCCACCCCCACCCCCCACCCCACCCCCCACCCCACCCCCCACCCCACCCCCCACCCCCCACCAGCAACAATGCTGCCAAAGACTTCACCATGCGCGGGGATGCTTACAAAGGCGCTATCATGTGTGGGAACTGTCGAAATCAAGGCTTGAAGATCTGGTCTTGAAAGACTGTACTCCTCTCGTCCAATTCCAAAGTTGGAGGTTGGAAAGGGAGTACGGCACACTGAACAACCCCCGGCAGAGAAGCTGAGAAACTCTAACCCACATCTGTAAGCCGGTTGGAATGACGCCAATGAACTGAGCCAGAATCGTTTTTCTACCAACCAAAGCATCACCTTACATAAAACCTGCCCAGCAACGCCGCTTCTTCTTTCCTCTAGCTATATAGATGCCCTTTACCAACCCCGGCGGCAAGTAAAGGAAAAGGGGCACCCTTTGTTTTGCGGCGTTTTTGAAGTTTGGTTAATTCTGAAGGGAAACCTATTCACTTACCGGGCAAAATCCGTTTGTCTGACACTAAATGGGCATACATTTCAATAAAGACCAAAGCTTTGGTGGACATCAGAACTCGGTGGGGATTCATGTTCACCATCCACTTTTGAGTTTGAGCTAGTCCCCTGTTCAAAATCATAGCATTGATGGCTTTTCTGGTGTCCATTTTAACCAATCCCGGAAAGTGTACAGTAATTACTGCAAAACGACACACCCATGTCTTTTTGCTTGAAACCTGGAAGAATGCAATCACAAGGGAAACCAAAGGAACACCAACGATTTTGGGTGGACCGAATCCCATTTTCAGAACCCCATCTCTTTGAAGCCAAATGAAACCCTTACCCAACCTGGTAGATCGGGTAGAGCCACCTATCGCCTATGCTTCCAGTGATGCATTCAACTTAGGGACCAGAAAACCTACATCGCCTCAAATGAACGCCTCGTCAGCCACCAATAAAACACATCTTCTGCACCAAGTGGACGCCTCAAAGGAGCCGAAAGCTTCACCCAGCCACCCGCCCCCAGGGGCCCCGAGGCCCCGGGCTGAAGGCGTAGATCCGCAGCAGCTTCCCGGTGATCTCCGTGAGCGCCAGGCTCAGCGCCTGGAGAACCCAACCCAACCAGCTGAAAAGGCAGTGGAGTGTCTCTTGTGTGCGGCTTTTGCAAAAGAATTGGTGTTTGGTGTGTTGCTTAAATATATATATATATATATATATTATAATATTATTGTTTGTAAACAATATGGGCTGTTGTTGTCCAGAAAAAAAGGGGGAAAAAGAAGAAACAAAACAATGAAGGCTCCATGTTTTGTGCGGGTTGCTAGACCAAATTACATCAAAGCAAACAAGGAACTAATACATACATTTATCCCCTACCACGAGAATCCTATACCCTCGTTTTGTGGGTGCTTGTCAAAGGAACCGGCTGCCTGAAATGGTCGGTCTCATTTTGGTTTCCACTAAGTTCTATGGCGGGTGAAGGGTCCCGACTGGACATCTTTTTGCAGGTTTCATGAGCTCCTCTTGGGGCTCCCGCGACGGTACTGTTCTGCGACACATGCCACGTTGGCGACGCGATGGAGCTTGTCACTTCCATTTATCTCTGTGGCCCTTTTGGTCCGAGCAGGTGATACCAAAAGAATGACAAAGACAAAAGGGCAAAACAAATGGTCAACCATTGGGCCACCCGGCTTAGGAAAGTAAAGTTGAACCACCAACATGGGCTGTAAACAACAAATACAAGCCCTGTCGCAAACGAACATCCCAGAGAAACTGCCGGGCAAACTGACCTCTTGTCCCGTCTTATGAACAAGGAAGCTGTTTGGGGGGGCGGTTCTCCCAATGGAGTTTGAAAGCGTAAGCTTAGGGAAAGCGAAACCAGCAAGCTAAGTAAATGGCCATGGGTCAAAATCCCGTACCCCCAGTGCACATCCCAATCCCCACTAAAATAGACTAAAATGTTTGGTGCACCTACCCCAAGATGGTACCATTGGTTTTGACCCACAGCCAAATGAGGACATGTCTCCTCCCCCTTGTAAGGAAGTGAAGAAAAGCGCTCCCTGCCAGTCCTTGACTGCAAGGTACAGACCAAAACACAGGCGGCTCCCGTGAAAAGTCAAGAACTGGCTTGCCAATGCACCTTTGGGTAATCCAAAAATGGTGTCTTTTTTGGGACCCCCGCCGTCGTGGTGGTTTTCCTTGTGGTGTCCCTTTAAACCAACCCCACAAAGGGCACCCCTCCCCCCCCCCCCCAAAGCCCAAAGCCCAAAGCCCAAAGCCCAAAGCCCAAAGTGGTGGTGTTCCTTTAACCCAACCCCCACAAAGGGTACCCCCAAAAAAAGAAGAGAGGACACACCCAACTGGCCCCCTCCTATCCCGCCTCGTCCACCGTAAAGTTCTCCAGCGCCGCGTCGCTGGCGCCGGTGGCCGCCTTGATGTCCGCCACACACGCCTCCGCCATGGCCGACCTCTCGGGGCTCAGATCCGATCCGGCGGTTCGGCGCAAGTCGACCGGAAATGACCCATTTGCCCACCTTCTGGGGACCGGGACCAAGAAAATCCCAGAAGTCCAAACGGCTTTCCCAAAGAGGAATCCACAAATAGTGCATCCAAAAGAACCAACAGCCTCTCCCAATTCTTGCCAAAAAGAAAGGTCCATGCTCAGACGAATCCCAAGCTCCATGGGCTTTCGCTGGCCGAACCCCCTTTCAGTGAGCTCGTATGAAGGTGCCATTCCCAGCAGCTGCGGGAAAAAGGGGGATGATTTCATCACGTAGGAGTTGTGCCATCTACAGATTAAACCAACTGGTGCCCGGCACCCCGGCACATCCGCCTCCAGGTGATGTTCTGGCCCCTCACCATGTCCTCGCGCTTGAATCGAGCCCAAGTCAGGAGGAGTGTGTTGGTAACCTTTGGATGGCTTCAGGGGCCTAAATAATTGAAATGGGGTTGTGGGGTACTTTAGAACCACACTAAGTAGTCATGATTCTTGAAGGAAACGATTAGAAATTGTTTAGCCCTTTACGTTCCTCAAAAAGGAGGATCTGACCAAGACGAATCCGTGTGGATGCGTTCGTTCTCCATTTGGCGAACCCCTGATTGAGTACGGTCGGGGTTTCTCATCGCTCGGGCTGAAGGACAAAGGAAAGCAGGTCTTGAGACATGGTCGAGCCTATCTGGGCTGCGGATAGATACATGCTATGATACATAGACTCAAATTAGATCCAAACGCCCAAGCAAACAAAGCTCCAAGGCTCTTGGTTTGCCGCATCCTGGAGTCCTACCTAGAGCGATTACGGTGCCCTGGTGAGAGGAACATGTTGTTTTCCGTTTGATGTTGGTCTTGTCTCAAGGTGATCAAATGCCCAAATGCCATTCCCCTCGCTCGCTCTCTCTCTCTCTCTCTCTCTCTGCCCCCCCCCCTGTCGATCGTATCTTCTCTCTGTTCATCTCTGGAACATGCGAAGAACAAAACAGGGATGTGATCATATCGGATTTCCCTTCTCGTTTGCTTTTAAAGTAAACCCAAAACAAACCTTCAGTTGTCCGAGGTCTCCTTCAGGACACACGCAATACTCAACGTGCTTATGTACCAACCATCCATGTCTTGCAGCAACCCAGTGTTAAGCACGCCTCTACCACGGCTTAGAAGCGCAAGCCGATTCTGAACCATGGGGAAGCACAACTCCCCGGTGATATTGGTGTGAATTTCAATGGGTCCCGGACCCGAAAGGGTGGACATCAGAATTTCGGGGATTCGTCTGCTGAATCATTCCACGTGCTATGGTCCAATCTGGCCGTAGAGTAACCCCTTGCGTCTCAAAGACCACTTTGCGGTTGCACTTGACAGGACGGGGGCGTCTCATGGAAAAAACCGTGGCGAAAACTTTCATGGAAATCCATCTTTCAGGCCCTGAGAGCCTGAGAGTCTCGGATCAAGCCAAACGGGGAGGATCGCGGCGTAGATGTTTGCATTTGTCAGAGACCGATGTGTCACAAATGGTTCACCTGCTGGTTCCCTTTCAAGTGTGTAAAGGGTGCCGAGCGTTGACAAATCTTATAGATCACAAAGGTGCGATGGCCACCTCTATTGACCCCAAATCACCACTTTCCTCGGTGGGGCTAATTCGAAGGGAAACCACCAAAGGGAAGCAAAATAGATCCAAAGGGAAACCGCCCATTTGGCGGCTTCCCACTTTCTCAGACCAACCCATCCGGCCCTTTTGCTGGGCCCGTCTCGTCACCTCCCCACCCATCAACTGGCCTTGATCTTCGGGTTCCCGAAGCGGGCGCCGGTATTGTCTTGCTGCCTGGAGACCTTCACGTAGTTGTCCTCGAGACAAAGCTCGCTTGGGGTGGACCACACGCATATCCACCACCGCTACACTGCGCTGCTACTGCTGCTGAGTACTACTACTGCTACTGCTGCTGCTCCTACTGCTGCTACTCCCACTACCACTACCACGACCACTACCACTACCACTACCCACTTCCACTACCGCCACCGCCCTCGCCACCGCCACCACCACGACGACTACCACTACTTCTACCACCACCACCACCACCACCGCCACCACTACCACCACCACCACCACCACGACTACTACTACTACTACTACTACTACTACTACTACTACTACTACTACTACTACTACTACTACTACTACTACTACTACTACTACTACTACTACTACTACTACTACTACTACTACTACTACTATTTCTGCTGCTGCTGCTGCTGCTACTACTACTACTTCTGCGACGACGACGACGACGACGACTACTACTCCATCAAGCGCTTCGAGGCCCTTGGACTAAGTTGTTTCTTCCCACTGCTTCTGTTTCGCCTTTGGCAAACTTAATGAGAAGCATGTCGAGCCTTCAGGTTTCATCAGCAAAGTGTCGAACCTCCCCCAAAAACGTCGGCTGGGGAAGCATCTTGGAACGCCTCTCACAGACCATGAGGAGGCCCTGGCATATCTAATTCAGGACCCCATATGAAAGCCATGAAAAGAGGTCCCGAGTTTTGACACATTCCTAGGTAAAAACAATATGTGATGCTTCAGATGTGTTCATCGCTCAAGCACAAAACCAAATTCAGCTAGAACTTTGCTGTGTTTCGGGAAACTGTCGAAATCAAAGACCTCCACTTTGGTCGATTTGGGTTTGGGGATATCAAACCTCACAGGCACCTCAAACTCCAGAGAGCCAACGCCTCTTCAGTCCTTGCAACCATATGGATGCCCCTTTTTTTTAATGGACCCCTCCCCCCCAAAAAAAAAGGCTTTTCCTGTGGCTTCCCTTTTAAAACCACAACACAAAGCAAACATTTGCACCGGCATAGACCCCAGATAGCATGGGACATTTCAGCGGCACCCTCACCAACACCCTGACTGCATCGCCAAACAAGCACAGCCAGTAACCACCGCGGCACCTTGAGGCAACCAAACAGCACCCCAAACTGCATGCCCGTCACCAGCACCTCAAGCAGCACACCGTCACCCAGCACCTCAAATAGACCCTAAAGCGCATGCCCGCTTGCACCCTGCCATCAATCTCGCAAGGCTGCGCCCACGTCAACTCCCCCAACCCCCCACGCCCGAGCCATTCATTCCCAAGCTCCCACTTTCTCCTGCCTTCAATACACCATGCGCCTGCTACGATATGCTCACCCCAAGCACACCAAACCTAACCCCTGCACCACCAAAAGCAACTCATCCTTCGACTCTCCCCAACCCAAACCCTGACGCTTGCCGCACCTGCACGGCCGCGCGGATGGTGGGCCGCAGCTCCTTCCACCAGGTCATGGCCTGTCAGGTCGACTTGATCGGAGAATCAGCAGGCGCTGAAAGAAAACGCCTGCGGAACGCCGGTCCAACGGCTTCTCACTTGGAATCGGAGTCCAAAGCTTGTGTGAACCGGCAAAAGAGATTTGGACAGAAGCTTGACCCCGGACGGGGAACGAAGGAGCCCATTTGACAACTGTTCGACTGAGTTCGCATGAACCCCCGCCTGCTTGAACGTCTCGTCGTCCTGACCTAGCGCATCTGAGACGGGTTGACCCGTCAGCCCACACGGGATTCGGTTCCATCTGGGGAGAACAAGGTTCAATATTAAGTTTGTTTTTTTCAGGCTCGGTTCCCTTTTCAAGTTGATTGAAAGGGAAGCCAAACGGCCAAAAAAACACTTTGGGGGTCTCCCCATACCACCCCACCAACAGGAAACTTGCTTCAAATTGGGACGAAAAGCGAAGTCTAAAACACTAGAAGGGAAAGCAAGGAACCCTGGAGAACGGAAACTGGCAATGAACTTTTCCCCAGGTGGTGGGATGCGCAAGAAGTTGCAAAACACTACTCAAGAGAATGGGCGGGAAAAGGGGTGAATGGCCACTGGCGCGCATGGATGGAATGTTCCTGGCGATCAAATCGGCATGTGGATGAAACAAGTTGGCGATAGAAATGCAAGAAAGCCCTAAGAGTATGTGTCAAAATACGGGGACCCCAGAAATTGTGGTTGTCCTTGTGGATTCCCTTAAAACCCAGCACAAAAAGGATGCCCTCGAAAAAACACACACATCCATAATTGAAGGGTGCCACCGCGTTTGACACCCGAAACCATGCACGCGCTGGGTCATTGGAAGGATTTCTAAGGGCTGCCCCCCAAATGAATCAACGGGGTCAGCCCCTTTGTTCAAGTCACCCGGGGGTCGTCAAATGGGGCCGCCGCCGCCGCCCAAGGGCGGGGCCCTAATTTTGACAGGCCATAATCATGAGTTTCAGAGCAAACCGTGGCTCACCAAACCCGCAGGGCATAGATGATGCTTCAACCCACCAGAAAGATCCAGTTGACCCACTGGCACCCAACCCCCGAGCTGGGCCGCCCTGCGGCTCTTGGCAAAGGACTTGTAGGCTGCATCCACCACCTCCTCGGCGGTAAAGGAAGGGGCGAAAGGCCGCTTTCGGAAGGTCGGGACCTGTTGCCTCAAGGTGTTGGGCTTCCAAGTCACTCGGAAGGGAACCTGTGCTGCCCTCAGATCCCTCGCGAAAAGTTAAGCTTTTAGTGGGCAAAATGGAAATCCCCACTAAACACCAACGAGCTAAAAAGCTGAAGGGGATGGCTGGGAGCCACCAAGGAACGATGCCTTTTAAGGCACTAGACAACCTCGCTTTGTTTCGTTGTTTCTTTCTTTTGCTATGTTCTCTTCTTTTTCTGGGGGGGGGAGTTGTTGGCCCAAAGACTTGGGGGGAACATGATTGGCGAAACGCAGGGGATAATTTGAGTCAACCCCCGATGAATCGACCGATTCCCTTCAAACTAAGACATCCACTAAGAATCCCGAAGCATGGCGAGGGTACCAAAGTGGAACCTGTGGGTGGAGAACATAGGGATCACGTGGGTGAACATAGATAAATCACCTGAAGAGTGGTTGGAGGACATGAATCACCAAGTTCTGATGTCCTCCAAGACATCCCCAATCAAAAATTCACACCCATAGTCTTCAACGTGTGGAGTTTGTCGCGGGCCAAGCGCTCGAGTTCTATCCGCTCGAGTTCTATCCAGGCCATCCACTCAGCCGAGATGAGCCGAACGCCTCACCGGGGGCCTTGACTTTGCTCTGATGGGAGATCTTTGATGGGAGGATCTGGGATCCGCAGGACATTCACAAAAGGCATCTCTTATCTGGGTTGACGAATTTTGGGCCTTCCCTAGGGCTCCTTCTCAATGCCTTCCTTGTCACCCATCCCAAAAGGGCCCCCCAACACCATGTCGACCCCGCATCTCGAAGGCCGAAGGGGGTAGTTCACGTCGCTGGTTGGCGAGCAAGGAACCAAGGGGAATGAGCCATGGGTAATGAGCACCCTTGGTTAATAAGACACTCCACGACCCCACCCCTCAACAATCAATCCCCCTGAAATAGATGCCCACTCATCCAATCAATTGGTTTAGAATCGGGTACTTCCACTCGCAAATCGCTGCCGAAGGGGCGTAGTTCACGTTGCTGTTCACCTTGAAGCGCACGAAGACGTTCGACATCTCCGGGGGGATGCGGCCCACCGCCTTCTTCCACTCGTCCTGCAGCGCCTGAAGCGTGCGCTTGCCGCTGACCGATGGTATGTGTCAAAATAGAGCAAAAAGCACTGTGGCCTCCAAGCAAAGCAAAGCAAAGCAAAGCAAAGCAAAGCAAAGCAAAGCAAAGCAAAGCAAAGCAAAGCAAGCTAGCAAAGCAACGAAGCAAGCCTAAACACTTGGAATGGGGTTGTGGGGTATTTTGAAACGCCAAAACTGACCTAGGACGCCTATTGGATCCCCCAGAGTTTATCCCAGAAACCTCCACTGGCCCGGTGCCAAGAACTACACTTTTTAGGGTTTTCGGGCTTTCGATTTTTTGGGGGAGGGCAACCAAATCATTTGGGCAGACTTGTCTTTTTCGTCAGCTCGGACGCGAGAGAAAGGAGCCGAGCCATTGTCGCCCCTGCAATGGGCATCCTTGGAGTGAAGCTTTGGATTCGACCCAGTCCGACAAAACCTCGCTGACGAGGTCTATGGTTTGGACTTCGCTTCTTAAACCCGTGCCCCACTTTGTATAATCAAAGCAGAATTAAACAAAAATAGATAAACCAATGAACGAAATTATTTACATGAACAAACAAAAACAATGCTGAAAGGATCCTTGACACTTGGCAAAATGTTCACAACCCTTAGACGAGCCCAGGGGGGTGGGGATTTTTCTTGCGGCTGTGCTGGAAAGGACACGCATCTCAAATCTAGAACCCCGAGCCTTGGCTGAATACCCTCTGTCCAGACTAACATGGAAGCTCCCAGAACCCCTTTGGAAGACTTGGTTCCATTTACAGAGGCCTTCTGGGAGCTTCCATGTTGTCCTGGGGGAGGGGAAATGAAGGAAACACTGCCTTTGGGTACACGTCTGGAAGAATCGTATGTATCATGGCCATAGCTGGAACAATGTCAAGCCTTGGAAGTACTCGAATCTCATTTCGCGGAATGCGAGACACGGACAAGTCGGCTCCGGGTTCACCCAAGGCGATCGAGAACATTTGTTCACACCGCTGTATGTACTCAGGTCACCATCAGACATGTGAACAAAAGTGTCCACGGCATTTTGACCTCTTGATCACTTCATACTCTCAAGGAAGCTACATGCACAAGCACCGATTTGACAAAGCTCATACCACCACAAGCATGGCACCTAACAGGGTGTCCCTTCACAAAGATATTGCCCTTCCACATTCTATGCTTTATTTGGAAGGCTACCTGCCAAGAACCCAATTTGTACGGGTCGTTCCGGTTCGGCCTCCTTCATCAGCGGAGAGGGCAAGTAGGAAAAGAAGTCGGTGGTCCAGTGCATGTAGTTGTTTCCGCCCTTCGGACAGGCGAATTCGCACATCAACCCACGTGAACTTGCGATCGGTGCGAAGAGACGCAGGGAATTAAAAATGGAATGGCCCCAAGAAAAACCATCCCGCTGGTGGGTTCCTTTCTTCCGGAATCCCTGGGTTCATTCCCACATTCCCTACCTATCGCAACCCGCAAGTTAAAGCATGAGGCAAGCAACTAATTCAGCGAGAGTGCTGCAAGTTGTTCAAACTCTCGCAGGTGTGTGGCATCCCAGGTCCCATTCATTGACACACACCTTGCTGGCGCACGGGCCGGAGGGACAACTCGAACTCTGGGAAGGGCAAAGGTAAACGAAGTCTACAAGTTCCTCAACTGTGGCAGTTGTGTCCTTTGAAGCAAGTGATCGGAGCCTGTGACCACCGTTTCGGATTCTCTGATGGGGGATCCCAGCATAATACCATGGAGCTTCTGGCTGCCTGTCTTGTGCTTACAAAACGCTGAATAAAAGGTTGCCGCCAAAGAAATTGCTTCCCTGAGCATTGAGGAAAGGTAAGGCCAGGCCGCAACAGGAAGAAAAGGGAAAAAAGGGGGATGAAAGGGAGGGGAAAAGAAAGAAAGGTCAAGGAAAAAGTAGCACAGACAAGGAGACAAATATGCAAGGGAGAAGGGGCAAACCAACGGACTCCAAAACCCAAAGGAGCTCCGTAAACTTCCCCTTTGAACATCACCAAAACGCAACTCACGTTCAGTTGGCCTTTGCAACAAGGTGATAGATATTCGCAGAGGAATCTAGGAAACCAAGACCAATCAACCCTTCCTTGGTTGTTGTTGTTTTGTTTTTGTTTTTTGAGGGGGGGGTTCAGACGGGCTCCGGATCGATCACAAAAGTGACCAGGCAAAACCCACCTTCTCGGTTCGGGTGGTTGCACACGCATGTTCTCTGACGAGGGGCGAGGTGCACCGCTTTGAAGCCCTTCTCGTTTAGGAACTCCTTGAAGCGCCGATGCAGCCTGAGCGAGGTCAACCCGCTCGACGTCTTGGTCGAGACCTGCATGGGTGATTCACCCCTAGGTGAACTTGTTATGTTTTGTGCAGGTACACATGCGCATACATACACATGTGAATATACATCTATTTGTGTATACAGATATGTATGTGCATACATGTATATATATATATATGTTTATCTCAAAACTATGCACAACGAGGGCTCTTCCTGAAATAGGAGGGCCCTCCCAAGATGTGCGGTGTCCGCTCGCTTCCTTAGATTTGCTCTCCTGCTTGCAAAAGCCCAGGCACATGGTTGTGGAACATATTTGTCTTTCTGTGATACCAGGGATTTCACATATTTCTGTGATACCAAACTGGGATTTCCATCCCCAAGGCTCCCTTCTCACGTTGCCTAAAGCTGATTCCTGTGGGGCTTCCAAGCAAAAGCCCAGCCACAGGTGGGCCACCCCCTGCAATTGGCCCAACCGGCCCGGTCTGAGGCAGGAACTTGTCCTTGGGGAAGTTGGGTGTGCCCTCCTCACCCACCACCTGAGAGGTCGAGAGGCGGGAGGTGAATGAGTTATCTGCTTTGGTTTTCGAACAGGGAACACCAGGGTTGAGTTTCACCAGCCCCTTGCTTCCAGCGCTGAATGTCCACCTTCATGAAATCCGGGAAATAAATCAAGGATCCGACATGGCCATGGGTTCGTATATGGACCTATACAATCAGCCTTTCATTGTTTACTCATGTTTAAACCGACCACTAGCATTTCAACAACCTCCTGATTGGCTTCCGGTTTCCAATCAAGGACTTGCCAAACCCCAAAGAAAAAACATGACGCGCAAGCCTTCAGAACTTCTGCTTCAAACACCCTGATGTACTCATTTTGGGCTGTACTCTTGGTATGGTGCTTTGGGGTCTGGTGAAATCTTCGATCCGGCTGCTGCAGGACACAGAACGAAAGAACAACCTACTCCGCTGGGAGATGGCTTTCAATTTTAATGAGGAACACCCTCCCCCCGTGGGTCCCAATTTACATTCAACGGAGAATCGCACACTCCGAATTTCGGGTTTTCAAGACCACCAACAAATGGGGGGGGGTTGTCCAAAACATGGCTGATTTCTTTTTGGACCCTGGTGCGGCGGTGCGGCCTGAGCAACCTTTGGTCACTTCAGCGCAACTCCAAAGGTAATCTCATCAAACAACCGAAAAATGGTCACTTCAGCAACCTCCAAAGGTCAATTGCAGCCAACAAAAACCGCAGGGAGCAACCCAAAAAAACATCTATTTCCAACAAAAACCGGAAGATGTGTAAAAACCCAAAGGCCCCACAGGGCTCAACAGCTCTATTTCCAACAAAAACTGGACACTTCCCGGAGAAAAAGTTCTCGTCAAAGCCCCGTGCGTGAAATCGAGCCGAGGGGCCACGTACAGCGGCGCGTGGGTCCCGGGAGAGGCCTCCACGCGGCCCAGGGCGCCTTCCGGGCCTTGGATCGGAAGGCTTCGCATCCTCCGCGCCCCTCCAGACCAGGGAATTTCTCGCAAAAAGGGGGGGTGGGGGGGTGAGGGGGGGGGGAATGGAAGCGGCAGCTCTCTCCTTCTCTCTCTCTCTCCCTCTTTGTTTTTTCCTCTCTCTCTCACTCTCTCTCGCTTTTTGGGTTTGGTTGACGTTTAAAGGGAAACCCCGCCAAAAGAAAGAATCAATTGAAGGCACCCAGATGAAACCCAAGAATCGTCCCTCGCCAAAAACAAGCCCGAAAAGCGGAGGCTTTTGGTATGTCAATCTGCAGGGCTCCCAATGTTTGGGGGAGGTGGGCTTCTTATTTGATAGGGACTTTGAAGCATCCCTCCTTGGCTCCTCCAATGTCGATGGCCAGTCAGGTTTTGACCCAACCTGGTCGCCTGGCAAAAATCCGCAGAGGTCCCCTCAGTTTCGGGTTGTCGTGGATCGGGATCTCCCTCTCATGGAGCCAAAGAACATCCACCTGGACCTTTCTATGCAAAAAAAAAAAAAAAAAAAAAAAAAACGATATGAGCGTCAAACAATTCTTCCCCCAAGCCGGGCGCGCCCTCGCCGGGTTCAACATGCGGTGGGCCTCGGGTCTGGGGCACCTCTACTTGTCCAAAGTGGGACCGACTGGCACCAAGATATGACGCAATAGAAAAAAGATAAAAGGGAATCAAGCAAAGATTGGGATTGGCCATGTCCAGTGGGGAACCCACAAAAGGAACGTTCATGGCCTCAGTTGCCAGAAACTGCTGCCAAATTGCTTATCGATGCACGACCCCCTACTCCCAGCGCTTTTCTTTGCCACTCCCCACGGCCCGAGTGGCCCGAATAGACCACTCGGAGCGAGCCATGAATGAGGTCCACTGGAAAAAGGGCCAAACTCAAGCGAGTGAACTAGGGATTTCCAATTTGCAATGAAACCAACCCTTTCGAAGGACGCCTATCCTTCCATGTGTCCAGCATTGAAAATACCACATGTAGAGGCCCCCCGAGTATATGGGGCACAGGGTTTTGGGATTGTCCTCAACCCAAAAAGGGTACCCAGCCTCAACCAAGCCCACGGGCACATCCGACATCCCCACCAAAAGGGCGCGTCAGCCAAAGTCACCGCTGGCGGGATTGTAGAAATCCTCCGCAAAGCCTTCCAAAGGCGAAGCCTGGATGATGATGCTGTACTGACCGCCTCAGATACGAGTGGCATGGGGGTCGCAAGAGGACCTGAACATAGCAATCCCTCGCAGGGGCCTGTCTACCAGGGGCCATGCCCAGAGATGCAGTTGAGCACCGAGAGAAACGTTGTGCGGCAAGAAGTGGGAAATGAGTGGTTTCTAGTAAAGGGCAACCAAAAGGCCAAACCGAAACGCCATCCCAGCAATTTGTAGCAACTGTCCAGTGAGTTGCCAGCCTGAGGTCCATTCAACCCTTCCCCCCATTCGCATCAGCCCAGACCCCCAGTGGCCAAGGGAAAATTGTGGGCTCTCTTGTTTTTGGCAGTTGGTTTGGCTGGGGTCATTACTTTGACGGTTTCTGGAGGTTATCAAACTCGAAAAATGTGGTTGTTTCCCTTTAACCCACCACTTAGGGGATGACTGTGATCATGGTAAAACAATGAGGCCAGTTTGGAGATCTGGGTACGGGTTTGGCAGTTGTCCCAAGCCTTCAGCGGAGACCCTGGCCTCAACCGTCCTGTGGGTCCGAACGGATCTGACTTGGGAGCTCCCCAGCCACGGCAATCCGGATTGGGAACTACATTTACCAACAGCAACTAGTTACCTGTGTAGACAAATGAGATAAACCCGTGGTGTTAGGGAGGACAGAGTTGCTTTTTCTTCTCTTTTTCGATGCTCGCATAGCACAAACGGGGCGCACTCGAGGCAAACGGGATCTGCCATGTGTCGGACCAAAAACAAAACAACATTCCCCCCTCCATTTGGGTTCCGAATGGCAGCTAAAGTCTGGGATGTGTAACCACCCTTAACCAACCCTAAACCAACCTTAAAGGAACCCTAAACTCCCTAAACTAACCCTGAACACTCTCAAACCATGTCCCCCCCACTTGTTCTAGCCCATCCAGCGGCTCACCCAACCACCTTCACACTTCTTCAGAGTGGCCATCCCAGTGCGCGTCCTGCAGGTCCCCCATGCCGGCGGAAGCCAGTGCGTCTGCATCGAACTTGGTGTAGTACCTCCAAACCGACCCTTTCAAAGGGTGCACACGTAGGCATAGGCGCATGGCCCTGGTAAATGATTAAACCACCAGGTAAACCAGGGCCATCTGTTTTGTCCACCAAAACAACCAAAAAGGACACCTATGCATGTAGGGGTTTGAATGATATTGGTGGTTCAAGAAGGCGTTCGAAACTTGTCTTGACACTCTTCATAGCGGGGATCCTCTTTGAGTTCCCCTGATGTCCCTTGAGTGTGGGCTTCCCTCATTTTGAGGTCCCGAATTTGGCCTGGGAAAGCGTAGAACAACGAAGGTCGAGCAGTTGCAGCGGTGCCTCATCTCCCTCTTCGTCTCCGGGCCCACGCAGTATCTGATCTTGTCCTTGCCCGGCACGTCCTCTCAAGACGTGGCATGGTCTTGAGCATACACCAGGGTGAAGTAGAAGGGACAACTCCCTGTGGAGGTGGCTTAGGGATCAGATAGATTGGCCAGGTGAACTGAATGGATGCTTGCCACTGAGTCTTCTTGCCTGTCCCCTTTAAGCACCCCACAAGAAAACCCAACATGGCAAAAAGATTTGGACATTCTGGGCTGGGACCCTGAAACAATGCTCAAACGGCCAAAGCATGGAGGTCTAGCCGGGACCCTGAAGCAAGGATTGTCAACCGAACCCTTGGAGCACCAAAACAATGATTAGACTTAGGCCCAGCTATAGAATGTAGACTTTATTGATTTTATTGTTTGCTTCACTTTGAGTCACTGGTAAACTGAAATGCATCCTATGTTTACCCCAGAAAACAGCACCTCCGAAGAGGCCAACCGCACTCCTCCTTCTTGATGGTATTGATGATGCGAGCCCACCGCCTCGGTCCCGTTTCGTTGAAACGGCACACTCCGCGGCGGTGTGGTGTATAATTAGGGTCCTCAACACTGGGCGAGCCTCAACATGGGTGGCTTCCTGTGGGTTTCTCTCAAAACCAAAAGGGCTCCCCAAAAACGACACACCCAAGGAAGCCGGTCTCACTGCAAGGACTAGCCGTATCCTGAGCTCTTCCAGCGATTAAGCGGACGGCCAACCGACTGAAAGGCTGGCGCCGAATTGGCCCAGCAGCCAGCAGCAAACAAACAGGGCTTATGCTGAGATGCGAGAAATGTGAACAATATGCATGAATCGAACCAGCATGTCCCATTCAACACAACGCCAACATGCCAGAACATGCCACAACATGCCATACGATGGAAAGGGAGCCGACAAAACCCACATCCATCCTCAGCAGTCCAACGTGAAAACGTGAGCACAGCCCCACAACGCCAACCGCCTAAAAGCTTCTTAGAATCTTTTCGGGGGGAGGGGGGAGAGGGTCGTTTGGTTGTTCTACGAACAGACCGAATCCAAAGCAACAGTTTCCTGCGGCCTTTGGCTTACCCTTGAAACAGCCCCAAAAAGGGGTACCGAGGCTCTACAAAAGCAGGGTTTCCCCCACATGAAAACATCACCCATTCCATGAAAAATTACCTTGAAGTCGCCAAAATTGGGTGAATGGAGGGACCCGTGACAAGACTCGTGCTGCCAAGACCACATGGCACGTAGCGCAGGGTTCCCAGTAGCAAAGACCACGTCCACCAGCGTGTCCTGACGAAAGACCAGTCGAAAGCGTAAGCCCCCAGCGAAACAACCAGTCCGGTTGATTTTGGAATGTAGTGTAAAACGACTGCTTATTCGCCTAATCGCTGTTTTTTTTCAACTGGGCGCTCATACACGAATAAAGAAAGCTTGACCATGGGTCATTCTCCAAGGCAAGACTGCGAACTATTCCCACTGTAGGATGCCACGCAGTGCACGTTCATGGATGCCATCACATGGGTATGAGTTTTCATCCTGGGAAAAAAAAAGTTAGTCGCCAATTTGTCCCACGAAAATCATGGCCACCAAAGGGTCCCGAAAGAAAAATCAGGCGTGGATGGAGGAATGAATCTTCTCCCTGTTGGGCAGGGGACTAGGAAAATCACGCAAGGACCGACTGAGCGTGTCTCGAAATCTCGGACCCCGTGGTGGGTGTCCTTTTGGCTTCCCTTTTTAAGCGTCCCATATTGTGTGTGTGTGTGTGTGCGTGCATGCGTGCGTGCGTGCGTGGGTGGGTGGGTGGGTGGGTGGGTGGGTGGGTGGGTGGGTGTGTGTGTGTGTGTGCGTGTGTTTTCTGGACGGTACCCTTTCTGGAAACCCTGTTTTGATAGATACAATTTTGAGACATACCAATACTCAGAAATCAAAACACAATGATCGAGTCGTACTACATATATATAATATAGCTGAAGCAAACAGCAACAAGCTGGCCCTTGAATCAGCAATACCTTCTGTTTGCCAGCCAGCCAGATGGTTCGTCACTTTTCTTTCAAGAGCACGCATGTAAAGCCTTCCAAACGAACATTGTAGTCAACATTTTCCGCGCCCCATGTCCTTGAGCTTTTCCAGGTGCGTGGACAGCAGCCTCGGCCAAAGCGGCTCGGCGAAGAACCAGCAGTCCGTCTGTCTCATGCGGTGCCCTGTGTGATTCCTCCAACTCTTGATCAAAAACACGATTGAAACCGCCAAACTGTTTCAACAAGATCCTTTTTCCTTTCGAAGATCAGTGTCTGGAAACAATTGCCCCCATCGGTGCAATGAAAATAAGATGTTCAGATGCTTCATATTTGGCTTACCCTAACATATAAAATAGTTATTTGTGCTCTCAAAATAGGAATCGCACCACAGGACAAGTGGGTGTTTGAATGCTGGGGCGTCTGGAAAAAAATGAAGACTTATCCATCCTTCTTTGGTTTCCCTCCGGGTAGATTTGAAATGATGGGCTATTTAGCACCAAGAAATAGGGGTCTTGTTGGTCGGGTGTCGTCATTTTGAGACACACCCAAAAGAATAACCAAACCTGGTGTTAGAGGCCACTCATTTGCACGAGCCTTGAATGTTCACCCCCGTTGCATAAGACTCACATGAGCGAGTCGTTTTGAGGGCAGCCTTGAGGCTTTTCAAAGGGAGACCGAAGGTAACCCACCCGCCCTTCTTTGCCCCATGCCTTTGCAGCTGGTCTGGGGGTTCCTTCTTTCGTGGATGTCCTTTGAAAAGAAACATGTGTCCTTTGAAATACACAAAAACAACCCGTTGTTTCACATAAAGATCCAATGTCCTTTCTATGAGCAAACACAGATGTCCTTCTTTTCCTATGGCGGGCAAAGTTCATTTGAGCCGCAATCCAAACCCGGGTGGCGCACAGGCCCCTGCCCGTAGGCGCGAATTTCCGCCCTGTTGATTCCTCACATTGAGTAGACTCGTCAGTTTTGTGAGTTGCGCTTAACAAAGTCCGCCAAAGAGATATGTTTGGGAAATGAGCTAGCAGGAATGCGGGGCAAGCGGGTATGAGGGGGATCCCCAAATCCTCAATGAAGCAGGTCAGAAGTCCCTTCTGCCACATCTCGGCTACTTGGTCCTAAGGATGCCCGCAGACGGAACTCCTCAATCAGGATTCCTCATACATCCCAAATGGCCCAAATATGGTGATGTTTTCAGGAAAGTAAATCCACAATTCCCTTTCTGTCAGCAAGGGAGATGATGAAATAAGGGAATTGTCCAACCAAGAACGGAAAAGAGTTTCGACCCTGCAAGGGGGAACTCATGAATCACCCAAAAGCCAAAAGGAAAAGAGGGACCACTGAGAATCTCCGTGTCATTTGATTCAGAGCCCTAGCTAGTGGAGCCATGGCAGTCTGATTGTGACTTTTTGTCTGTCAATTCTTGCTTGTTTGTCTTTTTTGCAGCAGAAGCATGAAGGGCAACAACCCCAGAAAGGGTCGCAACCTTCCCGCGGCTTTCCCATCTCGCAGTTGGCGACTCTGAGGGATGGGCCACAGTGCGGCTTCGTTGTCCGCCTCGTCCCCTGCGTCGGTGATGAACAGCAAGCCTCGGAGCTGAGACCAAATCGGGGTCCGTTTGTAGGTGCCTCTGAAGACAGAAGTCTATGAAATATGCAAAACATATACGCATGTTTTAAATATGTATTGGTGTGTATGCATGTGTATATTATGTACGAAGGGGTATGAATAGGGCTTTGCTTGAAGGTGTATCAACGCGTATGAAGAGGTGTGATTGTGTCTGCAAACATGTACGTGCACCGGTCATCACCATTGCCCTAGGACCCTTCGCAACATCATCCTACAATAGCGTCAGCACCCTGCACACCAACCAACGCACCAACCTCCAAATGATGCGTCACCCGCTGTGTTTGCTTGAAGCTAAAAGTGTTCAGTTATCCGAGAATGATGAGACGTATTACTAGTTAACTGAGAATGACAAAACTCAAGAAAGGGACCCGAGCTCACATTCAAGCATGTATGTTGTTGAATATGTGTATCAAGTTACAGCAGAGTCCGTCGAGTACTGTTCTTTGCAAAAAAGCCAGTGTAAATACACAAACAGAGAGCATATTGTGGAAAGAGTAGCAGATTTCAGATGTTGCATTTACGCAGTACTGATGAGGTCAAGAGGTACGTTCATGAGTCCTGGCTTTGCCTACTACTTCGGTGATGTGTATCACTTTGGCCATGTGGCGTTCGCAAAGATGCGGAGGGCCCCTTGGAAGGGCTTGGGAAAGTCTTGCATGCGAGTCCGCAAATGGGGGGCTTCTCAAATTGGGATGCGGACCCCTTTTTGTTGGCAAGGAAGCCCAACAAAATGGCAACTGTTGTAGGGGACCGAATCCCATTCTGAGAAACCTCCAAACGAGCAACTCAATTGCCAGTGCAATCCCCCCAACCCTGACATGGCTTGTACAACCTTTCAACGGGTTTCAAAGCGCCAAGCCAGACTTCAAGGCAGAGTGGATTTGCGGGCGGCCGCTTCTGGGTCTTCTGGGTCCTCCAGTTGAGAGGTTAAGGGTACCCTTGTTTTTCTGTAGTCGATTTTAGTAGGAAAACCTTCCCAACCAAAAAAGGGGAGAGAAGGGCACTGGAAGACCTAGGCTTGCGCAGTGCCCCACCTGTCAGCCCCTGCGAAACTGCACATCCAAGGGGCGCGTCACAGAGCTCGAGGTCACCGCCGGCTTTACGGCATCCTCCTGGGCGTTGTTCGAGAAAAAACCGTTCCCCTCGCCATCTCCGGCTTTGTCGGGTTCTTGGGGCGGTTGTATGTAGGTTTTCTGAAAATGGGGAGGGGGCCTAGTTGCATGGCGTTTTGGGTATGTCTTCAAGTGGGGAACTCCAAGAATTCCATAGAGTCAGCCCTTGTATCGCAACATCATGTGGCCATGCCGCGCGCCAAGTGGGGCTCTTTTGGCATCAGTCCCGGGGAGTCCTAGATTTCCGTGCGCGGCCAAATTCCAACATGGGGGCAAGGTCATGGTTCCTCTTAGGAACTCATACAATGGTCTAAAAATCCTAAGGAGTTTATGACCGTCCCGGACGTCCCTATCAACCCTAAGTAAAAGGGTGTTATCACCATGGCACACGTGGAGTTGTGTCTGCTTAAGGAGACTCCCCCCCGGAATTGAGGACAAGCTCGGATCGTGGGCTTCTCGGAAGAAGACTCCCGAGCTTGGAATTCATATGGCCGTGGGTCAACACCAATGGTACCATTTTGGGGTAGGTGCACCACCCATTTTAGACCATTTTAGACCATTTTAGTGGGTGGGGATTGGGATGTTCACTGGGGGTGCGGGGTTTTGATCCAGACCCATATGTTCCCGTGGACACGTCCATGGCTCCCCCTTTGGCAAGGCGTTTATAACTATATCTCTCTTGTCAGCTTTTGTCGAACAGAAGTTTCAGCCCCTAGGCAGCGTGTTCTTGGGCCGGGAACGCTACCAAGAGAAGTGCTCTCGTCACAGGGTTTGCCAGTTGTCCCCCTTTTTGAGGACATACAGGGATCCAAGAGGTTTCTGGCACTTTCACCGAGTCCCTTGTCCAAAGTCAAACACATAAAAGGCTCATGGCATGTGCCGTCTTTGCCTTCTTTCAATCTTCAGGCGCTACGACTCTCGCACCATTCAAACTGTACTGCTCCACTTTTCACAACAAGCTGTGCGTCAAAACCTGTTGAATCCTCTTGGAGGACAATGTAGAAAGATTCGCAACTGCTCCGCATGGGTGTTTCCAAAGGGGGACCCCGCCAATGGTGTGTTGCTTCGCCTCGGATGCCCTGCGAAGGCATGCAAAGCAGGGGGCTCCTTTTGGGTCGATTGTGAACCTGCAGTGCCTGCCCCCCTGCAGACGGGGGGTGTCAGCTACTTTTGGGAGAAAGACTTTTAGAGGGAAACGCAAAGCAAAGCCGGTCTCAAGGGTCCACCTCCAGTTTGGTTTTATCTCATTGGGAGCCCCAAAGGGGGTGGCTTCTCTTTGATCTCTGTTGGCAAGAATGGAACCAACAAATACTTGCATCCGCGCCTTCCTTGAAACGGGCGCGGCGAGTTTTGGGAGAACCCCCCCCCCCCACATCCCGCCAACTTGGGCCACGGTGCCACCGGCGGGAAGAAAATCTGCACCTGCGCTGAATCGCCCAATCGGAAATTGGTTTTCAAATACTTCGGTCTATTCGGGTGTATATTACCCCCAGTGAACATCCCAATCCCCACTAAAATAGACTACAATGGGTGGTGCACTTACCCCAAAATTGTACCATTGGTTTTGACCCACAGCCATATGTTTCCCGGGCCCTAATAAGTAAGGCCAGCTTTGAGCGCAGCTTTCACTGAGCTGACTTTGACCAGTCCAAGGCCCTTGCCCTTCGGTGACTTGGACCAGCCCTAGAGGTGTAGGGGAGCCCCTTTGGGTTTGGTCTAGAAGGCCTCTGTGTGTGTGTGTGGAAAGCCTCTTTGACGGGTCCCTTTGTACCGATTCAGGCAGGGCAAAACATGAGGCGTGCCCAAAGGAGCAAGACGCCAAATCCACGGCAAGATTCACCTTGGGAAAAGCTTCTCCAGTGGTTCGGGAGTCCTCAAAACTTCAGAATCTCAGGACTTCCTGTCCAGGACCCGGTTTGGTCAGGTGCCACATTGAGCCAAAACTCTATATCTCTCTCTCTCTCTCTCTGCCGAAAGCATCTCCCCGGTTCTCCGACCTCAGGGAAAAACAACAACGACACGATTCCCGCCAAGCGCAAACCAAGCGGCCAAGGCTTCTTCCCCTGGCGAAGAAACGAGGTCATGCAGGGAATGGCCTCTTCTCCCCTAGTTGGGTTGTGTCCTGTCCGCGAAAATATCTTTAAGCAGAGAAAGGAGCACGAGAAAAAGTGTCATGGTGAATCAAAGTCAGCTCACAAAAACCTGAAATAAGAAATGGACTCCCAAGAAAGGACACTTTTCCATCTTGCTGCTTGTCAGGGAATAACAAGGGATGGTTGCCTTTGACCTTCTGGTTCATGTCCAAGCCCCCTTCAACGAGTCCCTATCGAACCAGCAAATCGACGGGCCGGTGAACTGATTTGGAGTTTGCCCATTCTTGTGAAAACCCTCCTGAAGGGTGGTTTCGCTTTGGTTTCCTTCAAGCCAACCTTTTTGAAGCTTCACGGCTGTTGAAACCAGTGGCAGGCAACTCGATGCAAATCCCATGGGCAACTCCCCGATTCTTGTCAGGGATCCATCAAACGGGGACATATTCAGCAGAGAAGCGATTTGGCGGCTTGTTTCACCATGGATCATTCAGAATGGATGGTTCCTTTTGCTGTGCCTTCAAAACCACAGGGAACAGGATCGAACCCGAAAAGAAGGATGAGAACTTGCTTGAATAGAATGTTGGAATCCTTCCAGGAATGAAGGCTTGTTGATGGTGAGATTCTTTGAGTCATCCTGGCAACTTTAGGCCAGAAAGCTCACCAGGCTCCTTCCACAGGCTACGTGTCACGGCCAACCCATGAGAAACTGAGTGAGTCTCACGGTTGTGGAAATTTAGACCTCGTCCATGTCTCCAAATCATTAACATGTTGCGGTCCTTCCAAACCCATCTTGCAAGGGCTGTCAAACCATAGCATCCCATACAACCAAACAGATGGGACAGGCCAGTTGACCTGGGACCAACCCCTCATTTCCACAACCGGCAGGTCTCCAGGGCCCGTGGACAAAAATCCACTAGATGGTTGGTGGCTTTTCAACCAGTTGTCACAGGGTTTCATTCATCCCAACTGGTGCGAAGTGGACTTTGTATCTGCAGTACCCACAAGCCAGCTCGGTCTTGCCACCCCACGCCTCGAGCAGCATAAGCGTCCTGGCTTGGTGGCATTGAGAGGTAGGCTCTGGAGGGGACCCAGATCGAAAATTCGGCAACGGGAACCCTGTTGATTCATAAACCGCTTGATTTAGAGGGAAGTGAAGAGGAATCCGGATCACTTTTGGCTAAGGCACAGCCCCAACGACTCCGCCAGGTTTACTCATCCGGGGTCACCATCGCATCGCGAGCAAGAAGGCCAACCAGTGGCACGGTCGGAATGAACCAATGTCAGGGAAACCTGCGGTGTTTCTCCTTACCAAGCGACTGCTTGAGGCAGGTTCGAATGCAACAGCCGGCTGTACCGCTTCCACAAACCAGGTCAAACCATAAATAGGGGCGGCATCTTGCCGCAGATCTCAAAGGGTCTTGCAGCTATCTCAGCTATCCGATCCCATGTGGCGGCGCACCTTCCGAAAGTTGATTTAGCCCTTGCACTTCCTACAACTGCCCCCGTGCAGTTGGCAGCTTCCCGAGAGCTGAACCCAACGGAGACCGCATCCTTGAGCTCTCAAACGCTCGTCTGTCAGATTTTCTGGTCTCTTGGTGTTTGGGTGGCCCATATGTGACATGTCCACATCCAACAAAAAGGGCAGGCAGTGCACCTTGAGAACGGGCGGAAGGAGGGCCGCGATCTGTGCTGCACCGTTGGGCCGACAGAAGTTGCAAGTTTAAGTTGCAAGTTGTTATTCGCCCGGAAACCACAAAGGAAAACCCTTACTTGCTGGTTTGCCCATGTGTTTGTCCATTCCCTCTCTTTGCGAACCTGGGAAACATGTGTTCCAGCCGAAAACAAATGAGGAAACCCAGGAAATCCCTTCTTTCCCATCCGTGTTTAACCCCAAATTTGACAAGGTTCACCCCGGAGACCGCCCCCCCTCCCCCCCCCCCTCGGCCTTCATCGCCTCGGTGCGCAGCGGCGCCGCAATCAGCGGCTCGAAGGCCAAGAGCTTCGTCTCCAAGGCATCAGCCTGGGACGACTCAAGGCATTGGTGCTGCCGACCAAGTGGCCGGGCTTGGCTGGCTGCGAGTGCGAAGCGAGAGTGAGTGAGAGTCGGCGAGAGTGAGTGATTGTGAGCGCGAGTCAGTGAGTCATTGAGTGAGCCAGCCAGCCAGCCAGCCAGCCAGCCAGCCAGCCAACCAGCCAGCCAGCCAGACAGTCAGCTAGTCAGTCATGCACTTACTTAGTTGGTAAGTCGGTTCAGCAGTCTCCAGTCAGCCACTATCCCACGAAAAAGCGGGGGATTCTCCACGAGGCGCCTGCGCGTCGTTGGCACTGAGGCCGGCCAGCGCCACCAGCATGCCGGCGGGATCGTACATGGGGTTCCCCACCACCTGACGCGATTCGACCGGAGACTTCGGGGGCATTGGCATTTCTTCTGACAAGGTTTTCCAGGTGTGGGGGGCGGGATCACGGTCAAAAAGTACAAAGGTCCCCAAGTTGCCAAGAGGACAGGGGAAAATAAGTCTGTTGTTGAAAGAATGGGATTCCCATCCCTTTCATTGATTGCAACTAAGGGGATTCCCTCGGTATCAGAAAGTGAACCTTTCCCAAAAAGGTAAGTGTAATTAATTAAGAAAGTCTCAGACCCTCTATGTCAACAGTAAGTTGCGAATGCTTTGGACAATTGCCCTGCGACATCATTCGGCACAACGAAACAGCGGTTGGCAAACGAACAGGACCCCGATGTATTGGAAAATCCCCAAATATAACAATGGGGGTGAGGGTACTTTAAAACCAAACTTCGTCACTTCGTCATAACTGTAGGGGTAAATTGGCGAGTAACTATAGGGTGTGTGCTTCGCCTTCAGTTCCTCAATCAGGTTGACATCCCTAAAACAAAGTAGGGGGTAGTGGAATAGAAAGCTATATACATATATATATATATAGGCTGAGGTTGAGGCTGTGGTTTTTCAGACCCCACGAAAGGAGATTGTTCCGATGCGTGAACCCTGTGCAAACATAGACAATAGACATTGTCTGAATGTCGCATGTTCTGCCAATCGACTGGTGCAGTAGCTGTCCGTCTAAAGAAGAGCATCCGCGTCAACCGCTGAAAACAAATTCACCCAGTACGTTGGAAAAATCCAAAACATAACATGCTCTCTGCCCTGCGTTTTTGTATAGTCCGCCCAAACCCTCCTGCCATGTCTAACACCAAAAACCTGAAGCAGCTCCAAACTTTCAGGATTCCAAAGGGAGTTGTATCATTTCTGCCTCCGGTCAGCCACTCACTTCAATCCTACGGCACCTCTTTGTCGTGCGTTTTTCTGCGGGGTTTCTTCACGCGCTCGCTATGTGCACTCGCTCGCTCGAGGCACCTGCCTCCTTTTGAATGGCCGAGATGTCGCCATGGAGTTCTGGGAAGTTCCGGAAGTCTAGGGGCTGGATCTCCTTCGCTTCGTCTGAATCCACTCGCGGATTCTCATGGGGTTGTTGAGGTAAGGGGGAAGGGGGAAGGGATGGGGGAAGGAGAAATGTGGCAAGTAAGAAGGCCAAACAGCGCAAAAAGAAGAGAAACGAGAAAAAGCAACACGACAACACCTCTACTCCTCTTTGGGTCGTTACACCCTTGGCAGGCCTACTGTTTGTTTCCAAAAGGTCTCTCTTGCGTGCCCAAAGAACACGCCGAAGGGGGGTCAAAATTGGCGGGCGTGTCCTCAAAAACTGTTTCCTTTCCCCCTCCCTTCAAGCATCACCCCAGGCGTCACAACTTTTAGGATGCTCCCAAATAGAGATAGCTGGGGCAACTGCGCGACGTGGTCCCGGATGAAAACGTCCGACGCATTTCAGGCGAAATGAGACTCCGCATTGTTACAGTGAATAAAAATGTCCTAACATGGATAATAAAAGTGGAGAATGAACGTAGATGGTCTTTTGGGCTAAAATAGACAGCAAATTTTCTGGCTCGCCCAAAGGACTAATGACTTGGAGATAAAAGGTGGCTTCAAACGAAATCCCGAAGAAAACGCCAAGATCGATTTGATATGCTCTGCAGGCCCCGCGGCAACGCGGACTCGACCTAAGCGTTTCCACCCCCGCCACACCAAAAAAAATGAATGGCTGCGTTATTTTGAGGTTACTCTTCCCAAGCCTTTGGGGACAAAAACGCAACTTGCCCACGGCTTATCAAAGGCGCACACCATGGTTGTGAGAATCACCCGAAACCTATGATGCCAAAACTACCCCCATGTTCATGACGACGTTCTCTTTCGAAAGGGAATTCCCACACAGAAATCAGTCCTAACACCCGGTATTCCACAATTTATGACGCAGCCATCTCGAGATCCTGGCGAACACTTGCCCGACGCTCTGCCACTTTGGGGCTCCTTGTTGCCAAGCAGGTACGGCTCCAGTTGGGCGACGTCCGGATCTCGCCCGCTCACATACCTCAATTTGGCCAACCTGACTCATTACTCTGCAGAACCCAAAGAGTCACCCCGGAAGTGCATTCTGACGCTCTCGGCGAAAACAACAAACACAAACCCATAAGGGAGTCGAAACCCTGGCATCCAATCCCAGAACAATCCGCGGCCCTGGGGTAAATGTGCATCGATTTTCCCGACACGGCTGGAAGCCAATCGACATACTCGAAAACAAGCCGAACACAACACGACAGGACAGGACAGGACAAACCAACCAACCAAACAAACAATAGCACACACGCCAAACCAAACCAAACCAACAAACAAACACAACAAACAAACAAAATAAATCACAACCAGCCAGCAAGGTAGGCAGGCAGGCAGGCAGGCAGGCAAGCAAGCAAGCAAGCAAACAAGCAAACAAGCTACCAAGCAACCAAGCAACCAAGCAACCAAGCAACCAAACAACAAAGCAAACAAACTAACAAACTAACAAACTAACAAACAAGCAAACAAGCAAACAAGCCAACAAGCAAACAAGCAAACAAGCAAGCAAACAAGCAAACAAGCAAACAAGCTACCAAGCAAGCAAACAAGCAAACAAGCAAACAAGCAAACAAGCAAGCAAACAAGCAAACAAGCAAACAAGCAAGCAAACAAGCAAACAAGCAAACAAGCCAACAAGCAAACAAGCAAACAAGCAACACGATCAACGGACCTTCCCACCAAATGAGATAAAGCTGATATCTCAAACAACGACCCTTTGATAGTATGTATTCGTAGCTATAACATTTCAAAACAAATTCCTCTTGAAATCAGCCAAACGAGCCATGTGAGTACCCGGTCCAAAAAAATACTGGGGAAAATGCGCGAGTCCCCTGCGGGTACGAAGGAATGCCCAAAATAAGCTCTTTCTGACTGAAACACTTGTCCCACTTAGAGGTTTGACCAAACTTCCCGTTTTCAACTTGCACCAGTGTTCAGGAAGGGACTTCCCCCACATTGTGTGTTTTCGTTCGTGTTTGGAGGCTCGGTACCCTTTCAGCTTGGCTTAAAACGAAGCCAAAAGGAAAACCCAGCCACTTGTAGGGTCCAAACCCCATTTTGGCACATACTCAATACACAACTCCCTGGCCCCTTGGGGAAACGGGTGATGGGTGTGCCTTTCCTCGCGAAAACCCACCATTTGCGGTGTGCCCTAAAACAAAACAGACCCAGGACATATCTGGGAACTCACGGGCCAGGCACCTTGGGTTTCTAAGCGACTTCCGGCGGGCCTGTTGTAGGCATAGATCCGCAGGAGCTTGCTGGTCATCATGGTCACGGCGTAGCCCATGATGTCGTCCACCGTGTTCTTGGAGAAGGTGGTCTCCTTCCCGCAACACAAATTAGAAGGCCTCCCCGACCGTGGCTTGGATTGGTGGTTTGGAAAATAAAAATGGGGGGGGGGGTCCCATTTTCCTTCTACAAAAAGAAACAGAAAAGAAGCGAGGCTCGGCACTTGTTTGTTGCTTGTTTAAAGGGAAACCAAAGGGAAACCACTAATTTCTGAGGGTTCCCCCTCGTTTGACACAAACCCAATTTTCATTTGCAAAACACACAGCAAACCGACGTGAGATTTGAGTGACAGGCAAGGTAGAACGCCTTCGGCACCTTCGCAAAGCCACTCAACATCGAGTTCTCCCAGCACAACCCAAAGGTGGGTGGGTGTTCTTTCTTGATGGCATGGGTACCCTTTGCCTTGGGTGCTCCATTAAAAAACCAAAGGAAAAGATCACCACTTAGGGGGTCCTCCAAAAAGAAAGAAACAACCAGGCAACCTTTCTACAGGGCCGACTTTTTACGCGCAACGAGTCTCCGTAATGTCGGTACTCGCCAGGATGTCCCGCACGCAGATCCGGGACATAATGGACTCCCAGGACATCTTCATGCCCTTCACCTGCGACGAGATCGATGTCTGTCCAAGCCATTTGCGGAGATTGGTTGGAGGGAACCCTTTTTGGTGTCATTTCAGCGAAACCAAGTGGAAACCACCAGTTTTGTGGGTGGGTTTGCCCATTTAGAGACAAACCCGTTTAGGTTTGTCCCAAATTGAAGCACCCCAGAAACCAACGGGGTATATAACCATGCTAACAATAGACTGCCAGCATTTTTGCCAGTTGCTCATTGGTTGGCTCCGGCCAATGTAGCCCCTGGCAGTCCAGTAGTGTCCTCACTAAGCAGACCAACGAACCACTTGCCGGGTAGGCCGGTTTTGAACGAAAGTGAAAGGGAAAGCCGTGCTGGACACAGCTGAAGAACGGTGCGTGCTGGAAACCCCAGCACTCAAAAACACGACATGCACACGGGCAAACACAACGGATGTAAATGCGATCCTTTTGAAGATAAATCCCAAAAACAGTATAATAATGCACGAACACAAGGACGCCATCGACCCATTCTTCACAGTTGCTCAAAATTCAACCCCAAAGGAGTTCATGCTTGGAATGTGGAGAGTTAGGCGCGTCAAATGATGGGAAGGAGGACAAGAACAACTCTTTGAAGAAGCGGCATCTTCATGCTGAATACCGTCCACATTAGCGCAGCTGCTTCTGGAGAAAAACCGAGCTTGAGTCTGCTTGAGACACAAGGATTGTGAACTGGTGTTCATGGCATTTGCAGCCGGCATTAATGGGTCCCGAGGTTTGCCCGTGTGTCTCTTTCGCACAAGATCGGAGCTCTTTGCCTGTCTTACCTCCATTTTTGGGACGTTCAGCCTACCCGAACTTCAACCGCATGGAGGAAGCCAAAGACCAAAAATCCTCGCGCAACCCAAGGATTATGCTTACTGCCTGTGAACTGCCCATCCCATCGCTGGCCAGGTCTTCCTGGGAACCAGGACCCAAAGCAACGAGTCATGCGTCATGAAATGGGAGGTTTGTGAAATTCAATTTCCCAAATGTGTTTTGCATGCCCTCTTAGAATTCCCCATTTGGCGCAAGTGACAACGAGATGGCCCCCCCAGAGGCCCAGAGAAGGCCGAAGTTCCGATTTCGGACGTCAGCTGCAAAGTGGCCCACGAAATTTCTGACGGACTGGCGGTTTCATCTCAAGTCTGCCTGGGAATTTGGATGGTCGTTACAGCACAAAGGGTGGGCCCCATTTGGGCTTGTGCTGCTTGTGCTGCCTTGGGAATTGCATGATGGACTTTCTAAATGACCCACTGCAATCGCACGTATGACCGAATGCCAAATGAGGTCTGTCAGCACATTTCGTTTGGGCTGGGACCATCCCCAATACATCTGCACTTGTCACAAGTATGTTTACCTTGGACATGAAAAGACATGGTTGGATGCAGCCACCAGTTTGGCTTTCTCAAGCCATTCGTCGTAGCCAAATGTGCGTGCTGCGTGCATCCTTAGGGCGCCCTTCTTGAGGGACCCTTCTAGGGGTTGGTTACCCTTCCAACATGGAAGCGAATACCCGGATGGATTTAGACCGCCAAGAATTACAAAGCAACTTCCGTGAGCAGGCTGGAAAGAGGGTTTTCTGAAGCATAGGGTGCAAGTGAGAAAAATATGCCACCTGTGTCCCTCTATCTATTTTCAGGCGTTCAGGAGTACCCACGAAACAAAAACAAAAAAAGGAAGCCGACTCCCCCCCCCCCACCCCGGCCTTCGAGCTGACTGGCTCGTTGCCCATGCAGTCCTGGAGACGAGAGGCTTGAAGTTTGCCCAACAAACGCTCCGAGCAAAAAAAAAGAGGAATAACACGCATGGGGGCGTGAGCGGCTGTTGAAAGGGTTCTGTCGAAAGGGGTTCGGTGGGGAGATCGCGGCTGACAAGGCACTACCCCCGAAATCAAAGGCACGACCCAGCAACCCAGCGGAGTGTCAATCACGGCCTTTGCTTGTTACCCACTTGCGAGGATTCAGGGAATCAACGGCACCTTCGGCAAAAAGTACCCAATTCCCGGTAGATGTGGGTAATGGAATGTCAAAATAGCGAGGGACCAAACGTGGTTGAAACCCAAAAAAGGACATCTTCCCACAAAGAAGCGTCCAGCGACTTTCACGCCAAGGGAACCTGACCACCTGCAACAAAAATTCACCCGTCACATTCTGGGAGCACAATTTTGGGGTTCCTCCCCACGCCCAAACGCACCAAAAGGTCGTCAGAAGACCTTTTGTGGGAGGCGATTCAGTCACACCAAAGACTAGCCATGCTACTTCCTTGGAAGGATCCCAGCAACTCAGTCGTCTGATCAGCACCCATTCCCGAAAGGCCTTCGACTTGTTGTCTGCGTCGCGGGACTTCTTGATGTATCCCGTCTTGATGTCCTGAGAGCCGGGGTTACAATGGCCGCTGAGTCTGGTAAGCAATGATCCGATTTGTCTGGCGCACTTGGGACATGGGGCCTCATGGGACACGGGAGGGAGTCCTATGCTTCCTATGCAGAATCAACGGGAAGACTGGCGAGTGTCGAGCTCGGATTTGGGTGGGCTCAAAAATGAAGAGCCAGGGTTACGCAGATTATAGACATGTTGATAACTATGTCTCCTTGAAGTCTGAATTTGAAGTAGGAGTTGCCAACCGATTGAAGGGGTCTACCCAAAACCATGGAAAAGGTTGACATAACTCAAAAACAATCCCAAAGAGGAAAACGTGAATCATCGCTTTGGTATCCATTCACCTCTCAAACAAGAAACACAAGCTCGTTGCGCTCTTCCTCTAAGGGGCCCATTCCACGTGGGTTTTTCTTCGGCTTTCCTTCCAACCCCCCAGACCCCCAGACCCCCAGACCCATGGCCTGCAGCACCTTCTTCTCCACCTTCACCCACCACTGGGTGGCCTTCACCTAACGAAGGCGAGTGTAGCGGAAGTCCCACCGTTGGTCCACGTGGAAAAAAACCTTAGCCTGGGATTTACAGCTCCTCGTTGCTCATGATTTTGGTCAAGGGAGAAAGATGTAAGACCCAGATCACACAAAGCCTAGGCTGGAGACACAGAGAGAGAGAGAGGGAGGGAGGGAGGGAGGGAGGGAGGGAGAGAGCGAGAGAGAGAGCGAGCGAGCCAGCGGTCAGTTTGGAAACTACGATCCAAATAAGGTTGCATAGCCCACCATGACACTGACTCCCCATGGTGGAAGACGTGCCTCTCTATGACAAAGTCTCGGGTTCCCTTGCTATCACAGAAATTGACCCCAAAACCAAGCTTTCCACCATGACCCTCCATGCCTTCTGTTACCTCAGAGCTCTTGCACAACCCTGCTTCAGGGCGTCCACAGGGTCTACAGCATCTCTTTATGGGCTTCGGGTCTTTTATAGAACTCGTTTGGGGGGCGGGGCGTTTTCCACCTGCCTCTCCGTTCAGTGGAACCTCCAAATCCCGGGTCTTGATCCGCTCTGTCTGGGAACCTTGGCCCATGTTCATCAGGAGGGTAGCCTCCAAATGGGCAAAGTTGGCAAAGGGTGTCCTTTTTCTCCAACAACGGATACCAGTCTAATCAGATGGTTGTGAAGACATCTTGTGGCTGGACCAGATCCACCAGTTGGGATTGGCGATCTACGGCTTTCATCAATCCCAACAGGTGCCGCGGAAGCGAAAACTCTTTGGCTCCGTGAAGCGCTCGATCACTGCTTTGGGATTGCTTTCGCAGGGTAGGGCCACAACAATCTGAGAACGATTTGAGGTGCGGTCCAAATTTCCAGGGTTCATTTGGCTCACATTTGTTCCCCCACCAAAACCAGGGGATGAGCGCTAACGTTCCCATCTCCTCCGCGGGAAACTTGCATTATTTTGACCATGGCACATTTATTCCCTTGTGATTCTGCAAGCACGGCGAAAGAACAGCCGGCCCTTACTTGATCCCTCCGTTCAGATTCTCTCAAACAAGGGGACATGCCTTTTCGCTTTGAGCGCCTATGCTGGTTTGGTGAACGCGTGCGCTTTTGGAAATTGGCTTCTGAAACCCAAACAGGGAGTCCTTTCCAAACCTCCAGGCCTCGAATCGAGGGTTCCTACTCCTAAATGGTTAGTTTCCTGTCGCTTTCCTCTGGCCATGGGTGAAAATCAATGGCACCATTTTGGGGTAGGTGCACCACCCATTTCAGTCTACTCTAGTGAGGATTGGGATGTTCACTGGGGGTACGGGATTTTGACCCATGGCCCTCTGACTATGGCCCAGGAAAGGCTTTTGGCCCTCTCGCCCGCGCCCTCGCCCGGGCGCAAAGTCGGGGGTGCCGCGGAGGTCTTCTTCGAAGGCCGCGAAGGCGCGGTCCACCACCTCGCGTTGCCCCGGGAATTGGCCGCTGCAAGACTCCGTTGAAAACGGGGGGGGAAAAAAAAAACGAGGGACCGAAACGAGATGGCTACAAAACAAGAAGTGTTGATGGACATACTAAAACACAAAAACGGCCTGCTGAAACAAGAAGTCTTGATGTTGGACCTAGTAAAAATTGGGAGGGGGCCGACCCTGGTAATTCTTCGCAGTGTTTGTTTCTTGGTAATCCGGTGGCTCCCTACTAATCAGACGAACCCCGTAAAAAAAGGAAAAGACTTGCAAGGCGAACCACCCCTCACTAGTATGGTCCTCATGCCTCCAGATGGCGAAACTAGCATACATTAGCATCATAACTCGTCAACCTGGAATAATGAGCAAACCACTACCAGCACCCCCCAACGACTGCTTTGCTGACAGCACTTGAGGTTTTGGACACGGGAAGCAGGCAGTCGTTGGATAGAGGACGAATCGGTGTGGAAGTTCGGCCCATGCCTCGCAATGGTTCAGAGCCGTGGTCCGCAAAGGAAACCTCTATTTCTCCTTCGTTTACCGTTGGGTATGTGAAAGATCCCAACATGATGGATCATTCGTCAAAGAGAGCTGAAACAAGTAACACCGCCCGATTCTGAGTGTACTTCACGCCGACCCTTCGGGCTGCGCTTTGGACCCTGCCTCGTAGTTCACCAAGGTGTTGACGCGGAAACGGACAAAGAGATTTGCCTCAAAGCGCAGGTGCCCCGGGCCGCAGGTGTCGGGCGTTGGGCCAGTCCCTTGTGTCAAAGACATATATATATATATACGTTCATAGTGTTTATATCTATATATATATATGACTATGAGCCTCTGGTAGCAAAATCAAGGATCTAAAATGCCCATGGCTTCATATGTGGATCCATACGATCAGCCCTTGATTGTTTAGACAACCTGCTTTTGGTCTCCTTTTGAGGTTCTTTGCTTGAACCAGTTGTGCCCAACACCGGCCGATGGGTAGCGCGGCAGTGGTTGGCTGATGGACCAAGGCGGCCGGAGCAGAACCTGCGACTTTGGGACACATCTGAGCTTCTCACCTGGTCTGTCCTCAGATCCCCCACGAAAAGATTTGGAAGCTAAGGGGATGGCTGGGAACCACCAAGTCACCACAATGTAGAGCATCCCAACATGGCGTTGCAACAGCAAAGGCCCTATGGCTAAAGATGCCTTTCCACAAATACGTACAGCCAAATGAGACTCACTCGCGGGGCAAACCTCAACATTTCCTGGGAGGAGTGTGTTGCGCTTTCATTGTTGGCTGTTTTTGTTCGAGTTGTTTTGCATTCGTCTCCATTTCAGCGCGAGACTGGCCCCGAACCACCCCCGAACTACCCCTAGACCACCCAGTCACCCCCCCCCCAAACCGCCCCACCCCGCCCCCAAACCACCCCACCCCGCCCCCACCCCGCCCCAAACCGCCTCACCCCGCCCCCAAACCGCCCCACCCCGCCCCAAACCGCCTCACCCCACCCCGCCCCCAAACCGCCCCACCCCGCCCCAAACCGCCTCACCCCGCCCCCAAACCGCCCCACCCCGCCCCCAAACCCCCACCCCGCCCCCAAACCGCCCAACCCCACCTGCCCCTCATTTTTCTTCATTCTTAAGCCAAAGGCGCCACCATGGGGGGGATACGGCCCACCGCCTTGTTCCACTCGTCGTCCAGCACCAGCTCCGTGAGCTTCGGGGGGAATGTCTCGAACATGGCCTCGCTCCACGGAGGCAAACAAATCACCCCATGTTCATAGGATCCAAACCTCCCCCCCACCCCCCCTGCTGGTGTCCTCCAAGTACGACCTTACGGGAAACCCATGTTCAAAAGGAGTTTCTCCAAGAGAACCACCTCTTTTGACTTGTCCCGAGGAAAGTTGCTGGTCACCTCTCCTCCTTCCGCATGTCCCGCATGGATCGATCGCACCGGCCGGGCATCGCACCCGCCTTCTCCCAGTTCAGGTAGTTCGCCTTCTCAACGTGCACCGCCCGGAAGCCCTTCCTTGGATGGAAGCAACATTTTAGCTTCCCTCTACTTAGTTTGGGGCCCGGTTGGAGATGAACCAAGGACCCGTTCAAATCCAGTTCCAAACCACCAATCCAAACCACCAATTCAGGGTTACCTGAAAATTGTACCCAATTTTGGGTGCACCAATCCACTTTTTGATTGTGCGTGGAAGTAACAAAATACAGAGGAGACATGCCAGCAAGCAATGTAGTCGATGTCGTTTCAGATGCATGTTGTGTTTGCATATTTCTATATATATATATATACACACATACATGGTACCCCGCCCTCCCAGGGACCCTTTTTGAAGAATTTGCTGGTATTTGCAGCGTGTTCCACCCATTTTTGGGCTTGGGGGAAAGCAATGAAAAAGTCGCACTTCCAAGGACATTCTGGAAGAATCAGGCTCGAGTTAAACCGATTTTCACCGACGTAAATTTAAATCGGGCCAGGATTCAAGATTCAAGAATCCAGGACAAACTTTCCCAGAGAATCTTGAGTCCAGGCCTCGATTTCACCCGATGTCAAAGTATCTAAATTTAAATCGAGCCTGGATGCAAGATTCAAGACTCTTGAATCCAGGCCCGCTTTAAATTTAGTTCGTGCTGAAATCGAGACCCAAATCCAACATTGAACTTTGCGCGAGCGCTGCAAGCATCCAAGTCCTGATTATTCATTCAATCTGTTTCAATCTGTTTCAGTCTAGGCTCATATTCAAGATTGCATGCCAAACTTTTCTAGGGGATCTTGAATCCAGGCTCGATTGCAGTTTCAGTCGGTTTCCATCGGTTTCACTCGGGGCCTGGACTCGGGTTGCAAAGAAGACTTGTCTAGGAAATATCGAACCTTGAGTCTTAAATACAGCCTTGGATTATGTCCTTATCAAATTCTGTTTTATCCCCAATTTAATTGTAAGAATATGTTGGAAAGGGAATCATATTTCAATTCTAATCTTCAGATATAACTTCCAGTAGAATTCCGAGCAAGTATTTCCGTATTAAGGCCCAATCAAATCCTGTTCAAAATCAAATGAACATTTAGAGAGCGGTCGTTGGTGGAGATGCGAATTGAGAATGAAAAAAAGCAACAAGCACTATGTTGTGCGGTGTTTTCTGACCATGGTAGTGCTAGGACTAGTGGAAAGACACAAGTTTGGCACCTCTGAATTCTTTCCGTATGAACTCTACTTAATATGTGTATCAAATTCTATCCAATTTCTATTTGAATTAAATAGAGTTTAACTTAAATATTGACTGCTCTATGTTAAAATAAATGGTGCACAAGATGTCCTGTCGAATAGAATAGTATACTTGAAATTCAACACACAAAAAGCACTAGAGGGAAATAGTCTAGTCCTAGTTTGGTCCTAGTCCTAGTTGGGAGACCCTTGGTTCTAGGCCAAGTATGGTCGGAGCTTACTGAAATAAATAGAAAACGTAAAGGACATCACAAAGGAAGTTCCCTATGAATTCCATTTAACAGGTTTATCAAGTTCCGTCTTCTAACTGAAATTGAGTAGAACTTCAAGTATTGAAACAACCCAAGCAAAAACTACCTTTTAATTTGGAACTTAAATATTGACTATTCTATTTCAAACCAATTGTTACACAGGACTTTCTTTCCAATAGAATGTAATACTTGACATCCACATATAATAAGAAGTAGAGTTAGATAGTCTAGTCCTAGTTTGGTCCTATTGGTTCTAAAGCTAGGTCGGTCCTAGTTTACTGAAACAATTAGAAAGTATAAAGGACATTACATACAGAGGACGTTATAATTGAAGTTCAGATTTTATAAGAATCAGAGGTGAATCGTTTAGTCCTAGTTTGGTTCTAGTCCGAGCAGAGATCCTTGGTTCTAGCCTTCTTCAAGAATGACAAGAGCAATCACTAGAAACAAGGTTCACAGTTCACATTCCAATTTGGCTTCCCAGCCTCACATTATTCCGTTCTGGCTTGTCTTCTTTGTTTGGAGACTTGATTGGTGGCAACATGAACAGCATATGAAGAACAAAATATGTTGTACGTTTGGTATACTTTCTGTTGATGTTCCATATGTTTTAGTAGTAAGAGATGGATCGCGCATTTTGAATCTGGGGACGGGCCCAAACGCTCCAGCCGGCGCTCGCTCAGATGGGAATCGCCAGCAAGTTTTGATCCGAGGGCCAGCAAGTCTTTGACCGGGCTAAAAAATACAAACGAGTTGCACCCCAACCCGTCAACTCTGCCCATGCATCTTGGTTACTTTTGTCTGTTTGGCTATCGACCGGCGAACTCACTGTTGTTTGACCAAAAAGAGGCAGTGCTGGTCCCCCAACACAAGCCACCGAAGTAGAGTTACCTGATTACAAAATATGCCAGCAGCACCATACATGCTTAAAACCAAACCCGGGTCCTCCAAAAAGCACAACTAAACCACATGCCCACTGCCACCAAACTGAACACAACCAAAAAACCACATACTCACTGCCTCCACCAAACAGCTGATTCAAAAAGCAAGGGCATGGCGAGCAGTCACCTCTAGCCCAAGGCGCTTCACCATGAGCTCCTTGAAGCCCACGTGGAGCTCGTCCCTTGGGAAGTTGGTGGCGCCCTCGCCTCCCACCACGAGGTACAGAAGCCCTGAAGCGGAGCCGCGGAACCGCCGGTTCCGAACCAGCTCGCTGGCCGAAGCGGATCGGGTCGACTTTTCTGGAACCGAAAGGGGCCAACAAAAAAAACACATAATGTTCCCCATAACTCAACTATTATTCAAACGGTTCAGATGGTTTCCCCAGTTTTGCACCCCAAACCCGCCATTCGCTCATGATTTAACTGCTTAACTAAAACCATCTAAGAGACCTCCAGGACTTCTGGTGGGGTGGTTGACTTCCTTTTGATCCGGCTTCGTAGACACGAAAGGATGCCCTTTACTGGAAGATGGTTCAAACCAGGCCCCCACCCCCAGTCAGGTTCCATTTTAAGGGGATGGTCGCCAGTTGCCTGTCATTCGTCTTTGGCTCAAAGGATCTGGGAGGCTTGTAAGAATTCACCATCCTGAAATGAGGCTTGACCTTCCTGAACTTAATCTCTAAAAGCCCAGAACTGAATCCCTAAAAGTCTGCAGGCACCCTTTCTGAGGTCGCAATGACTAAGAAACCAAAATGAAAAGCCGAACGGAACCCGAAGAAAAGCCAAGGCGTCGCAAGCCAAGGCGTCAACACTCGGGAGAAGAGTTCAAGCCAACGGAAACCTAAAGAAATGCCAACACCCAACATGCCAAAGGAAGCCCAAAAGAGGCACATCGAAGGCCCATCCACTTTTGCACCGAAATTGGTATAAGCGCGTATACAAGCCTTGCTAGAATCTCAACTCAACTAGGTAGAACGTCTTACAACCTAAATTTGGCCACTGCTCAAATGAACCCCAAAGGAAAGCCAAACCCCCCCGGTGAAAAGAAAAAACTGAAATGAAGAGCAAAAAAAGAAATGAAAGCACCAAAGGACACCCATCTGGCCTTGCGCGCCAGGCCTTGGTTCTACTAGCGCCAGCGCCCCGGCTGGGGGCGGTGGGGGGTTCGCAAAGTCCGCGGAGAAGCCTCCGGCCGGGCCGGGTGGCGTTGCCGCAAAAGGGCGGAGCAGAATTCCTGCTTCCCCAGACCTCCAGATCTCCATGCTTTGTTGTCCTTTTCTCTTTCTTAGGGAAAACAACCTTTGTCTGGTTGACTCCTCCAGTTGCAAATCGGTCTTTGGATAACTCCAAAATCCAGAGGCATCAATTAGGATGCATGAAGCCCTATGAATTATTGCACTCTCCCAAACCTCCAATCGTCGTTTTTGGGTAACACGGTGCACCTGTGTGGTTGGTCGATTTAAAGAGAAGCCACCAACAACTATAACTCGGACAGGCGCTTGTGTGTGTGTGATGTGTGTTTGCGTGATTGCATGACTCCGTGAAAGCAGCATTGCGTGAATGCGTGAATGCGTGATTGGGTGGTTGCGTGGCCGCGCTTGGTTGTTGTTTGGTTGTTCACTAGTGCGGTTGCGTCTTGTGCAACTGTGGGATCTTGAGATTGTCTTTGCTTGAATGCGTTTTGACACTTGCCAGATTCGCGAATTCCGGGTTGTCCTGTTGTGTTTGTTGATTGTGTGGTGTGACTTTGTTTGGGTGTGATGGTGTCATTGTGGCATTGTGCAGTTGTCTCTTGCTCGAGGTCCTCCAGGCATCCCCAAGCGCCAAGAGTCTGGAAATGACGGCTTCAACTTTTCGGCTTCCTTAGCTAGCTTCTCTGCACAAGCGAGAGAGAGAGAGAGAGGAAAAACAAAAAGCAAGCAAGCAAGCAAGCAAGAAAGGAAGAAAGAAAGGAGAGAAAGGAGAGAAGAGAAAGAAGAGAAAGAAGAGAAAGAAGAGAAAGAAGAGAAAGAAGAGAAAGAAGAGAAAGAAGAGAAAGAAGAGAAAGAAGAGAAAGAAGAGAAAGAAGAGAAAGAAGAGAAAGAAGAGAAAGAAGAGAAAGAAGAGAAAGAAGAGAAAGAAGAGAAAGAAGAGAGAAAGAGAGAGAAAGAAGAGAAAGAGAGAGAGAGAAGAGAAAGAAGAGAAAGAAGAGAAAGAGAAGAAGAGAAAGAGAAAGAAGAGAAAAAGAAGAGAAAGAAGAGAAAGAAGAGAAAGAAGAGAAAAAGAAGAAAGAAAGAAGAGAAAGAGAAAGAAGAGAAAGAAGAAGAAGAGAAGAAGAAGAGAAAGAAGAGAAAGAAGAGAAAGAAGAGAAAGAAGAGAAAGAAGAGAAAGAAGAGAAAGAAGAGAAAGAAGAGAAAGAAGAGAAAGAAGAGAAAGAAGAGAAAGAAGAGAAAGAAGAGAAAGAAGAGAATGAAGAGAATGAAGAGAATGAAGAGAAAGAAGAGAAAGAAGAGAATGAAGAGAATGAAGAGAAAGAAGAGAAAGAAGAGAAAGAAGAGAAAGAAGAGAAAGAAGAGAAAGAAGAGAAAGAAGAGAAAGAAGAGAAAGAGAAAGCATCACTTCGGGTGAAAACAAACTGGGAGAGCGCTGGCCGCCAGTCCGGAAGGTTGTGGTTCAAAAGAATGCACCCACCTCTTGCAGGATTAGAGAATCGTTGCATTCTCGATTCCCGGCTTCCCTTTTCTTCAGAAACCGGCAGGGGTACAGGACCAGCAATCTCGCCAAACACGCATCTGCACCGAAACGTATCAGGATGACCCCCGCCTGAGATGGGCGAGATCTGCAACACCACGTCGTACTTTCCTATGCGCAAACCCGCCGGTCAAAAGCGGAGCGACGCAGCCGGGCGAGCCGTGCAAACAAACGGCGCTTGCCGGGACACCCTTGGAGTCAACGAAAGCGGGGGCGGCGTTCCATGCGTCCAACCCCTGCCTTCAATCTTCTTGAGCCCAAGTCGGGAGCACTTGCTGGGATACACCACCTATGGATGCGAAGTGGCTTTGTGTTCGGTCAATTTTCTGGTGTTCCCCAATGACATGGGAATTTGGTGAGTATCTTCGATTTACCAGTGGAAAATTGGCAACCCAATGTAAGGATGCGTGTGTGTACCCAACCAATAGGTACAATTACTACATTTGAAGATTTCCCAGAAGCTGGGCGGGAATTCCACAACTTGGAGTTCAAAGCGCTAACTGACTGTTGCTCACATTGCAGCTTGCTCGTAAGGGTCAAGCCTCTTAGAAAACTCCGCCCAGCCCGAGGCTTTTCTGGGTCAAGCTGTAGGCCCGCGCGAACTAAGTGGTGCTCGAAAGTGGATGGGAGTCGAGGTGAACCTTTCAATGGATGGTGGGTGTAGACACCTACACTAAGTTCGCGGTCAGTTTGCAAGCTCAGTCAAGGGGGCTATAGGGGCTATCACGTGTTCGGCCAAAAGAAATCTTCACGGGCTCATCCTTTGCTTACCCACCTCCAGAACGCCCTGCCTTCCCCCTTTGAGGTGTATCAGGCCAGCTCACAAGCTTCATGCTCCTTCGGGTTGACCGAGGTCAAACTTCTCGGACTTTCCAGGCAAAAAGGCGAAAGGCGGGGTCTGAGAGGATTCATTCCCATTATGTGAAGGATCAGGGGAACCATTTATAAAATTGAAAATAAAAAGGTTCCGCCATTGTCCATGCATCTTAACTCCCAGCCTCTAAACCCTTTGTCACAAGGCAGTCGCCGGTTCACTCGACTCGACTCGACTCCCACAGTCGCACAAACCCACTCCACGGCTCTCTCACCACGGCAAGGCCAACCACCTCTTCAAACACATTCGAACCAGTGTTTGAATCTTCTGATTGGAGGTTCTCAAGGGTTGTGGAAGAGCACAGTCCTTTTGAGAACGCCACCTGTCCACTTCGGTTGAAAAATGGAACGGTACCCTTTTTGTGTTTGCTTAGGGAAACCAAAGAAAACCAAAGCCCACTTTGGGGCTTCCATCTTCCTTGCAAAGGGTCCAGAGATAGCCGGGACTTTTTCAACCAAATGTAGCCCTTTTCAAAAGGAAACCGAAAGGAAACCTGGAGGATTTGGACTATCACGTTCAGAACAGCACAATTGCCCTCTTCTTTTCAAATTTGCCACTCCACTCCCCCCTCCCTCGCCGCAGCCGCTCCATGAACTCCCACCCTAAACCCCACCGCAAGCCCTAAGCCAACCCGAAACAGGCCTTAAGCCCACGCCAAATCGAATCCTAACCAACCCCAACCCCACCCCAAACAAACCACCAACCTTAAACGAACTCTAACCCCACCTGAAACAGCCAAAACCCACCCCGAAAAAAAGCCTCAACCTCAACCGAACTCCACATAACCCAACCCCCCGTAACCCACATCAACCCCCACCTCAAACCCACCCTCTGCCCTCAGCCACCTTCCCCGCTAACCCGTTCCCCCCGATCCCCGATCAAACCCCCCGCCTCCCTGCCAGGGCTGGTCGATGAGCCCCGCCAGCCCTGCCCGCCGCAGTTCCTGGGCGTCCGCCATCATGCGGTACCGCATATGCCTCCAGCGCCCCCCCGTTCCCCCCGTCGATCCCCGTCGATCCGTCGGGCGTTCAGAAGTGCGCGAAAACCCGCCGTCGTTTGGATCTGGGGGCGGTTGGTGGGCGGTGCAAGCGCAGCCGCAGCCATGGACTAGACCAAGAGAGAGATGAACATATGATTTTCACAAGTTGGCCCCGCGTTCCCACCTCACGGCGCTTTGGCTCCCTTGCCTTTACCCCAAAACGCCATGGAAAATCCGTGGGTTGAAGGGGTGAAAGCCCAGGCCACAGGGTTTACACATGACACTGGCGTCCCAAAAGCGGCACCGAAAATCCGAGTCTGCTGGGTGCGCTGAAGACATAGATGGCACTGGAAATGATTGGCACTATCTGAAACCAGGGCCACCTATGTTGAAACAAGTGGCAGAGCAAAGGAAACCCAGTGTTACTCATATGGCAGTGTTTTTGTTCTTGTTGGGACTCACCTCAGAAGTAGCGGAAATGAAGTCAGACCAAACTCACCCACGGGTGTTTCTCAGAATAGACTCGCTTTTGGTGTTGTTTTTAAAAGCAAAACCAAAGTAAACCATTCAATTTTGGAGTTCTCCTATTGTGAGACGCACCCATATGGTTTCTGTCCACTTGTTTGAAAGCTGCAGAACACGGGTATCTTGATTGAGGGTACCCCTGACCGTCCATTTGCGCTAATATGACCATCATTCCTTGACCGGAATTATCTAGTAAAGAACCTTCTTCATGGGCTGGCTCATTTCACCCCGGGTGAGCTCGGTGCAACCTGTACAAATCCGTTTGGTGCCAGGGTTGCAACCTCTTGAAAGACATGCAGACAAGCCACCAGTCATCTTGTCTGCAATGGTCTTAATTCCCAACCCAAGAAGATTTCTGCCCGGTCCGCTTCCCAGCTGCCCGCTCATCCAAAAAGGCTGTGACCTTGTCTCCCCAAGCGCGCATAATCATGAACTATGGCTGTGAGAGACTGCCTCATTCATGCGGTCACATTCATCCAGTCAAGCATTTCATCAATTGGCCCGTCCCTACCTGTTGCCACCTCCAAAAAGGGCAACCCAAAATTTCAAACCTCGTCACTGCGCGCAACAAAGACGTAACCCCAAACCGCACGTGTTGGCGCACGACCTTTTGGGGGGGGCTGCTGCTCTCAGTTTCCGCCACTCCGCCTGCCGGTGGTGGGGCCCACGAAGTACTGGATGCTGTCCGGGAGCTTGTGGTTCTCCGGCAAGGAATTCAAAACCTGCGCCTGGGATCTGCTGGGATCCGCGGCCCGGATCCGCCGGATCTCCACAAGGGAACCACTTGGGAACCGGCGGGAAGGCGGAGGGTCTGCCAGTTCCGCTCATACAGTCTGCACAAAAGGGAACCAGAAACTATGACTGGAAATGCGGAGTGGCACCCTACGCAAATCCGATTTTATTTGGGGGGCGGCCTGCGCTTTGTCCTGACCGGAGTTGACCGTCTCAAAGCAGAGCTCGAGCCATCTGGCCCGCTTTCTTCTGCTTCAAGTGAAGAAGCAGTCTGGACTCTGGACCCAAACAGCATTGATGTTCACCAACTCAGAAGGTAGAAAGCCGGCTGTCAGGCTGCCAGCAACTCGATCCATCTCGGCGTGTAAGGGGAAAGCCAAGCCAAGCCAATTGGGAGTGAATGTTTAAGTAGGGGTGTGGGTATCATTCTCATGGGATTTCTGGCCAATCTTTTTGAAAGGGTGCCTTTTCCGAAAGTCGCAATTTCCAGATACAAACCCCCGACGCCAAACTGCGGCCGCAGGCTTCCACGGAGTCCAAAATGGATCAACGGTGGACTCAAAAACTATGGGCATGCATTTGATGATCCATCTCCAGGAAACTAAAAGAGAACTATATTCACTGATTCAACTAGACGGATGTTGGATGGCATAGGGGAAACCACAAGGAGACGACATGCGCGGTGGACTCGTCCAATCTTGTTGGCAACATGTGAAACCTCCTCCAGTTACAGGTAGACGTGTGGCAAATTCGTCCAAACCGCGAGGTGTTGCGTTTCTCCATCATGCATGAAATTCCACCCATCTAAGTGGGCACTGCTGTTCTTCCTTGATTTCTTGAAAGTCGAACGTAACATTCGATGCCACCAACAGATTGCTTGAGTCCATGTCAAGCAACAAAAGCACGGCTGATCCAAGCAAATGAGCAAAAAGCCGGGCGCCTTTTCAAACACCAAGGACCAAGAACTAGTGCTTCTTGCTGCACAAGGGTGTTTCTCACACCACCAGGGTCCCCGAAAATGGTGAATTAATTTTGGTGTCTTTTCGAAGACCAACCCAAGCAAAGGGGGGTCCGACCCATTTTGAGAACCTCCCAAAGGGGTGTTGCCCGATCATCGGCGTCGCGGTGTCGCTTTGCCAGGTGGCCCACCGGGTGGCCCGTTCCAGGGGCGAGCCCGTCACGAAGACGATGTCTGCCTGGCAACTCGCCGGAATGTGTTGGGTCCGGGTTAGCCCCAAACGGTGGCCCTGATGATGAATTCAGCTTTGCCGCGCATGCGCAAGCCAACTTGGTCAAAACACCTGACTGAGGCTCTCTCAGAGATAGTGCGCAGAAGACCAGGAACGGCCCGGAAACGCGTCCCGAGACGGGACTGCTATTAGCATATGGCCGCGCGCACGAGCTTTGAGCCCTCAATCGGTGAACCCTCTGCGCACTTTCGGTGGGTCGACCTCGAAAGACAGTGTTCATTTGTTAAGCTTGCGCAACCATCATCAAAGGTGAACTTTCTGCAGGCGGGTCATGGTTGTGTGCGCTATGAAAAGGTGAACCCTCTGCGGGTGTTTCGGTGGGGCAAGCTCAAAAAAACACGTGCGTTCGTCTCTTTGCTCAATACGCTCGCATGACTGGCTAGTAGTGGAATAGATAGGATGACAGATACATAGAGAAACAAACATAGACAGATAGAAGGGACAGGATAGGAGAGGAGAGGAGAGGATAGGAGAGGATTAGATTTGCTAGATACAGATACATTAGATGTAGATATAGATACAGATAAAGATAGTCGTAGATATCGATATTAAACGTGTAGATGCACGGATAGAAAGATGAGAGGTGGACATGCAAAATTCGGAAAAGATGGATGAGTCAAGCTGCAAGTAGGGAACAACTGAAACAAAAGCCTTTCACAAAAATCATGTCAACATTTTTAGTTTTTTTTATTTTTATCATGTGATCCAAGGTGCACAACACACAACGGGCCAACTAAACATTGCAAGCAGGCGCCGAAGTGTGATTGCAGAAACCAGCAAAGTGGCGGAGCTGGATCCTGCGAAACCCCGAGCTTCTCCAGCGGCGCAGCACCTCCGTACCAGCTCGCGGCTGTCAAGGGAAGCCATATGTCCGCGCTCACGGCACTGGGATCGCCGGGCGTGTTGGGCATGTGTTCGTCCGGTACCAGTGCGTCAGTGTGTAGCACGCCTTCACCACTTCGTGATACACCACTCTGTTCTCGATGTGCAGGCCCGTCCCGTCTGACCATTCGTACATTGTTTTCTTGCGTGCAAAGTGACGGGAGGTGACCGCAGGCGCGCGCATTGGCTTCCGTGTTGGCCTGCCAGCACGCTTCCCTGGCTGTGCCACATACTCCTCTGCCGTCACAAAGTATCCCATCTCCCACTGGTGGTGCAACCATGGGTGAATAGATAGATAGACAGACAAATAGATTGATAGATGAGATGAGATGAGATGAGATGAGATTAGATTAGATTAGATTAGATTTAGATTAGATTCGATGCGATTGGATTAGATAGATCGATTGGATAGATACAAAGAGACACAGATACAAAGATACATTATACATAGATACAGAGATACACAGACGCATAGATGCATAGGTAGATAGATCGAGAAATAGATGGATACATAGATAGATAGATAGATAGCTTGATAGATAGATTGCTTGCTTGCTTGCTTGCTTGCTTGCTTCCTTGCTTGCTTGTTTGCTTGCTTGATTGATTGATTCATTGATTGATTCATTGATTCATTGATTCTTGATTGATTGATTGATTGATTGATTGATTGATTGATTGATTGATTGATTGATTGATTGATTGATTGATTGATTGATTGATTGATTGATTGATTGATTGATTGATTGATTGATTGATTGATTGATTGATTGATTGATTGATTGATTGATTGATTGATTGATTGATTGATTGATTGATTGATTGATTGATTGATTGATTGATTGATTGATTGATTGATTGATTGATTGATTGATTGATTGATTGATTGATTGATTGATTGATTGATTGATTGATTGATTGATTGATTGATTGATTGATTAGATATAGATAGACCGACAGACAAACAGACAGACAGTGTGACAGACAAACAGATAGCTAGATAGCTAGATAGCTAGATAGCTAGATAGCTAGATAGATAGGAGGATAGGAGGATAGGAGGATAGGTAGATAGATGGACAGATACATAGATAGACAATAGACAGATAAAACGAAAGAAAGACAGATACAGTGATGAAAAGAAGAAAAATAAGTAGACATTGCCTTTTCCGAACTCTAGCGGGTAAACTAGATAGACAAATCCTTAAATACATAGAAAATATAATAATAGCAAATCTTCCCCAAAGTCCGGCTTTGAAAGAAAAAAATGACAAAGAAAGAGAAAAAAAGACAAGAAGAGAAAGAGACCAAGAGAAAGGGAAAGAGAGAAAGAGAAGGGAATAAGAAAGAGAAAGAGACAGGCAGAGAGAAAACAAAAGGGAAGAGAAAGGCAAAAAGAAAGCCAGACATACAAAGAAAGCGAAAGAGAAGGGCGAGGGAAAGGAAAAGAGAAAGCAGAAGACAGAGAAAGAGAAGAAAAAGAGAAGGGAAAGAGAAGGGATAGAGAAGGGAAAGGGGAAAGAGAAGGGTAAGGGAACGGGAAACGTGAAAGGGAAAGAGAAAGAGAAGAGAGATTGAAGCGCAAGGAAAAGGGAAATAGACAAGAGAAAGGCAACGCCAAAGGCTGAGGGAAATTTGAAAGAGAAAGAGAAAAAAACTACTAGTTATTTATACCTTTGACTTTGACACTTTCGCGCCCTGGCACTGCCGAACATCGCTGGTATAAAATATATGTATGCAGTACATAAATGAATACACCTAAATGAATACATAAAAATAAACAAACAAACAAATAAGTAAGTACACAATTAAAAAGAAAGAAAGAAAGAAAGAAAGAAAGAAAGAAAGAAACAAGTAAACACATCAATGTGTATAAGTAAAAAAAAATGTTTAACAAACAATGATGAGTAGTTCAGCAAATAAACCAATATGTAAACAAGTAAATAAAACAAAACAAAGCAATAAGGATGGAAATACATTAACAAATGACAAATATGTAAACCTAAGTAACCTCCTTGAAACATTCAAAGGAACCCCCCCGCCCACAGACAAACCATGCATTCTGTGTGAATTTATGGACAGCCTGTGTGAATCGAATCAATGGAATCCCATAAAGGTTCTCTACACATATCTTGGGACCACTGTGATGTTTAGCTCCAAAAAGAAGAGTTCTGCATCATCAGATGCATATCGTCACGTCCCGTTGCGGCACGCTTTCTTTCCAACATATCCAATCTCCAATGCGGGTCATTGAGAGTATTGTGCTGCCCATACTGGTTTATGAAGGGCCGTGCAAGTTGTTCCAGGTCGTTCAGGGTTCGCGAAAGGTGGCAAAGGAATACTGGCTGGTTCGAACTGCTGGCTGGTTCGAACTGCCGAACGCGTACTCTGCAAAAAGCATCTCCAAAAGCCTGAAGTGATAAAGCACCGCATAAAACAACCAAACCCTCTTTCTTGCTTGCTTTCGGACTTCAGTTGAAACCGACCAGAAGATGGTTTCCAACCACAAAAACACTCAACAACAACAACCACAGCCACAAACCCCCCTGCCAAAAAAAAAAACGAGTCGGGTTGAAGATTCCGAGCCGCCCCAAATTCCCCCGCCTGCAGGCGAGGGCTAGCTTTGAGGTGCTGGTGCAGAAGCCACAAAGACGCCTCGTCGTCGATCTCCTGACGGGGGACATGCCGCTTGGGCGTCTTTCAAGGGGAGGTTGGGGGTTGGGGGTTTTGGGTCTGTGGCGTCAAAGTGAATCATCCCGTGCGGTTTCCCCTGAAGGGCCAGTCTTTCAAAAACAAAAATGGGGATTTGGAGTTGGGCTTGGCGGTGGGGTGTGTGGTTTGGGGCTTAGAACCTCTCCTGAGTTGTGCGGGGGCCTCTTCTGTTTCCTAGCTGCGAAGGAGTGGGGAGCAGCCCAAGTGCGTGTGCCTGCTGCTGATTCTCAGTAGGGAATGAGATGAAAGACCCAAACCGACTCATCCCTCGTGGTTTCCCTTCAGGGGCCCATTGAGAACCAAGCTTGGGTCTTTCCAAAACTACAGAACACCTTCAAAGGACGGTTTAAGAGAACACGGCTACGTGTTTTGACCTTTTCGGTACGGGAGCACGGCGGTTTTTTTCATCGGCCACGTCTCCTCGCCCACGTCGGTGAGCACCAGCATGCGGGGCCGGTCCTCTAGCATGACCGGGTCGTGCACTGGAACCTTCCCCGGGGGCCACGAGTCGACGAGGTGGCCGCTATAGAGGCTTACCAGCTTCCTTTTGATTGGTGGCCTGGGAAGCTAGGGAAGGTTTCCCATTTGCCAACCATTTGCCAAAATGGGAAGAGGAGTCGCCTGATGTGAGCTGAACCATCGACCTGCCAGGTTGGCACCCTTTGGCCGAAGCAGAGGAGATGGGTAGTGCCACTATTTTGGGTCGTCCACCAGTTTGGGGTCTTACAAATGTGCTCCTTTCAGATGACACAAATGCTTAGAACCCACGCAGGGTCCCCCAAACTATGGGCTCCTCTGTATGGCCCTTTGGCACCCAGCGCGTGATCCGAAGCGGACACGGAAGGTTGACACCTGCAAAGCGGGGCGGGGGGGGAACAACAAAAGGAAGGTCGGCACGCAAAAGCCGCAGAAGCTCATCCCACGAGGTCCAGGCCAGGGGCAGAAAACTTTGAGCTCCGAACCCCCCCCCTCGAACCGCAGCCGAGTGGCAGCGCTGACGCTGGTGGTGAACTCCGAGTTCTCCTCAAGGCTTCAGAGAATTGGCCAAAATTGTCTGGACTTTTCGTGTACCACCGATATGCAGTTCCCAAACATGGACTAGTACAAGGTCCAGAAACTGGGGAAGTAGATAATCCGAGGGTTGTCCACTACACCATGGCTGCCCAGCCTCAATTTCACCTATCTTTGTCAATTGAAACTGTGCCTTTGGGGTGTATAAGTCTGCCCCACAAATTCGCGTGCAAGGGAGAACTTCTCTCGAACAATTCCCCTTGTGTGAGGTCATACCGTGGATACGAAATCGACGCCGCCTGGCGCCAGCTGGCATGGATGAAACCTATTTGTCTGAAAACTGGTTGATGAAACACCAATTCCAAGGGTGCCAATCTTCACTCTGCCCTGGCCAGCTCTCGTCTCACGAGCCTCTCAAGCCCCGACAAGAACGCCAAGGACAGCACTCTTGAAACCGCCTGTTTTCAAGCATGGGCGAACCCCCCCCCCCCCTGCATCGTATTGAGATCGTTTTACCCTCGGGCCGGGCTTGAACTGGCATCAAGGCTCTCCTGCGCTAAGCCCCACAGCTCCCGGAACAGAAAGGGCGAGTCCACCAGCCGACCACCTCCTCCCCGCACCCCCCCACCCCCCCACCCCCCCGGCGTCTCGCCTTTTCAACCCCACGCCCCCCCGTGCGTTGAAAACGGCCAGCGGCGGTCTGGGAGTTGCACCAGCCGAACATGCTGTTCCAGCTGAGTCCCTGAGACGCACCTCAGCTCATGTTGGATCAGGGTGAGCGTAGGATACCCTTGTGTTTGGCCAGGGAAACCAAAGGGCAACCCCTCATTTTGGGGTGCCCCTTTCTGATGACCTTTTGGGGGTGGTTTAAAGGGACACACACACAAAAAAAAACAAAGTGTTTTTTGTTTTTAACATGTCGAGCTTAGATGTAATTCAAAACTGCAAAGCACCGCCGCTGCTGGCCGACGCGCCTACCCCACGGGCCAACGGGCGCCAGTCCGAATTCCAATCAAGGAATCGGTTCAGGGGCTTGTTGCCCTGTGTTCAGGCCAGCAGCTAAGGTTGCTTTAACTGCTTGCCATCAGCATGTTTGCCAAAACAAGCAGTGCTAGAAAGTGTCAGCAACAGTGGAGCCAATGGGGAACGGAAAAGCCTAGAGGTTCCTAAAGGACACTCACCGGCAAATCTTAGGTGATCAAAACTGGGTGCTGAATCATCTAGATGTTTCAAACTCACCACGCAACCAACCCCACCACCCAAACCACCCAAACCACCCAAACCACCCAAACAACCCAAACACCCAAACAACCCAAACAACCCAAACAACCCAAACCACCCAAACAACCCAAACAACCCAAACAACCCAAACAACCCAAACCACCCAAACAACCCAAACAACCCCCAAACAACCCAAACAACCCCCAAACAACCCAAACAACCCAAACAACCCAAACAACCCAAACCACCCAAACCACCCAAACCACCCAAACCACCCAAACCACCCAAACAACCCAAACAACCCAAACAACCCAAACAACCCAAACAACCCAAACCACCCAAACAACCCAAACAACCCAAACAACCCAAACAACCCAAACCACCCAAACAACCCAAACAACCCCCAAACAACCCAAACAACCCCCAAACAACCCAAACAACCCAAACAACCCAAACAACCCAAACCACCCAAACCACCCAAACCACCCAAACCACCCAAACCACCCAAACAACCCAAACAACCCAAACAACCCAAACAACCCAAACCACCCAAGCCACCCAAACCACCCAAACAACCCAAACAACCCAAACAACCCAAACCACCCAAACCACCCAAACAACCCAAACAACCCAAACAACCCAAACAACCCCCAAACAACCCAAACAACCCAAACAACCCAAACAACCCAAACAACCCAAACAACCCAAACAACCCAAACAACCCAAACCCCACCAAACCCCCCCCCCACCCCCGCCCCGCTTGCCGCAACGGCTTGGCTTGGGCTTCTGAAGGCAAAGGCGCCCACTTGCAGGGACATGTTCAGCGGCAGCTGCAGACTTTGGCAGCTGCTGGCGCCTGCATCGAAGCTAACGGTGCCTCGGGTGCTCGCAGCCGGGCGCCGGAAAACTGCAAATCTCGCTAGGTGGTTCTCCGCTGGTAAGAGCAATTCAACCTGATTAGTTCCGGCGTGTCCTGTTGCAGGTCCCGATTACCAGGAACATTGAACCCGGAACAGTTGCAAGAAGCCAGTGCATAAATACCACTATTCGAAATGGATTGTTTGCCAAATCTGTCGGCTTATCGCTAAAGAAAACAATCAATGGTTTTTGTTTAATATAAACCCGGTTCCAAAACCTGAAATAAACGATCCCAAATAAAGAACTTACCGAGCGGGGTTTCAATCCCCAGAGCTCGCTGTATCCACTGGTAGATGATTAAAGGAGCCAAAATGGAACCAGCGGCATGATTTTTCCTATGTTCAAGCAAACTCATCCAAGAGGACAAAAACCGAGCTCAGCCTGTTTTGAATGGCCATACTGTGAACTCGTTTTTGTCCGGCCATTTTCTTTGTTCAGGACTCGGCAAAACCAGCAAACCTCGCTGGCCCAGTTCCCCTCTTCCCATCTCGTCCCCCCCTCCCACTTGCTGAGAAAATGCATACTGTTGACCCCGATTCATAATTCCGCCCGTGCTGGAGTCCACCTGAAGAAACCACTATTCTTGGGGGGGACCACAGAGAAGTCCCAAGGTGCAGGAGCTGACTCGCTGATAGAGGTCCACCTTGGCAGATGCCTCGCCCGACACATCGAAGTCGAAGACGCTCCTTCGGCCCAGCTGCACGCATCTCCTCGGAGCGATTTTTTCAGGCGGCCGGCGGGTTGTTGTTGCTGGTAGGACTTCTTGGGAGTTGGCTGTTTGGCAGCTGATGTCTTGGTAGTTTGTTTTCTTTTGTTGGTTGATGTTTAATGGACAAACTTCCCAATTCTGGGCAAGCAGGGACCTAAAAGGTAGGAAAAAAAATACGGAATCATGTCTCTTTGACATTTGCCAAAGGGATTAGAGTTGCAAATCGTTCGACAAAATGGAGAAAATGGGGATTGCAACCCACCGGATTCTTGGGGTGTTGCGGGGGTCGGACCCATCGGCCGAGAAGCTGCTGGCCCCCAACCCCCACCGCCAGGACGTACCCCGGCTTCGCGTCCCTTGCCTCGTGGGCGTTGATCCACGGGAAAGTGGGGAGGGGGAAAGCGTCCGGCCCATATTTGCGTGACCCGAAAGAAGGGTCCGGGATCAAACAAACAAATCAGGATCAAAAAGCACACATTCTCTAGAGATCCAAATAGGTATCAAAGGAAAAACACACCCTCATCTCTTGCACAGACATGTTGCGTGGCGCACACAAAGCCCAAAGCACGATTCTAATTGGCGAGCCGCTCGGGCCCCCCCCAACACCCCAGATTGCTAAGCACAGCTCAAGAAAAAAACAACTTCAGCAATGGTAAGGGCAGTGTCCAGCTGTTTTGTCCCAGCCAAGGAGTCGCCTGTATTTTTGGACGGTGGTCGGGCAGGAAGGTTTGAGTGCGGGGTATGATTCGCGGGTGTGATTCAGGGGTATGACTTGGGGTATGCTTCGGGGCTATGATTCGCTGTAGCAGCAGTAGTGGCCGTAGCAGTAGCGGTAGCAGTAGCGGTAGGAGTCATGGACCCTCTTTACACGCCCCCCCCCCCCCCCCGAACAGTGGAACCAGTCAGCTGGACCCTCTTTAGTGAAAATCCTTGGGGCCTGGGAGGGACAGTACTTACTCTAGTGTTGCCAATTCTACTTTAGTATTGCCAAGGCTGACTCTCAGATTCCCAGTGCTTACGTTAGCATTGCCAATTCTACTTTAGTATTGCCAAGGCTGACTCTCAGATTCCCAGTACTTGCGTTAGTATTGCCAATTCTATTAGTATTGCCAAGGCTGACTCTCAGATTCCCAGTACTTACTTTGGTATAGTATTGCCAAGGACCGTTGTTGTGCAACCCCGAAAAACAGTTGGACACTAAAGAGGACCCCAAAACAGTCACATTGAAGAGGATCAGGGCCTCTTGTGGGCAACCCCCTTTGTGTGACTGTTTGCCCGTACTTTTTGCAAAGAAGTTATCTTAAATTTGATGGTTTGGGGGCCACTGGCAAAATGGGCTTCCCAGATCCAAGGCCTTTACCCTTTGAGCTGGGAAGAGCTTGCGTAGGTGAACCACCCTGAAAGTACAAGGCTAAGGCTTTCGTTTAAGAATTTCAGCCACCCAGAAAACAGTTTGACGCTAAAGAGGACCCCAAACAGTCACATCAAAGAGGATCAGGAGAACAAGTTAACATGCACCCACAAGGGCTTCTCAAACCCCGGCCGACCCGTTCGATCGTTGTTCGCCTCCACGGTAAGCTGCACCATGGCCGATAGCAACTTTCGGTTTGCGGAATGCCCTTCGGGGGTTCCGAACCCCAAGCACTTCCTGGTGGATTGTTCGAAGGTGCTGGGAGATGGCGCTCTCTGGATGATGAAAAAATGGCCATCTGAAGCCCATTGCTTGCGCTGCTGAGGGAAGCAATCTAACTTTATACTGACTGTCGAAAAAGCTTGGCAATGCTGCCACTTAGCCACCGCAAGCGGGAAGCGTTGCGAGTCACGCGCGCGAGGTTTGTGAAGTCAGATCAGAGGGGAGCATGCATGCCGTAATTTTCGGGGCATCATCTCGCGTCATGCCTACGTAGGCCAACTGCTCATTCCAAGTCTTGCAATTCAGGCTGCGTTCTTCGGTGTTGCAAAATCCAACCAAACCAGCTTTCCTGGTCACTTAGGATATGAGATATGACCAAATCCTCCTTGGGGAGACACCAAAAATAGGAGCATCCATGCTGTAGACGTTGAGGAAACTCTTCAGCAAGAGATCGCCGGATGAGGCAAGGGTCAAGTGAGTGAAGTGGCAGCGAGTGACCTGAAAGTCAAAACTACTCCCAACGCGTCGAGCAAGCTGAAACCAGGCATGGGCCAACCACCTTCTCATCTGTAAATGCTCTATTTGGGCATCCAAGTTTCTCTTAGGCAACCCTTCAGCCAGGCTCTCTGAATCGTGCTCTGCCCGCATCAAAACCAGCTCCCTCGCATTTCCAGTCCCCAAGTTCAGGGTTCCCAGCCTCTCAGACCCGAACGGGTGGAAACCCAACCGTGGGTGGCATATGTTGCCCCAAAAAGCAACCTCCACTGGTGCAGCCGCTTGGAGCGCGCAAGGACTCCCTGAACGCATGGAGAACACTTCGTCGCAAAAAGCTCAGACGCCTCAATTTGATTGACCCGTTTGGTGGGTTCCAACAAATGGGTTCCTTTCGGATGCTACGCGTAATTGTCCTGTGCGAATGACAACTGCCACGCCTCGGGTTGCGGAGCTTGAGCTCACCTCGGGTCGCCGATTTCAGCTCGATCCATATCTGCTCCAAGGGCTTTCCACCCTATCCGTTTCTTTCTTTGGCAAGTAGACCTCTTAGGTTTTACATTTCATACATGGTCAAACAGCACGGCAGGATACTCCAAGTGTGCCAAAACCAGTTGCCATCTTCGAAGCTCCAGCACCGATCCTACCCTTCTGGGGAACAACCCCTGAAAATAGTGATTCCCACCTTCTGACCTTTCGCCTTCCCTTTGGTTCAGGAGACCTCTAAAAGTTCCCGGACAACCTATTGTAGGCGCAAGCTGGGTCCATATGGACTCTTTAGGCTTCCCTTTAAAGCAACCACGAGACAAGTACCAACTCAAAAAAAAAAAAAAACGTGGGGAGCGGGCCATGGAGGTGCACAAGCTCGGCCAGCTGTGTGGGCGCCAGCTCCACCTGAAGCAAAGGGTCAGCCCGGTCTGGTTGTCCCTCCAGAGGAAACTGATCTTGCGGGTACCCTCCCAGTGGCAGCAATGCTAATTGGGAGGAAGGATAGGGAGGGGGGTTCTCTTTGGAGGTACGAAATGAGCGTTCCTTTTGACCCCAACTAAACCACCAGCGGACCGCAGGTTGATCCATGCTTCCACTTACAAGGTTCCATTTGGGGTACCTATTTTTGACCCACAGCCATCTGAACCGAAGGGGCTCGCAGTCGAGTCGCACGGCACGCGGGTTGCGGACGGGCAAACCCGGACCCGGCCTCGCCGTCCACCACGCGATCGCAGACCGCGCCTAGGGCGGGCGGCTGAGCAGGTGGAGCAGCGCAACCCGAAAAAAACCCAAGGTAGAAAATCAGGGCCAGACAAAGGAAACCACAGGAAACCACAGGAAACCAAAGGAAACCAAAGAAAACCACAGGAAACCAAAGGAAACCAAACCAAAATCCACTTAACTGTTCTGCGTCGGAGGAACTCTGGAAATTGGCACCGGCACAGCTTCACTATGTAGCCTTGCCCTAAAAGAAAGCAATGGCATTGAATTCCAAGGGTCACCTCCACCAATTCCTTGAGACAGTGGGCATCCAGGAAGCACATGCACATGTCATGTTTGCTCCCTTCCACCGCTTGAGCCCCGCAACCCAGCTGGGAATTTCGAGATGGATCAAGGTGTCTTCACAGTTGAGCAGCCCCCAATGCTCATTGACTGCTTCCAGCAAGCTCGCAGCAAGACTATAACTATGCAAATGTATGTGTGAGTAAAAGCTGGGTGTACCCGGCAAATGCCAATGGTTTTGTGCTTCCCATTCAAAACCGTCCCGAAGGTGCCGCTTCAGCAGGCATCTCGGCCACCCCCAACCTGCCCTGGGGGCCTGTGGTATACAACCGTTATTCTAAGGGTTGATTCCTCATTCTTTTCAACCATCGTTTTTTGTTCAAAAACCAGCTGTTTTCCCAAGGTGTTCGGTGTTTTTCTAGAAAGAAGGATCCCTGGAAAAAATGGGGAAGCAACCCTTAGAATTATATCAGATACACACCCAGTTGTCCCTTAGCTCCATGCAGCGGTATCGACATAGCCCATCACAACACCTTGCCTTGCTGCGATACCCTTAGCGACCACATGCCCCAGGCCACCGCACGCACGAAGGGATCATGCGACACCTTCATGCGGCGGTAGCACCTGCCCAGGGTACCAAGGGTGCTGGAGGAGGTGTGCTTTGAGCCTGGGGGGAAGAAGAAGGGATGACAATTTCATCAGAATTGCCATGTAAAAACCGGCGAATCATCAGTTTGCGGCAGGGCTCATGGAAGTGACATCCTCACAAGTACCCTCTAAATTGCTTGAATGAGAAATTACCCCAAAAACATGTTGAAGAACCCCCCCTGCCCAAATTGGCGGACCCAGCTGTACTTGTACCGTGTTGGCATTGTGTTTATGTTTGCGACGCTGGACAGCGGAAAACGCAAGTTTTGAATTCCTTTCTTTGGACGTCTTCACTTGCAAGCCACATGGCTCACGCTGTTGAGGTCGTTCCCCCGTTTCGTTTGCGCTGGGTTTCATACTTTTCACGCCAGTTTCATACTCTCCGTTGAAACCGAAAGAATCCAGAATGTCGCAGCGACCGGCACCCTTCAGAAGTCACTGGAATTCGCGGCAGGGAATTGGGATCTACACAAACGCGGGCTTGCCGAGCCAGCGGGTCTGCGCTGCCCAGAACAGCTATAGTGTTGGAACAATCGAGCACTTCTAGAAGGCGCATTACAAGTGCTCGGCTCGGCAAGCGCTATCTGAACAAGTGCTCGGCTCGTGCCTCCTGCGAACCAAAGGCTTTTGTTAAGTCAGACGCGCGCGCGAACCAGCTCAATTTGTTCAAGCCCCTGTAGCGGCGAGTTCAGAAGTTTGGTGAGCCCAACCTGTCTTTCGTCAATTTGGCTTGACCAATCCAGTTTTACTGAATTTCTAAACGCGAAGTTTAAATTTAAGCTTTTCTCGGGCTCTGACTGTTGAGCCGACGCAACTCGCTGTTGCAAAAGTGCTTCTTTCTAGAAAGCTATGCTATTCGCTCAGTTTGGGCGTATTCGCGTGGCACGTCCACATGTCCAATAAAATGCAAAGGGCTAGCCAAAGATTTTGCAGCCAATGATTCTGTCCGCTGGTCGGCGCAACGACGAATATTCATACCCCAAAACAGGGTTTGAGGGTCACAGGGTTGTGGCCAGGATCTGTGCTCGGACTTGCAAAGTTCAAACGTTGCGTCCCTGCGCGGAGAGAAAGTCAATGTTGAAGAACAAAGTTGCACATCAAAATGACATCGCAACTGACCCAGCTAAGAGCGCAGCTGCCTGCTGCTACTTTGTGGCGATTGGGTTGATCAATGGAGGCTTGCCCCTGCGTATGTTCACCGGCCCTGATGGCCCGCCGAGCCCTCGCTCGGCGCTGAGCCTGTGGAGGAAAAGGGGGGAGGCGGAGAAGGAGGGAAGGGGAAAAACCCATGCTGCACGAGTTGCCAAATAGGGCCCCAAAAAATAAACAAATAAATCAATAAATAGTGACAGAATCCCCTCAGAAAGGAGGGTGCTGTCAGGGCCTAAAAAATCAAACTGCGATTGTGGGGATTTAGAACCAAAATAAGTCATGATCATAGACGATCATAGGAGGAAAATCCCTTCATGTTAAGGCAAACTCGGACAAATTCGGGGGACCATACCAACCAGGAATGACTTGCTGGGGGTTCCCTTTCTAGGGTCCCCCAGATCACTCCAAAGTGAACATTACTCGCATGGTTGTTAGGGCCCCCAAAGAGGGGACCCTCCAAACAAGGAGCCCGCGGACTTATCCGCTAATCCGCGTTCGTCGCTAATAGCCCTGTTGGGATTGGGGAGGCGCTTTGAAGGGGGGGCTTTGACAACGACAGGAAACATTGCAGCACCCAGTCGATGTCTCAACATCCGCCTCATCAACGGCAAGAGGCTCTTTTCCGTGGCCACCTCCACCGGAAGTGCCTGGCACGCCACCCCCGCGTCAAACATGCGCGGATTGGAACAAGCACCCGGAAAGGGCCGAAGGGTGTGTCGTAAAGCAAGCACCAGCTACTACCATGCTTGAATAATCACGACAGAAAATAACCAGCAATCTGCTAACTGTGCTTCAAGTACTTTGCAATTTTGCAGCTATAAATCTTTTGTCTAAGGGGACCCTAAAGTGGTCAGGGTTCCGTTTGTGACAACTATGGCAGGGATTTGCATATCGCACCTCGGATGACATCCACTGGGAAATTCCACCAACCACTCCCCCCTCCCCCAAAGAAAAACAATACCCTAAACAAGGAGGGTGGACAATAGACCACAAGTGTCCACCATAGCCCACCCCTCCCAATTTTGAGCTTATTTTTGGATGACACTGTGCCATGTGAACTGTGGTAGGTCGCGGCCCAAGAGTGAAACCCCGGAGCAATACAAACATCGGGTGTGTCCCAAACCAGGAGACCCTACATAAAGAGCTCGGTTTCCTTTTTGGGCGTCCGACCACAACAGAGTCCAAAGAGGACCCCCTACTTTACGACTTGCAACGTTTAGTTCAATGGATTGGGTTACCCTGAACAAACCTGAAACTTCCTGGGAAAATGCCCTGTAGAAGCAGTAGGCAATGATGTCATCACGGGCTGTCAGTTCAGCCCCGACAAACCGCGATGACAAATGAATGTCCAGGCGCTCTTGCTAACCTCGCACGCACCTGGGACTTAATTTGGGAGCCGTGCCATGTAATTGAACAAGACAAGGACCATGAAAGGGGGCACCATACTCTCTCTCTCTCACTTGATACTATGTGTGGTGCAATGCGAACTTCTTGGGGTCTCGTGCGACCTTCCTCTTCGCGAGTTTCCTGTGTGAGCTTTCTGTTCGCAAGTACGCTCTGCACACCATCTGTTCAAGTGCTCCCGTATGTTGTTTGGTGTCTGCTGGTCAGTATTCACTGTCTGTGCATGCACGAATGCAAGAAACTTGCGCCTTCGGCGAAAGAACTCCTTATCCATGTTGTCGGGCAGGAATAAAAGGCAGCTTGTGTCTTGGTATATTGTGTCTTGATATGTACATCCTCTGGGAACAGTGAAAGGGTGACGGGTCAACAGAATCGGAACTGGTTCTGATTGCACAAGACTGTGGGCAACATGGTTGCAGAAGATAGACAGGTAAGAATCATCGATGACAAGATGGCAACGATCATGCATGCATGCTTGCACAGGACACCCCTGCAGTTCGATGGTTAGTTCATCAATCACGAGTCCCTGTACCTGCAGATGCATGTACTTTCGACTAGCCCAGGATGCTGCCCCCCCCCCCCCTCCCCCCTCCCTGCTATGAACCAGATTTTTGGCTGCTGGGCAATGGGGCAGATTCGATGGAGGATGCTCGCCCTACAATCAGACTTGAACATCATTTATTCGCATGCCGTGGGGTTTGATTAGGGATCAAGGTGTCCCTTTGACAGCAAGACATTCAATATAGCTGCCTGGGGTCCACCAATTTGACCTTGGCGCATTTTTAGGGTACACTCAAAGAAAGACACACTCATGTGAAGGAATTAGTCGCCCCTTGGCCTGAAAGAGCTGAGTGTAGGTCTCGTAGTTCTGGAAGAGCAGAGTGTGGCGCTTCCGCTTAGTGTACAGCTCCCCAAAAGCCTCGGCTTCGGAAACAAACCCGTCTCTCTCCAAGTGGGCGGTTCCGGAACCAGCCAAAATGGGTATGGAAACCAAAAGAAACCCCGGGTTCGACACAAACCCACCTGCGACCCTGCGAGACTTGCACACCTATGCTTTGACCAGGATGCCAATGGCCGAACATGGGCCATTGGCCTCCTCTTACACTCATTGGTCAAGCTGTATATGGAGGGGTGGGGGGGTGGGGAGATTGGGGGGGTGGGGGGGAAAGGGGAAATCTTGCGCGGGCCATGTGTGTGGCTCAAAATTAAAGGACCAGGGTTGCGCAGGTGTTAGTCTTTGGTTCAACTTACCAAGGTGCCATTTTGGTACATCTTTTTGAGCTACAGCCATGCGTTCACGGAACCTTTGCAATGGTCAAGCGTCATCCCTGCGCCAGGCAAGGTGGTCTTTTGACCACGCACTTTGGGTCCAATAAACCAGTCTTGGTTGTTCTTGGGAGGTCCGATCTGACGCACCTTCTCTCCTGGAGCGGGTGTGTTTCACATGCACCAGTTCGCATGTCCATGCGAAGCAGCAACGCGAAAAGACATACGAGTACCAGCACCTTTTAGCAATACCTTGCCAAGTCACAACAAAGGATCCCAGAGAACAGAAGCTGCCTGGCGGGTGAGGTCATTCCCCTGACCTGACAGCTATTTTACTCATCGGAAGAACACCCTGTCCGGGAATAGTGGTGCATAAATTTGGGACCTGCCCTAGGCAGAGCTTGCTGATAGCCTCATTTGAGCTTGTTTTCTGAGACCTCTTCGAATTTCCCGCCGAGGCGCCAGAAGCACGCGCACCACCTCCTGAGGCGCCATGCGCGGCAGCAGCTCTCCTGCAAAACAGGTGACATGCGAGATCCGCCCACAGTGGGGGGGGGGTGGGGGTAGGGCCTGGTGGGTCCAAATGGGGTGGTATGGTTACCCCTTTTGGGCGGAGGGGGATACCGGTAGCCATTCATGGTTTAGAGGCAATGTGGTTTGACCCTTTTCACCTTGGCTTAAAAAGAGTAACCAAAAGGAAACCCACCATCTGCGGGATCTGTTTTGACACATAAAACAAAATGTGATTCGGGCACGAGCCTGCCCAGGCAATGGGTAAGTTGGGGTAAACAAGCCACAAAAGAAAGGTTCCCCAAAAGCAAACCAATCCCCGGTCCCAAAGATCAGGGTTTCCCACACACCAGAGAACAACTACCCGCAACCTGGATCGACGATGAACCGCACGGGCGATCCCCACCAACCTACCCCGGGCCGAAGTCTCTTTCTCCTCCGACACGAAGGCGGTCGACGTGAGGGCCCGGCGACGCTCATCCGAGGCGCGCCGGATCCAAAACTTGAGCCAAAACACCACAGGTCGGTCACTAACGCGACGTCCCTGATGATGATATGAACCATGGCTAATCACACCCCCCTCACGAGGAGCCCGTCATATGACGGGTGGAGCGTGCCATTTACTGATAGGATTTAACTGCTCGCATGCGTCCGCAAACAGCTGGACACTACCGCCGTCAGCGGTGGAGCAAACCCACAAAGGCAGTTGCGCGACATCCCGGGCATTAAATTCCCGCCACCACCCCGAATTAATCGGGGTAACGCTGTCCAACAAACCTTGTGGAAAAGTCCACATGACGACATTAGGTCACAACTGTTTGCATCAACAATGCAAGAAGTTTAATTCTTATCAGAAGCCATGAAATAAAAGATAACGTATGTCCATTAGTACCCTCGCCTAACGGCAAGAGGTACCCTTGACCATGCGTACCTGGAAAAAGCTTGAATTCCGCAAACCCGGGAGTAACCCCCCATCAGTTTGCTTTCCCTCTCATTCACACTGCTTCCTGATGAACACGTCCAGCAGCCCAGCAGCGGTATGGGAGGGACATGAACTCCGCGCCTCAGCGGTTCGGGAGGAACATCAACACCTCCGCACCGCGCCGACCATTGGAGAATGGACGCAAGCCTATCGGCCGCAATCCTCGTGACTCAGCCTACCGGCTATCGTCACGTCTCCTCCGGTCACGTCCGCCCCGCGCACGGTCCCTATCACGATCCCTTTCGGATCTCCTGCGATCATCTCGCCTTCGATCTCGCTCCCGATCGAGTGAATCATCATCACGACGATCACGAGCATCGTCCCTCCTCCTGTCGCGATCATCCTCGCGACGCGGACGGTATCTGCGCCTCCTCGACTCTCTGGAATCCCTGGTGTCTACGGTCCTAACGGACCTCCGAGAAGGAGTACGGGAAACATCCGATTCCCTACGCCTCCTCCCAGATCGAGAGTTCGTCACGATCTGGTTGAGAGCTTCCAGTGCCGACGCGTCCTCCCCATTCCTGATGAAATCCCTGACCTGCTTGTTCAGCACTCTGTTGGTGGAGATCGACAAGAAAGCGTCCACCACCGAACTCTCTGGCAGTACCAGGAAGTGACCCTCCACCGGGCTCGCCGCAGCCCGCTCAGCAGACTGCAGCCGGATCTCCCCGCCTTCAGGCTTCTTTGCCATCGCCTTGGAGGCAGTCAAAGGCGCTACCGCATCCTTTGCCGAAGATCTGCCAAGCGCGGAGTGAAGATCATCCCCGCTAGCTTCTCTCGCTGCCGCACCTGGTCTGCTGTCGACGTCGCCAGGCCTCGTGGATGCCTCCCGCTTTGTCGACTCCTTCGCAGCCTCGTCGGGATCCCAACGGGACTTCCTTTCTCTCTTCTGCCCTTCGGCCGACCCGCGGCTACCGCCGGGAGCGTCACCTCCGCCTGTCTTCTCCTTCTTGACCTCAACCTTCGGTTCGGCCTGCTTCGTCTCCTTAGCCACAGCTTTTGGAGCCGGAGCACTCTTCGCCTCAGATGCTGAAGCAGCCTTCCCTTTCGGCTCGGCCTTAGGAACCGGGGTCACTTTAGCCTTGGCACTCGGCCTGGCCCCTTCAACCACCATCTCGGCCCAAGACTTCTTCGGCTGAGCTGCTGCTGTATCAACCTCCATCGGAGCAGGTCCAGCATCATCCTTCGCCTTTGGGACGGATGGGCTACCGCCCTTACCGGATCCTTTACCTGGCACTTCACCTGATTTTGGTGGCGGGCCGGAAGGACTACCGCCCTTACCGCCCTTTTCCCCCTTCTTCCCTTTTCCTTTTCCGCCCTTGGGGACCGGCTCCTGCTTGGGACCAGGACCCGGCGCAGCATGATGCACCGATTGGAGTCCCTCGATGTCCACGTTCAATGGTTCGGGTTGACGACCGTCAAGAACCGTCCTCACCCTTTCGTCACTAACGTAGACGAACGGGTCACGGAAGGGTGCGGGAGGCTCCGACTGTCCGGCGCTGATCGCCTTCTGCACCTTGGCTATCGCCTCCTTCAACCTCTTCTTCTCATCGTACCCCGTCTCCGATACCATGTACTTCCTGAGCTGCGAAATCAACGCATGACTCTCCAGGATGTCCACGTCCTTTCGATGGGTCGGGTACAATGGGGTCAGATGACCAGCCGCAGAACCAATCACGTATGCCATCGGAATATAGAATGACAAGTACGTGTCATGACGAGCGAACTTCCTAACGGAAGTCGTCATACGCCTACCCCACTGAGCAGCGTGTCTTGGGTTGGCCCGGAAGTACTCCGTGACCGACTCAAATCTATCGACTTGGTTGGTCTTGATCAGGTGCTTCGCCACCCACTTCTCCACAAACGCATCCGAGGCCGAAATCCCGGACACATAGGAGAATTGGAAGAGCACCTTCGCCAGCTCATCCCACGCCGCATCGACACCTCCCTTGTCTTCACCAAGATAAGGGGGAAGTCTGATGCCGCTCTGCACCGTCATCCTCAGATCGGATGCCATTGAATAGGAAATCAAATTCCTCTTGATGACTCCGACCACTTCGGAGGGAATCCTCCTGGGCTTGAACTGCCCCATGGTCCTCACCCACTCCGGCACGATGTGGCATCTTTCGAAGTCCTTTTCCTCCGCGTTGGGGATAAAGTTCGGGTAAAAGACCGGGAGCGCGCACCCGGGACACAAGTGCATCCCATTTGGCATCAATTCTGCGCACCTCAAGCAGAACGTGGCAGTCACATTCAGCCTGATCTCTTCCCGTGATCGCCTGTGCTCTCCCCTAACGGGGGTGAAGTCACCGTAGTCCCATGCCCGATGGTACACTATCGTGTAATCATCGTACATATACGCCGCCTTCCAAGCCCCCATGTGGATCTCGTTCCTAACGGCAAGAGTCTTCCTTCTCGTCAAAAACACGGGTCCAACCAAGGACCAGTGCACCCGAAGATCCACCATTACCACCACGTACCTACCGGAGTAGTTCCGCAGCCTGTCCCTGACATACCACGAAGGCGATACCTCGGCATCCGGCGCCATGGCTCCCACAAGTGGGATCAGGCCCTCATCCTGCCTACCATCCCCAATGGTCTCGTACACATCGGGCCTCGTGATCAATATCTCGATCATGGCCTTTCCATTTCGCCTCACCCTTTGGAGCTGAACCGCCTTCCGAAAGTCCGAGAACTTCATGATGACGTATCCCACCATGGGGAGTTCATTCCAATGCATCTCATACATCAGAGATCCGCCAGGTGCATCTTCCTGAGTATACCTGTGCCTAACGGCACTGTAACTCAAGTCGCGTCCGATCCGCGTGTGCCTAACGGCAACCAACCTGGTGCTCTCTTTGAGGAGAACGCCATCCCCGTCGTACATGACCATGAGCATCGCCTCCACTTGCCCTATCGGGAAAGCTTTAAGCGTCGGAATGAAGAACTTCCAAGACATCTCAGCGTTCTCCATACCCGAAATCTCCTTCAGGAACCAGATGGCCTGGTCACTTTTCACCCAGTTTCCAGCCTCACGTCCGGTCTCCTTCAGCACACGTTCCTCGAATAACTCCGAGACTCTCTTTGAATTGATGACCAAACCGTCGAAATCGCACGAGAGCAGTCTCATCAACTCCTTCGCCGCCTCCCGTCCTGCAACAGTGCCCACGGTCTCCTCGTAGTTCGGGAGGTATTCACCCAACCTCGTCTTCGAGGGAACCACAATCTGGCAAGTGACGGCCTCATCAGGGATAACTCCCGTTTCCCTTAACTCCGGATTGATCTCTCGCCTATCGGCAAGATAATCCTCCTTCCCATCCAGTATCACAAGATTGTAGGTCATCTTGCTCGCCGCCCCACTAGGCCTGAACTTCCTGCTATCATCCAACTGGTCAGGAGCAAAGGGTCCACTAGGGGCAGCTGCACTCACCAGAGGCGCTCCTCGCCCAGAGCAGAGGTGCTTCTTGTGAAAGTTCACCATCTGATTCAGCTGCGATAGTGCGTAGGCACGATCCTCCAATGACGCACTCTTCATCCCAGCCTCAGTCAGAGGAGCCTCAGGCTTGTCATAACTCGCCTTTCCGCCCCATCTCGCCGCGACCAGCTCAGCAGACTTTGCAGGGTCGATCATATTTCCCGACCACTCAGGCATGTTGCTCAACCTCCTAGTCAACGCGTCTACCGACGCAGCCAAGTCTTCGTCCGTCA